CCCCCCCCAATAGATAAAGATGGCAAAAAATCCAAAAACTCCTTCCGCTAAACGCATTGTACACAGAATGCAATTAAGGCCTCTCACCACCCGCGGCAAGATGACCTATGTCGAGCTCTTGTCCGCTTCTTGGGCACTGTCCTCTTCTTCTATTCGGTCCGTCGGGTCACCTTGAAATCGTCGGTTACGCTTCATCTGAATCCCGGCATCCACATCTTGGCCATCCGCATAAGCATAGTTAAGTTCAGGGCCGTCGCCATATACGGTCCACTGTTCCTGGCCATTGCGCAGCCCTGGCTCAGTCTCGATTGCGTAGTCAACATCATGTGGTGTCGCAGCACCGGACTCGCTGCTGGCAGCTTCGCTACTGGGACTAGCAGCGGCCTCGCTCGAACCGACCGAATCTGGGCGTCCCGCGGTAGATTTGCTAGAGTTTGTGCGGGCATGCAAGCTCATCCGCTGCGATGCATCCACGCTGCGTCTTGTTGTGACTATCCTGATGCCTTCATAGTCCTTTGCGGCAAGGCCACCAAAAGCCGCTGCAAACACGTTCTCGCCCTCGGTAGAGGCTTGGCTCGTCGAGGCAGCATCTGAATTCATTGCTTCGACGTGATTTCGCAGGTTCTCATCCATGATGCTCTGCAAGCGGAGCTTAGCGTGCTCCCATTCAGCTTTGAGCTCATGAATCAAGGTTGCATCCTGCTGCGGCTCCTTGTTCTTCTCGTGTCTGAATCGGGACATCATGGACGGTCGTTTGGCTAACGCCGGCATGATCGCATCGCGAATTGACTTTTCGATAATGCGGTCCAGCTCCTTACTAGTAAAAGGAACGAAATTACGCAACGACGAATTGCGCTCAAGCTTAGAAATAATGTATCGAAAGTTGGACAATTGCAGATCATTTGAGCAGCAGTCGACGGTTCGAAGTGTCGTATTCACAGCAAGAGCCTCTGCAAACTCTCCCACATTAATGTTGAGCATCTGGCTGCGAACTAGCAAGTGCTCGATAGCTGTATTGTGACGGAGGCCGCCAAGAGCCCGGGAAAATCCCCTTCCCAGCCTTCCCTCATCAAGTTTGGAGTCGTACCCGGACATGTCCAAGTAGCGAACTGAGGTGTTCTTGGCCAAAAAGTCGAAGACTGCTTGACAGGCTGTTTCGCTGGCTGCATCAGGAGTTGAGGTGCCAGCCAAGTTCAGGCACTTGATGGTAGTATTCAATGCCAGCGCACGAAGCAGCTTAACGTAGCTTTCCTCGCGGGTGAAATCAATCATTCGCAAAAAAAGACACCACGGGCCAAACCCAGAACCAATGGCATCACACAGATCCGCGATGCCGGCGTCGAGGGGATTTGAGTCCATGTAAACTTCCATCTCGCGGCCGCGCCCCATACTACGGAAAAGCCGGGCAATCTGTGATCCGTTGAGGGCAGCGTTGTTGAGGCACAATTTTCGAAGAGAGTGCGAGCCACTGCCAGACAGGTAGTTGGCCAGACTGTCTACGGTAGCATCATTGAGCGCAATTCCGGACAAGTCCAGTTCCTGTAACTGCCACGTAGCCAATGCGTCATCGTCAAAGAGCGATAACTCGGTCGCCAAGCGCACGTTTCGGGCAATGCAGAGCTTGGTTACGCCGCGGAAGCGGCTGAGAGCATTGCAGATGATTTCAAACTTGACAAGTCCCTTGCTGTTTGACAAGTCAAGTATGCTCAAATCTGCTTGATGGTCCAATGACATCCAGATGTCGGATAAACCAAAGTCCTCAAGTCCACAGTCGGCAAGCTCGAGACGTCGAAGACGCACATAGGGCTGGCTAATCATGTCGCGCAAGTCATCGGCATCTTTGGCCGAAATCGGGTTGCGAGAGAGCACAATGCTGTGGCAGTGAGACAACTGTCGTTGGAGCAGCTCCGTAATCGGGCGCACCAACTGACTTGTTTTCGCTTCGAAAGGCGCCGTGTCAGCAATCATGCGACGCTGGCCCGTTTTGGGGTCATATAAGCCGAATACGTTGGATAGATTGATGTATCGAATCGAATCCGAGGCAAAAATCAGCGAGTGGATTTCTTGTTCGAGAACATTTGCCCCCAATATGATGTCATGGAGATCATCGGGTATACGAACGCGGTTTGCGGACGCAGTGACGATAGTTTCATTGTGGTTCGCATTGTCCTGCCTATCAGCTAGGGGTGACAAGTCGACATCGGCAAAAGAGACGGCCTTGAAGAAGCCATTGTATCGTAGCGCTCTGAAGACGGCCAAAAGCTGAAGGGGAGAATAAGCCCGGTCAGGGGATGGCAGGAGACAGAAGCAAGGTTGCGATGGCGTATTCCAGTCGATTCGCCAGATTGGTACGGAGACCTTGAAGGCTGCACAGTAGGCGGGCAGACTGATGTCAAGCCCACCCAAGTCATTGCCGGAGGTCAGTTGTAGAGGAGGAGAGAGGCCACGAATATCAAAAATGGCTTGTTGGAGGTGCTGCGGCCAAGTAGGCTTCAAAATCCTGTCCATCTTGATGGCTGTCTCGATGATGCGACGATAATAGACACTAGCTAGCGTGAGTCGTGTTTCTACACCGAAAGGAACGCGAAAGCACATGGTAAAGGTTTGCCGGTGGTTTGCGACAGTGGCTAAAAATCTACTCAACGTGACGGTGCCGAAAGTGAGTACCTTTGCCATTAGGTCGCCAGGTTCCGTGGCATGGTCTGAGCGAAGAATCTCGATGAAATAATACATGAAGGGGCCGATAGCCAAGTAGAAGGAAGGCCCTCCGTCGCTGGTATTGGCAGTGTCCTCAGCTGCGGATTTGGACGAGGGAGTGTTTCGGCGTACGACAGGAAAGATGGTAGTCTTGGATTCGTCAACGACAGTCTCGGTTGAACGGATAGTGTGATGTATCCGGTCTCGAACATTGTCCGGGATACAACCAGCCAGGGGACTTGAGCGTATCTTTTGTCTGCAGGTACGGTGCAATAGAACTAGCCACTCATTTCGATCGGCAGCGGTATTGAAAGATAGGTGTGTGCGACAATAGGCGAGCTTGGGCGCAGGCGAGGACCACCAAACTTCGAGAGTGTGGGCTGAGTTGGCGCTGTTATCGTCGAATACGGCCACGACAGCTAGCAGAGGAATCTCGACGCGATTCTCGGCAGCAGCATTAGCCTTGCTGGAAATGGAAGCAGAAGAACCAGATCGACCGATGGTTGTCTCTTCCAGAGGTGCCATTTGTGGGTAGATGACACGAGCAGCTTCAAAGCTCACAAATCTCGAGAGGCATTGATCCGTGAGAACAAGATACTCGGTGCGAGGTTTGCGGGCCGAAGAATCTTGTTTCAAAAAGCCGCACTTGAGGATGTCCATGGAGCTGTGGGAGGATTCGAGGAGAGGGCTCGGGCAGGTCTCAGGAGGAGAATTGGCGGAAGAGTCACGCGAGACTCGACGGTGTAATCTTTCGATCATGGAGCTAGAACCCGAGGATGTCTTTTGCAAGCGTCGTTGGGAGCTGGAGCTTCGGGAGGGCATAGTTGGCATGGATTCGACGGAGGTGCTGCTGAGAGAGCGCAAGGCTTTCGTCAGCACTCGCGGCTTCTTGCCAGCAGCACTATCCGAGTCTTCGGGGGTCAAGGAAGGCGAAGGAGGTTTGTCGGAATTGCTGGCGATGGAGCCTCGGCGCCTCCAGCGTTCAACACTCATAATTGTTGTTTGAGCCAATTGGCGGATATATGGCTATGATATCGGTAAAGGACGCGAAGAGAAGGTGTTTGGGCGGCGCTGATGTTCCAGCCCGTGTTACGCAGTCATACCGGCGTGACAGGCGAGAGCGCTTAGGGCCAACCAAGATAGAGTGGCAGAGAGATCTCCGGCGTGAGGCGCTCGCTGTCTTTGCTATTTTCGCTTGATCAAGTGTATATTATGCTGACGATATTTTGTACGGGTTTCTGCGGAATTCTGTCCTGGTGCCGACAGGTGCGGTTGTCTCAGGCGACTGCAATGTGGCGGAAATTTGGCAGCGAAAGTCCGGTTGCGTGGCAGACTTCGAGGTGGGCAATGGCGCAATGACGGATGTGGCAGGCACGCCGAGCAATGCCAAAGCCAGATATGCAAGAAGCAGCAGCAAGATAAGAGCAGTAAACCCGAAAGGGCACGGAAAAGAGGTCGAGGAGGAGGAGCACCGAGAATAATGAAGAAATATCCGGTGGGATAGCTAGCGTGAAGAGGGCTAGAAAGGAAGCGTCACCAATGGGCAAATAGAAAGAGCAAAAAAAAAAAAAAACAGGACAAGATAATATGGCAAAGTTTGGGGCTAATATGGCACGCAAGCAAGGTTTCGGGGGGAGAGCACGGCGGGAACTCTCGCAAGAGGCAGAGGAGCAGGCGAGGAGGAATAGCAGCAGGATCAAGCTAGCTCTGGAGATGATGGAGCGCCATGGGCTGGGCGCAGCGACTTTGTCGAGGCTATCCTGTGCTGGGTCCAAGTCTGGCCGAATCGATGAAGGCACTAGCGCAAACGGCGTATGAAGCTAGTTGAGAATGAGAGAGCTGATGTGAGGAGAAGAAAGCCCTCGGATGCTCAGCGAGGCCAGCCAAAAAAAAAGAAATCCAGGCTAGGTCAACGGAAAGGAGGGAAGGTATTAGTTATGGAATAAAGGGACGAGAAGCGACGAGAGTAACGAGAGTGACGAAAGACCAGCGGGCCGAAGTGGATACGTGGACAGACTTAGATGCTAGGTGGGTAAAGGTGGATGAATGGTAAAAGTCGGGCGTGGTGGGCGTGGTGGGATGGAAAGATGGCGATGCTTGCGATGGAGGTTTTGGCAGTGGGAGTTGTGGGAATATCTGAGTTGGTTGCCAAAATTTTGGGTGCCTGATGATGATGTATGCCTGTGACGATGATGATGGTGTGTGCTGATGGGGCGATGGGTGCTAGACTAGCCTAGAGGTGTCTGTAGTTTGGCTGCAAACGGCAGTGCAAGCCCCATAAGCCCAGGGGGGACAGGGACAGGGGTGACAGTGGCTTCGGGGGACACCGCAGGAAGCTCCAGCTCTGAGGCTCAGCCACTGAACTGCGTCCGGGATTCTATAAACAGCGCTGTACTCCGTAAAAAAGTAGCCTGTAATTATTGTAAGAATTAAGTTATATAGTGGCACAGTACGTCAGCGGCTCAGCAGACTCTGGAGAACGTCTTGGTGACGGATGCCACGGCAGAACAAGGTGATTCAGTTGAATGCGGCCTGGATCTCTTTCTTGGCTTGTCTCCAAAAAAAGAAAAAGAAAAAAAAAGGGAAAAAGAGAAAGTCTTTGGCGGTCCTTGCACAATCCAAGCCCCCTCGGCAATCAATCAATCATTTCCATTTGCAAATCTACTCAGACTGCACAAAGCCGTCCCAGCCGGGGTGGCTGATAAACTATCAGGGGGCTTGGCCGTCAAGCCGCCATACCTACCAAGACTAACTGCCTCTGTACGGGGAGTATCCGTAAGGTGCTCCGTAGGCAGGCACCTGAGTAACTGAGTTACAATCAGGACCCAAATTTGTCAAGCGGCCGAGCTTGATGCACAACATCTTGCCCTCCTTTCTTCGTCTCTTCCGTTTGTCATCGGAACGACAAAAGACAGCACGGAAGATAGCAGCCAGCAGCCATTTTCGTCAGATGCAAAAGACTCCTCATCAACACAAGGACATTACGACGTCCACAATCGCCCCGGCTGCCAAGTTTGACCTGCATAACCAGGCGGCCTGCCCGTACCCAACCCCAGCACCACTCATTACAGCCTCATCCGCATGCATTCCCGCGTGCGCTCCGGACAGCACGACACGGGTGACGGGCAACCCGGCATCGAGACTGCAGTCTATCCAAATCGCCATGGCCCGTGACTGCCTCCAGGGCATCAATACGGCGTCGAGCGGGCTTGGGCTGAGAACAGCAACACCCTTCCCATCAATCGATTGGCCTGGCATCAGGCTCCAAGCCACCCAGTAAAGCTCGATGATCAGGATAACGAATGCGGTGCGATGTGAGCCCAGCAAAACGATAACAAGTGTTACGCAGCAGGCTTCAAAGCCAAAGAGTCATGATATGATGATAGCACAAAAGGCTCCATCTGCAGCCCAAAGACTGCAGAGCCTGCAGCCAATCAACTCAGCCACGCACGCACACACCACACGACGTCGGCCTTCTCCCGGTCCACCCGAAGCCATCCCGTACAGTGACTGTCACGACTGTATGTATGCACCCATGCATTATGATGGCATTATCTGTACGCGCTAGTGGAAAGCCCCCTCCGTATCGTGACCTCAGACAGTGGCTCTATTGGAAAATGCGTGCTTGAGCCAGAGGGATTCCACCAAGGTGGTGCAGGGACAGGATCCGTGGCCGAGGCTTGTGCCATTGTGCCCTAACGTTAAGCCAACGACTTGGGGTCGCAATTTCTCAAGTCTCCGCTCGAAAAATAAGCGAACAATGGCAATAAAAGATAGCCAGTTTCTCGGCGATATCAAGGTATAACTAAACTAGTTACACCAGCGGCCCCGCGACAAGCCCAGCTGGCTCTCCAGCTCGACAAGGGTCCAACGGGAGGTGGCCAGTGGCCTCCTCTCCGCAATCACTGCGGGGATGCGCGCAATGTGAACGGTACTTGTAAAATAGATTGACTACGCAAAAGATGCACACTGGACAGAACGGGCATCATTTATTCGCTTTCTGCAGAACCAGCACATCCTCCATCTGTCACTGAGACATGGAAACGTCAAAATGGGAATTGCCAACGATTAGAGCGCAACGTGTCAAAGCCAGCACGCGATAAACTGCAATCTCCGGAGTCCTGACCTTTTGGCTCGTCCACATGCAGCAAAATAAGGTTTTCTTGGTCGGGATCGTCATGACTGGTGGATTGCCGCCAACCAGCACAGCGCTTCGACTGTTGGCGACCGACTCGTGAGCCTGCGGACCAGCACCCTAAAAAGTCGTCTTACAGGCTAGGGCTGCAAACCGACTTTAAAAACGAAACGGTCAAGGTCTTGTGCATTGCTGTTTTGGGTCTCTCCCGCGTGATATGCTCGAAGCGTCCTGGTGCTGTGGCACCCAGCTCTGGAATGCTGTGCCGCCTGCCATCTCTCTGAGCCAACCACGGCTTTGCCCTGGGGCATCGATCTATGAGTTTTTTTGGGTCAGGTACCCTGCTCTGCTAGGTAACCGCTTAGCAACGGTATATACTGGTAATTATGCGGAAACAACATAGTCGCTTGTGCAAAATTCGCGGTCATTTATATTCGGGACACTAGGTGCGAGTGCGTGGTACGTTGATCAAGTCGCGCAAGACCAAACCCCTCGCCGCAAAAGATTTCACCAATCATTCGCACAGCAATGTGTTTTGACATGGTGAGGAGATCTTCTAAGCCGTACCTAATCCGGCCAGTCCTGTCAACGATGAGTATTAAGGCCTGTATGGAACGCAAAGGTCATCGTCCGAATAGGGCACTTTTGCCAAGTCATCTGAAACTAGTGTACGGGTTTACTTTGGTAGTATCCGAGCTCACTCAAAGACGAACAAATTTCCAAGAGCTGAATTCGAAATGGCCGTCTGTCTTGAATCACCCCGGACTCGGGTTTTCCTAGCATTCCCGTTTCCCAGAAGCCATTTCTGTAGGAATCCGCAAGTACATGAGCGCGTCAGGCTCTCAGACTCCGTTGGCCGTTTTCTGCGCCTTTGGAGCATTGTTTCTGGAGACTTTCATCTGGAGCATGACCGTCTTTGCCGCCTGTGTCCCACTTTGGACAGCTCCGTCGATCCATCCACGCCAGCCATCCGACCAGTCGGCGCTTGCAAAGAGTATGCTGCCGTGTGGCCGCTGGAGGGCAGATAGATGGTTTGTTGTGGCTTCTGGTTCCATGAAACACCAGGTGCCGTTTGAAAACTCGTCATTGTTCCAGTCGTGGGATACCTGAGTGAAATTGTCAACGCAGTCTTGAGGGAGAAGGTTATATCGTCAACCGATACAAGAGCGGGACGGGGTACTTACAATGCGGTTGATGATGACTTCTTGTTGCTTGTCCTCGGGCAGGAGGTGGATCACGGCGGACTTGATGGATTCGACATTATCAAGGGACAGCCCCAAGGGGGTGTCGGGGTCAGGGCCAAAACAGACGAGATGAGAGTTGTTGGCGTTGGTCAAGTGATCTCCAAACGCCGAGACGAGGCCCTTTCCAGGCGTCCCTAGCGAGGACCAGGACAAATAGTCGGGCCCGTTCAAGTCGATGTGGACCTTGTTACACCTGTTGACAGACTTGTGCTGTATGGCCGCTAGCTTGTCCGCGGGGAGTGGCGGTGAAAAGTCGACCGACGATAGAACATTGAGGGGGATGGTGCAGATGACGGACTTTGCCTTGTACGTCTGTCCGTCTCTAGACGTGACGGTAACTACATCGCTGCCATCCTCAATACGGCGGATGGGGGTTTGGAAGCGGTAGGAGAGATTTTCGGTAGCCTTTGCGTGCTCAAAGATGCGTCGGTGCAGCTCGCTCTGTCCGCTCTGCAGTCTGGTATGCAGACCAATATCGTTGAGCCCCGTGGGAGTATGGGATCCCAGCGACCACCAGAGTAGCACGCCGAGCAATCCGATCTTGTCGAGAGAGCTGCCTCCCATCTGAAGCAGCTGGGACTCGAGGACGCTCAGCTCTTCTGCCGAGAGCTGGTCCCGAATCTCGTCTAGTCGGTCCTTGCAGGATCGCTGATCCCACTGGGCCATGAGATCGGGCGACTGCCCCGTCCCGAATGGGTATTTCCATGAGTGCTTGAGATCATGCCCGTCCAGATTGCAAAAGATGCGCAGCACTCGGCCTGCTATATCCGCCTATACATGTCATGTTTGTAAGCTTCTGCTAAGGGCGGCAAAGTTTCAAAAACAGCCACGTTTGATACCATACCTCTTCGTCGTGCGACATGTTGCGCTGGCGGGTGCCCGTGGTGGCAGTAAAGTAGTCTTCCTTGCTGCCGGGATTCTGGGTGACGATGAAGTCATTGTGCAGGCCGTAATACGACACTTCGCGATAAATGTGCGGCATGTGCCAATGGATCCAAGTTCCGCCCATTTCATAGTTGAAGCCGTTGATGGTGGCATTCCACGTGCGACCGCCAAGACGATCGCGAGCCTCGAGCAGAAGCGTCGTCTTGCCTGTTTGCGAGCGGCGGGCCGTCAGCGATTTTGGGTGCCAGCTGGGCGCCAGCTGGGCAACAAGCACCCTCTTTGATGAAATGCTTACCTTGAGTGGCCAAGTCTCGAGCGGCGATCAGACCGGCATACCCTGCGCCAATGACAATGACGTCGTGGACTTGATGGTGCGGCTGCGCAGAGTGGTGCTCGGGAGGCTGGACGACGCCGATGGTGGGCAGGCCTGTACGGCGTCCGCCCGAAGGTGTCCAGGTGAAACCGTCGGCAGAGTACACCATGACTGGGAGATGCGACGTTGGGCTGCTAGACGGGAGAAAGCTTGAGGTTTCGAATAGTAATAGCAGGACGGACTGCCATGTATTTCGCTTCTTTATCTGTGATGAAGCGGAGGATGTGGTAATCTCAAAGCATTGATCATGAATGTCTGACCAGCCATCATGGCCATTAAGTTCGACCGTTTATAGCCGTACAAGTTGTATGTATTCTAGCAAGTATATCACATTGCGACTTTGGCGCGCGAACGACGTTGGGTGCCAAGGCGGAAAATCGTGGCCAATGATGGAAGGGCGGCTGTTTTGCCCTTTTCGCTCGTGCATAACTCGTACATGTTCGTATTTATCCATGTACACAATGCATGGTACGCGCTTTATCCATGGACCGGACCTGTATTTTATTGGACGGATCATTTAATTGTCATCTGGCCCCGATTACTGCATGGTTTCATGGTGTTGCCACAGTTGGGCGATAAACTTGACTCGATTTTTGCCTTCAGCGCCGGAAACCGCGAAGACCCCGAAAACCCCGATGACTTGATACATATTCGTCGAGATCTGTGATTTATAAAGACACATGTCTAGAGCGCTTCCGTGCACTTGAAATGGTTGAGGAGAATGGTTCGGAATTAGGTAATTGCAGGGAGAACGGCAAAAAGACCCTGACCTAGGCGTACAATTCCGAGTATTCCGAGGTGTTCCGCATCACAGTTATGTACATGCACGTAGAAGACGCCGTGGCCGTTTCAAACGCAGGCAGCAAGAAAGCACCTACTTCAACTGTAGCATATTTTTCGTCGAATAAATAGCTGGTCGTCTCCATTTCTTCGCTCAAAGTATTTGCGACATTTGTGACGACACGCAGAGAGCAACATTATTGCTAGTTTGACCACGACACGAAATCATAAATCATAAATCACGTATCCGCAACCGATAAAATCCTTTTTGCCATGAGTGAAATCCAACTGACTGGCTTTGGGGGACGGCCGGTAAACGGTATGTACATGCCCCCGCCGACTCACCGCCCAAGCGTTGGATCGCGACTCAGACGGTCATCTTGTTAGTTCACACGGGCCTCTTCATCAACAACGACTTCCAGCCCGCCGCGGGAGGCTCGGAGCTCCAGGTCGAGAACCCGACAACGGGCGCCCGCCTCGCCACAGTCTCGGCGGCCCAAAAGGAAGACGTAGACAGGGCCGTCGAAGCGGCCTCTGCCGCGTTCCGGGGCGCGTGGAGGGACGTGGGCCCCGCCGAGAGGGGAAAGCTGCTCAACCGCCTGGCCGACCTCGTCGAGCGCGACGCCGACGACCTCGCCAGCTTGGAGGCCCTCGAGGCGGGTGTCTTGTTCAATGACTCCAAGGCGCTGCACATTCCGCAGACCGCCGAGACGCTCCGGTATTTTGCCGGCTGGGCGGACAAGATCACCGGCCAGCTGCTGAGCATCCCCCAGGGACAGGCGTTCACGAGGCGAGAGCCACTGGGTGTGTGCGCTGCTGTTGTCCCGTGGAATGCACCGCTGTGAGTTGGCTCCCTGATAAAATCCTTATAAAAAAAAAAGGCCCTCGCAATGCCTCAAAAATATCTGCAAGGGGGGTCCTGAAATAGCTGACGCTGGGGAAACAAAAAGCATGATTACCATTTGGAAGCTGGCTCCCGCAATCGCCGCCGGCAACGTGCTCATCATCAAGACACCCGAGCTCACGCCCCTCTACGCCCAAAAACTAGCCAGCCTGATCAAGGAGGCGGGCTTCCCGCCCGGCGTGGTCAACGTCCTCTGCGGCTACGGACACGTCGCCGGGCAGGCCCTGGCCGAGCACAACGGCGTCAAGAAGATTTCCTTTACCGGCAGCGGCCCCGTCGGCCGGCAGATTATGAAGGCCGCCGCGGCGTCCAACCTGAAAAAGGTGACGCTGGAGCTGGGCGGCAAGGGCCCCTCGATTGTCTTTGCCGACGCCGACGTGCCCAACGCGCTCTTCTGGACCGCGCTTGGCTTCACCGCCAACAACGGGCAGGTGTGCGCGGCGGGGTCGCGCATCTACGTGCACGCCTCCATCTACGACTCGTTCCTCCACGCGCTGGCCGAGCGGCTGGTGCAGTCGGCGCAGGGAGACCCGCTCGCCGAGGGGACGACAAAGGGCCCCGTGATTAGCCAGCAGCAAAAGGACAAGATTTTGGCGTATATCCGCCAGGCAAAGGAGTCTGGCATTCGCGTGCTGGCCGAGACGGACGCCGCGCCCGAACAGGGCCATTTTGTCGCCAGCACTGCCTTTGCCGACGTCCCTGATGATGCGCGCATCATGCAAGAGGAGATTTTCGGACCAGTCGCCGTGAGTACAATTTGAGAAAAAAGAGAGTTCTGAAATCGTCGCTAACTAGTGTGTGTGTGTGTGTGTGCGTGCTTTCACAGTCAATTGCCAAATTTACCTCGGAAGCAGAAGTCATTGAAAAGGCCAACGCGACCGAGTACGGTCTCAGCGCGGCCGTCTTCACAAACAACGTCAGCCGCGCGCAGCGCGTCTCGTCGGCCCTGGAGAGCGGGCAGGTCACGGTCAACTGCTGGGGCATGCTCCACGCCAACACGCCATTTGGAGGCGTCAAGCAGTCTGGGTTCGGGCGGGACATGGGCGAGGAGGCGCTGGACGGCTGGCTGACGACCAAGGTGGTCAAGTACTTTACGCTCCCGGCGGCAGATGAGGAAAAGTAGCGTGTGGGGAGATGAACACTATACTATGAAATGTGGAAATGCATAATGCCATACGCAACTCATTCAAATTCAGACGTCCTGTAGCTGTACTGCAGATGTTCGGGGCCCAAAAGACGCAAGTGCTGGTATGAAGATGAGCTCACGAAACTCGCCGCGAAAACTTGCTTATAAGTTTGTAATCTACCACCACAAAGAGCGTCAAGATTGGATTCTATTTATAAATGTGTGTTCTGCCACATTTACATGCTCAAAAAAACCGCTCACTCTTCCTCGAGGAAACCACAAGTTCGAGCTTCCCTACCCCGCCATTGCCCTCGACCTCAATGCATCTTGCGCCGGGCGGCGACCTTGTAAGCGACGGCGTACCGAGGTGTCGAAAAGGTAATGGTGCTGCCGCGGTGGATGAAGAATGTGTCACCGGGCAGCAGCTTTGCCGTGTTGCCCTTTTCATCCGCGACGTGCAATTCACCTGCGAAGACATGGGCCACTGTTTAGAAAAAAAAAAAGAAAAAGAAAAGAAAAGAAAAGAAAAGAAATGGGTGCCATTGTCTCGCCTCTTGTTGGGGATATAAACTCACCTTTGACGACGATACCGCTCTCGTCATATTCGTACTTGGGCGCCGGGTCTGGATTCTCCAACTTTTCGAGGAGGAAGAGAGACCCGGTCAGCGGGTTGGGCGCATCGCTAGAGGCAGTGGTGAAGATGTCACCTGTAATGCAAGGCAACCGTGTCAGAAGGTAAACGTGAACAACATTTAGACGGGCCGTTCTTTTGGGTTCGTTCGTACCAAAGTAGACGTTGGGAGGGCCAGGCTCGAGCTTGGGGACACGATGGAGCTTGCCCTCGTCTTGCCACTCAAAAACCATGATGACGGCGTGTAATTTGTAAATATAAAGTTGAAAAAAAAAAACGGCTTCAAGATTTTGCACCTTGATGTAACTCTGGAATGTAGTAAAAATGGGCAAGACAGTTTCCCGTTATAAAGAATGTATCGGGGTTGTCGACGTAGAGGCCATTTATTGCTCCGTCAGTCGGGCCAATAGCGCATTGATCCGACGGGACTATGTACCAGTGGAATAATCATCATTTGTTCAATCGTCCAAGTGCTTACAAATACAGCCGGTTGATGCAAAGTGATTAGATGGTGCGAGGTAACGAGGAAAATCATCCCAGAATCCGAGACTCGGACAATAGCAGTAGGCAGACCATTACAAAGGTTGTTTCAAACGCGGCAACGGCGATTTGACAAGACATACAAACTTGGTATAGTGCAGCTGATGGTAGCGATTGTATCACTAGCGATAGTAGCGGGCGGCCAATCAAATATTAACCCAGTTACAAGTTTGGAATAAGAAGCTGATTGGCTCCCCCGCAAATTGAGCCTAATCGGGATTCCGGTGTGGATCGGAACCCTTCCGAGCCCCCGGCATACCCCGGGCCCCGGTATGCGTATGCTACAATCCGGCACGGGGCCCACCCACAATCCACAAGAGCTTGGGATCGAGGTGTGTTGAGTTGCAGGGTTCCCCGACGCGCCATCGATGATTAATACGTTGAGAATATCCAAGAAAGTCATTCATTATACATTTATTCGCTGCCGCTTTACTATTACCACTTTCACCCCGATTCTTTACACGCGCATCGCTTTTCATTGTTAACTTGTTTCACCCAACCGGCTTCTCGCAGAACCCAATGACTAGCGACAGCTTACACGTCCTCATTGTCGGCGCCGGCTTTGGCGGCTTGACGGCAGCCATCGAGTGCCGCCGGCGGGGCATGCAAGTCACCGTCATCGAGACGTACCCGACGAGCCTCGCCTACGGGGACATTATCGACTTCTTCCCCAACGGCGGCCGCATCATTGAGGCGTGGGAGGGCGGGCGCGTCGGGCGCGACCTGATGAAGGTGTGCATCAACCAGGGCGACCGGCTGCAGTACTGCCGGGCCGACGGCACCGTCATCTGGAAGGAGGACTGGATCCTCGAGCCGCACCACTTTTGGCGGCAGTACGGCGGCCACCGCGGCCAGATGCACAAGGTGATTCTAGACTATGCGGTGGAGCTCGGCGTGGTGATGGAGTTTGGCGACCGCGTGGTGCGCTATGTCGACGAGGGCGAGGGCGAGGACGAGAAGCCGGGCGTGGTGACGGCGGCTGGGAGAGAGTTTTATGCGGATGTGGTGGTGGCGGCGGATGGACCGCGGTCGATTGCGCGGCAGCAGGTTCTGGGACTCCCGGATACAAAAGTAAACAGCGGCTACGCTATTTTTCGCGCGCACTTTACCCTGACCGAGGAACACCGCAAGAACCCGGACCTGGAGGTGTTTTGCGACTCCACGACGGACATGACGAAGCTGTGGGTGACCAAGGACCTGCACATGATTGTATATACCTGGAACAAGGGGAGAGATATCGGATGGGTACTGACACACAAGGTAAACATACACTCATAAGAGTCATGATCCCTCCTCCCGGTCACTTGTACCGTTCTGCTAACAGCTCCGCGCGCCGCAGGACACGGAAGACATTGGCGAGTCCTGGTCGTTTCCCGGCAAAAAAGCCGACGTGCTCGCCTGCCTCGCCCAGGGCGGCTTCGAGCAGCGCCTCTCCTCCGTCGTCGAGGCCACACCCCCCGCCAACCTCGTCGACTACAAGCTCGTCTGGCGCGACCCCCTCTCGACCTGGCTGTCCCCCTCTGCGCGCACCGTCGTCATCGGCGACGCCGCGCACTGCCACCTGCCCACGTCGGCGCAAGGCGGCTCCCAGGCCATGGAGGACGGCGTCGCGCTGGCCGTCTGCCTGCAACGCGCGAGGATGCGTGACAGCAACAAGAACAACAACAAGAACAACAGCAACAACAATAATGTGCCGCTTGCGCTGCGCGTCATGGAGCGTATCCGCTTTAACCGCTCGCACGTCACGCACATGGCCTCGATTACGGTGCGCGACGGCTATCATAGCGTCGACTTTGACGGTGACGAGATTTTAAAGAACCCGCAGGTGCTGAACTTGCCGCGGCCAGAGTGGGTGGTGGAGTATAATGTCGAGGACGAGGCGGAGAGACACTTTGATGCCCTGGCGGCCGATGTCGAGGCGGGAAGGCAGGGAAGCATCCAGGAGCTGGCGCTTCCTGCGGGAGGTGACTACAATGTGGAGAGCAGAAAGGTTGGATCTACCAAGATATAGCTGTGTCGTAGAGAAAAAAAATTTAGGGATAAATATCAAGTGAATTTTTTTTTTTGATTGACTTTTCTTCTTCTTTTGGCGCATTGCGGACGGTTGGCGCTCTTTCATGTGATTTGCCCATCCCAACAAAGTGGTTCCGGGCGTTAAAGACCGTGATAACTGCAATGCAGCATCACCATGTGCCCCGCATCTTTCCGCCATATCGTGTCGTATATGACGTATTTTTTTTTTGGTTCTTTTGGATTCTTGCGAGATACTGATATGTGAAACTTTTTCAGCCAATTATGAAATGTTCCCCGCCGTCAAACAATCATGACCTTGCAAGGACTCCTCCTCCACCACCGGCGAGCCGGATATAGTTAAAACGGTGCCTGCCCTCTCCACCCACGTCTACAACCAGGGTGTCATGCCATGAGCATCAGCTTTCGGAATTTTTTTATTATTTTATTTTTTCTTTCTAAAAAACCCCACCATCATTCACATCTGTTGACAATCATGTCCGCTAAAGTTGTTGTTGTAGCAGGCGGCCTTGGTGATCTGGGCAAGCTCATCACCGAGGCCATTCAAGACACTGGCAAGTATGAGGTCCATGTCATGTCTCGAAAGGTCAGTTCTTACTGCACGGGGAACTCTGTTTCTTGAGCTATCCAATCTCACACTGGACCTAAACATCTAACTATGACTCGTTTAAACCATCTCAGAAGCCACAGGATGCTTCCTCATCGGTCCAGCTTCGTGCTCCCATTATCCAGACCGATTACAGTTCCGAGGAAGCAGTGGCCGAGCTTCTCATCCAGCACAACTGCCACACCGTCATCTGTGCTCTTGGCCTGGATTTCCAAGCCGCCAGCGACGCGCAGCTCACGCTGATCCAGGCCGCCGAACGGGCTCCCTGCGTCAAGCGCTTCATCCCGTCCGAGTTCAACGTCGACTACGACCTCCCCGACCACGTGCTTCCCTACCCGGACAAGCGCTTCCACACAGCCGCCCGACGCGCGCTCGAGAAGACGACGAGCCTCGAATTCACCTACATCTACCCGGGCATGTTCATGGACTACTTTGGCATGCCCAGCAGCAGCGTCTCCTCCACGCATCTCCGGGAGCTGTGCCTGTTTGTCGACGCGACCAACGGCGTCGCGCTGCTGCCGGGGGACGGCAAGACCAAAATGGCCGCGTCTTACACCAAGGATGTCGCGCGGTACACGGCCCTCGCCCTCGGGCTGGACAAGTGGCCGCTGGTCATGACGACGGCGTCGAGCGCGCTCACGCTGAATGAGCTGGTCGGCATGGTCAGCGAGAGGCTGGGCCGGGACCTCGACGTGGAGTACCAGGACGTGTCGGCATTGCAGAAGCGCATGGACAGCAGGATCCTGCCCCGAAACGTGGCCATTGCGGAGCATTTCCCGGGTGGCGTCGAGCAGCTGAGCGCGCTGCTGGCAGAGCTCGGGGCCTCTGTCGCTCTCGGTGCGTACGACTTTTCCAAGCTAAAGGGAGAGCTGAATCTTGTCGAGTATTTTTCCGGTAAAACTACACCGCCCATGACGATTGAGAAGCTGCTGGATGTAGCATGGGGAGGAAAAAAAGTCGGCAGCAATGGCGAAGCGCTCAGTGTGCACAAGTAGATGATGTAGTGTTGGGGTCAAATCCTGCAAGAAAGTAGTCCAAGAGCCAATGGGACGAAATATAGGTATTCCAGCTAATTAGACTAATATTTGTGACTGACCAATACGTTGCATGGCGTCCTGCCAACTTTCCGGCGACGCCTGCCCTTTCCTGACCAGGTCCCGATGCGCCCAAACCTCTTCCAGTATCTTCTGCCCGTTCTTGGTGTTGTCGAGTCCCAGTAGATGGAGCCCATCCAACCTCGACTCAACATAGTCTCGCTCATGTGCTTGATCCATCTCAGCTCCCAGAACCACTAGGCACCAACCCAGATTGGCCCCCGGACCAAGAGCATCAGGGACCATTGTTAGAAGATCTTGTGCCGTATTGAGAGATTCCTGGAGATCCTCTGTTAGAGCAACCTCCGGGCTGTGTACAACACGATAGACGTAAATGTGAGATGCATGCCGGAATATCTCCGCGGTTGCCACGATCCGCCTTCGTAGTTCCTCCTGCTCCATTCCTATCGCAGTGAGCGGCTCACCAAGTTGGTGGCAGGAAATATTGAGTGAAGGATTGGAATCGGGAAGAATTGCAGTCGCCTTAATCTGTTCCTGTAGTGACTCGGCTCGAGCACAGAGTTCCTCTTTTGTTATCTGACCGTGCCCGGAGGACGTGCAGAGGCGGGAAGCCGCCCACTAAACATCACTGTCAGCACGTACAGCGACTGCGTGGCAAAGTGTGGCAAGCGTAGGATGAGGCATGGCTTCTGTTTCGGGTACTATTCGCGGCGGGCAAACTTACCATTAGCTTCACCAGCTTGGAGGAGCAGCCAAAGAGAGCATCGACGCAGTCGCCCTGTTCCTCCGAGTTCGCTGGCACATCAAGCCACGACACGAGCTCAGGCATAGCCGGCTGTCCGAGGTTCAACGAGCTCTGTGTATCCAGCAAGCAGACCCAGGTTTTGAGGAAGGGGTCGAGATCGGAGCAATCACCCCGCGACCGAATCCAGCCGCGAATTGCGTTATAATGCTCCTTCCAACGGCTCGAGCCCGAGAATACCTCGAAAGAGACTAGAAGCAACATTGTCGCAAGAATGTCTTGACGATGGATGTTATTCCCCGCTATAAAACGATCGCGCAGCGCCTTTGACGCTGCGCGGTGATATTTGCGAGAGACAGTGTCGGCGGTGTGTTGCCAGCGGCTGTAGTGAGACGCAGCAACCGCGATGGCGGCATTGAGCAGTGCGGGCTCCTGCATGGCCATTGGTAGTAAAGAGCGGTATCCGTTTGCGTCGTAATCAATGGCCAGCGCTATTCTGGCAACGTTCTCTAGTCGTTTCCAACGTTAGTAGACCATTGCATCAAAGGTTTGCATCTCAAGGGGACCGGGAAGATGGTAAAGAATGGCTACAGAAGGAACAATTACGTACGAAAGTAATGTCTCATGTAGTAGCTCTCTTCCCCTGGGAGTCCAAGGGCGGATATGACACCCGGAAGCGCCGCATCTATATTCGCAGAAGAGTCTTGGTACGATGCAGATCTGCTCTTTCGTCGCATTACTTTCTTCTTCGGACCCAGGACATCTAATGGCCATCGCAACCGGACTCCGTATCCGCTACACCTGACGCCGTTCTGGGTGCACGCGAGGCAGCCTGACATGTCGTCCATGAGTTTCTTTATCAAGCTCGTGGTCATCCTCGGGGTCGGGCTGGCACGTACGTGGCAATCTTCCATCACACTGCCGGCCGTTGTCAAAACACGTCCAGCATGCCCCTTCATCATTCTGCCTCTCCGACGGTGTCAAGTTGCGCTCCATGGTAGCTGTCATGTGCGTGATCCAGCCCGTTTCAGGCTGATAATTTGGTGCATTGGAAAGAGGAGAGGGTGCCGTGCCTAGAGAGAGGTCAAGGCTGGGCGGGCAAATGGTAAGGTAGTAGTCGGGGGGTCGGGACTGCTCGTTCCCGGGCAGTATCAGAACGCCTGTCCTCAACATACTGACAAAGTACGCCACGACTGACTCGGCCTAGTTTACCGATACACGGAAGAATGGTCCACTCGAAGCCCACATAGTCTTTCTATCTATTAACAAGTCAAATGCGGGGAAGCTCGAGGAAATGCAACTATCGGGACTTGTTATCTGTAAGAGAACGACCTGCCGCTGGGGTGGACCCCGCAAGTTCCGATTTCCGACAAGGCATTATTGCATGCTAGCCCTACTATAGGCCCTTGATAAAGAATAATTGTGCATACGAATTCAAATGTACTGTCCAAATGTAGAAGCTGCCATACCTTGGGTATCATGATTGAACACATCAGGCGACATATCTGGACCGCCGACAACAAGGTCCAGCCCTGGGAACATGGCCATGTTCAAGCCGAGCCCCATGACTTCCGAGAATGAGGGCATATGGACAAACGGTGCCGAAATTCCGTCATCCATGTCCATTTGCACAAGACCCCGAGCATGTTCCAGCTGAAGCTGTTCTGGTTGAGACTGTCGGAGTTGCGCCGCTGGACTACACATGCTACTCGACATGGCCGTGAGAATTGCAGCTCCCATGTGTTCCGATGACTCGACAGACCCTGATTCTGGAATCATAGCGTCTAGTACTTGTTCTGCATTCCTAGTTAACATCGAATTCTCTTCGCATGTAGCGCTCGCGAGTGTCGGCCTACTCGGAGCTGCCATAGTATGGCTATCGGCGTCAAAATTGTCCGAATCGCTGTCCGGCTCAATGTCTCCAGACAGGTGTCCAGCATAATCTTTGAGCCAGTCCAAGTTTCTGTCTGATGTGGTGGTATTTGGCAAGTCACTGTTTTTAGAATTTCTTTCCAGGCAGCGCTCTTGACTTTGGACCGACTCGGGAGTTCCAATAGCACCTCGTGGCGTATCCTTCTCTCTGGGGTCTAGAGGAACGAATGTGGGTTCTCGAATATCGCTGAACCTACTGAAATAGCCACGGAAGGCTAGATCCAGATCATCAGAAGTGAGTGCAGGCTGCATGCTTGCATCGTGAGCCTGGGTAAGTGTATTTATCTGCCCAGGTGTCATGTTCAGTAAGATCTAGCGTATTTGCATCGGGGTGTGGTCAACATACCCAGTCCTCTGCTGGGGTGTAAAAGGTTTTCAAGGCTTCTAGCACGGTAAGAGTCATCCTTAGATTGCCTGCACTCGTCGGTTCGTGTGGCTTTGAAGACCAGTGAATTCGGTTGATGGATACCAGGGCGCCTTGCGTGCACGCAAACCCTACGAGGGTCGCATACTGCCACTTTTTGTTAGTCAATCTCTTCATTGAGCTCTGCTTTGACAAGAACATCATACAGAGTGAAAGACGTTTGCTCTCACAATATTGCGAGATATGTTGAATATGGCGTCCGCGCTAGCTTCGCAGCGGTATACCTTTTCCTTCACAAACAGATGCGGTGCTCCCGGAAAATAAACCTTCTTGGCAATTTGATCAATTCGGCCCTCTTCTGATGTTCTCGCCAGAATCGGAAGAAAAGGACGATTCAGAACAACGACGCAGCAATGCCACATTAGCGAAGAGATCAACTCATCTATATCGGGCTCTTTCAAATCGCGAGGGCGAGACCTCGCGAAGAGACGGAATGTGTCGGGGTAATGAAGTAGGTGCTCTTCCAACTCGTTCTGCAACGCACGATATTTTGAATGTGGAGCCCATGGTGGTGGTTTCTGCTCTTTGACCGGCACAGATTGAAGTTGATAAACGCGTACAAGGATCTCTAGTAGGTTCACGAGGTCGAGAGAGCCCCTTTCGAGGTTTGCACACTTAGCATCTGGTTTCGATTTCCCTTCTGGCCGTAGACATGGCGGGTAGAGACGCGGATGGCCGAGACAATGTGTCAACTGTGCCGCTGCAAGGTAGCGCTCTGCAGCATTCAATGCGTCTTCTCCCTCTGCATCCATTTTACAATCCAGTCGAGCTAACTGCACCAAGGCCTGGCCCATTGCTTAGCATTGTTAGTATTGTGTGAGCCCGCAAACAAACATAGCTTCCACGGTAAACTAACCAATGTCAGCCCACGCCTGCCGACCATGAGCCTTGCTGGCGGAATAATCGACAAGGATGCAGGTAGATTTGATGGTGTTGACTTGAGTTGTTGCGTCGTTGGAAATCCGTATGCAATTGCGTGCCTCACGTGCTATTGAGTCGGCGAATTGTCTAGCAGATGGGCCGTTTATTGCCTTGTGCACAGAAAACCTCACTGCGGACGCACACGCGGCCAGGATCAGGCAGCGGGGCATCGTCCCGCTGGATAGATGAGAGTGTATCTCGACGGTCGGTAGCAGCGTTCTCAACTGTGCACTTGCCAGTAAAGTGAAGATTTCAAGGAGATGGCATATGGTATACACGTCCAAGCTTGGAAGACTATGCGGCTACAGTCAGCGCAGAGTCAATATGGTCATACGGTGTCGGCTTACACATCGGCAATGGAGTCATCTTCGAAGAAGATGCATTCTAGGCCAGACTTCCATTGAAGCGGATCAGGTGTAGAGGATCCGTCAGTACTGCTGCCGCAGTCATCATTGCCATCGTGTCCGATCTCGCCCTCGCTGTCATCGTCGACGATCAGATTTAGAGGCTCATCAGCCGCCTGCATCTCCCGAGTCGCCCAAGACGGCTCGTCTTCGACTTCAATACTAGCGGGTTGCGCGTCCTCCTGGTCGTAACTCGGGAATCGCGGGACCAAGGGACGTAGGATTCTCTGGGTCTGAGTTTGCCTGGCAGCTTGCCTTGGCTTTGGACCGCGACGACTTCTGCTGCCGTTGTCGAACTCGCAACAACGTCCACTTTCGGAGCAGAGCGTACATGGTTGACTACCGCTACATTTCACCTACGCGAGTGCTTGTCGAATTAGTTGCAAGAACTCGGCAGCATCAGGACTGGGAGTTCGCTGCTTGCCCTTCGCTTTCGACAAGAGTCACAAGCCACGGTGACCTTTCTTCTGAAGCGGCTGTGTAGAGCAGAAAGGTTGGCATTGGACATGTTGTAGTCCTCATTACAGTAGACTTCGATGTTGGGGCCTGCCGCTTGCTGGCTTTGGTGTGCTGGATGAACGCCTCTAACTTGGCAAACGCATCGCACTAAACTCCTTCACTGTGAATCAGGACCCCGGATTCTACATATTTTCCGTTACGTCGAGTTTATGCTGTTACAAGGGTGGCAGAAGACTTCGTCGTTCAATTGGTCACAATTATCCGTTGCTAGGATTAGCAGGATCGGCTCCACTCCCCGAAGCTCAGACCATCAGATAGTCCATGCGCTCAGTATCCAGCTGCCAGCCAACACAGCCAGCCATCGCTTTCCAAGTAAATCAAACGGTGCTATTCGTCGTTTCATATCAAACCGAGTCAGTTACAAAACTATCAAATCTAGATACATATGCGGGGTATGACCTCTGCTTGCAAGCTGTCACAGCCGGGAAATCTTGACCAATAGAGGGGTTGGTTGCAGCTTCGGCTCAATGGGACGCTACCTAGATCATGCACAGATACGACATGACGGCTTCAATCGCTCTCTCTTGTCGCCAGGTTGTGGCAAAGAAGAAGAAACTGCCTTAAACGCCAACTTGCATGACCTCAGCTGCACTGTCAGGCGCCTCATATATACGCCCCCGTCGCTTCATTCAAGAACCAATCTGGAACAATTCTGAGTAGCATTATTCTGCAAAATTCCGATAACCGATGCATCAAGATTTGGACGTTAAAATTACTCCCGTTACTACCATGTCTAGTGTCGCGAAGCCTTCAGAGCCCTCCCTCGCGCACTCGGATACAGCACCAGCCACTGAGACGCCGACAATCGAAAAGAGGTTCAACTTTTGGACCGCATTTGGCGTTGCCGTCTGCACCTCGGGCGCGGTATGCTCCATTGCATCCTACATAATGATAAATTTATCGCTGATAGTCATGACCTTGTTCTAGTGGGAAGGCTGGACTGCTTCCATCGCCCAAGGACTTGCTGGCGGCGGTCCTGTCTGCCTCCTCTGGGGCTGGGTTGTCGTTTCAGTCGGGATTATCTGCATGTCATGTGCGCTCGCTGAGTTTGTAAGGTTGTCAATTCCTTTCCATGTCACGCGTATCAGCCCCTTCTCCAACGGTAGTTGACGAGAATGTCGGTGACAGCATGTGGCCTTCAGCCGGAGGCCAATATGTTTGGGCAGCCAATCTTGCCCCGGTAAAGTACTCTCGCGTGCTGGTAAGTTAACATGACAAGGATGATGATACGGATCTCTCGCTTAAGATTATGACGTGATAGAGCTGGACAACTGCATGGCTGGGAGTAGCTGGGCTTTGGCTAGGAGCCTTGTCTTGCGGCATGGGGGTCGCTGTTCAGACACAGTCCTACGCAATAGTCTCGACAGAGTACGAGCCAAAGACCTGGCACGCATTCATGGTAATGTATAACCCAATTTCATTCAGAACCCTGCATGAGCTGACATCTGCACCTCTAGATCTGCATAGCCTGCATGGTCTGTTGGGCCGTCGTCAACATTTTCGCAGTGCAGCTGTTGCACTACATGAACGCAGCAAGTATGTTGATCAAATACTGGGACAGTAAATTCGCTAAAAACGATGAAATTAGTTCTTGTAGTTCATGTTGTTGGCTACTTGCTTGTCATTGGTGTCCTGGCTGGATCAACTGAAGAGAAGCACGACGCCACATTCGTCTTCACCAAGTTTCAGAACAGCACCGGCTGGGACAGCGATTTTGTTTCCTGGTCCGTTGGCCTACTCTCTGCGCTGTACGCATATTTCTCTCTGGACACGGCGGCGCACTTTAGTGAAGAGATTCCGAGAGCGAATGTCCTCGTCCCTCGAGCAAGTAAGTTACGCCTTCGATGCCGGTCAAGGCAGCAAATGACTTGCGCAAAATTGAGACATGCGTAATCTAACGTCATTTTGTATTACAGTGATACTACAAGCCGGCGCTACGGCGTTGATGACCCTTCCGTTCATTATCACGGTTCTTTTTTGCATCGGAGATATCAGCGAGGTGCTCGCCTCGCCCATCGGGACCATGAGCCCATTCACACAAATCCTGATCAACAGTACCTCAAACGTCGGCTTATCCTGCTTTCTCAATTGCATTAGCTCTTCCGTAGCCATGGCTGCGGGATTCGATCTCTGGGGTGCTGCCTCCCGCGCCATCTGGAGCATGGCGCGTGACAAGGCCCTGCCTGCGACTCTCGCTAAGCTGCACCCGCGCTGGAATGTGCCAGTCCTGGCCAACCTTGTCCTGCTTCTGCCATCAATTGTCATTTTCATGATTTATATCTGGAATACGACGGCATTTTACGGCATTATGGCGGGAGTCCTGGTTTCTTTCCAGCTGTCCTATGTTGTGCCTCTCGGCATCAACATCTTCTATACGACATGGTGGAAGAGAGAACTAACAAAGGGGCCCTTTACCATGGGCAGATTCTCCTTTCCAGTGCATGTTGTTGCATTTTTGTTTGGCTGTTATATGGTTCTCTTCATCTCATTTCCAGTTAATCACCCCGTTACTGCTGCTAATATGTAAGTTTGGCCCACCACGGACCATGTTCAATCCACTGACTATGATGAACCAAATAGGAACTACGGGTCAGCGATCATCGGCGCCATTTCGATCTTGGCGATTATGCTCTGGATATTCTACGGTCGAAACTACTACTACGGGCCTTTACAGTTCACTGCAACCGAGGCGGAGCAGACCGAGTCCATCGCATCCAAGGCGGAGCATACTGGAACCGCGAAGCTAGGTCAGCCTTAGCTCTTTATGTAATGCTGTAATAAGATTGTTAGAGTATTTTTGTGATCAGATATGATCGATATCAATGAGAACGGTCTCGGGGCGTTTAAGTGAGGGCGCTAATCGATGACCAAGATGATGACGATCCGTTTGCCTATTCTGCAACGACAGAAACTCACATGTACACCTCGGTGGACCTTCGAGATTTGGACAAAAGATGCAGTGACGAAATTGAATGCTCGGGAAGTCGCAGATGTAATACGGAGTAAAGTTATTAAAGATCTGCCGAGTCTCGGAGGGCTTTCAGTCAGCTGTCAATTTAGTATGTACCAGTTACATACCAATGGCAAGCGCAAGCATCCAAGCACTAAGTACACTGTACTGCTTCGCTCAAGCCGGCCACTCCACAGCAAAGGAGGTCGGCTTAACCTTGGTAACTTGGGCTGGGCCAAAAAGAAAAGCCTGCCGCGGTCGGCCCTGAGTGCACGAGAAGCACTTTCCCGTCCGATTAAGCTGCCACTTTTTTTAATATTGGACTCCCGAACACCCTTTTTAACATACGATAGCTTTCCTGCCTGATTGCGCAAGCCTCTAGCCCTGCCAAAGCCACACACAATTGGCTGATTATATCTTGTGCGCAGCTTGTCTCTAGGTCCATGATTTTGCAGCTAGCTGATCGACAACAGGGCGTCTTCTCCGTGACACGGTCCATCCCAACGCCCTTTGTTCCGTGCAATTAACGTTCTACTTGCACGCCATCCAAGTCCCACCGCCGGACCCCCCCCCCCCTCTCCTTCGTTCCGCCCTAACGTTGAGACGACCTCGTCAACGATTTTCCCTCGAGACCGATCTAGTTGTTCTTCTTTACAAAACAAGGCCGAAGCAAAAAAAAAGCCGAAATACAATTCACAATGGCGGCGGACGATTCCCTCTTTGCGCGCCAGTACATTGACTACGTCTACGTACCCGGCTTTCTCCTCATTATCGGCACGGCCATTGTCAAGGCATCTTGGGTCATTTACGCCATTCCCGTCGCCCTCCTCTTTGGCGCCTACAACTTTTGGAACTTTCGTAAGTCGAACTCGCGAATACCTGCATTGCCTTGGCTGGATTGGCTGCCGCGAGGACTGGCCACGCTGAGCAGTCCTGCGTTGCGGCCCCAAACAAAAAAAAAAAAAAAGAAAGAGAGAGAGAGACACCCCTTTTGCGCAGCCGCGACTGACACGCAGCGGTACCAGAGATTAAAAAGGTCCTCAAGCCCGATGTGTTCCAAGAGTTTGAGCTCCAGGAAAAGACGGTCATCTCCCACAATGTAGCCATGTAAGTCGGAAACCGCTCAATCGCTCCCGCAAATCATGATGCTGACGCCGGTCGTTTCCCCTCTCTCTCTAGCTACCGCTTCAAGCTCCCCTCGTCCCAGTCGGTCCTCGGCCTGCCCATCGGCCAGCACATCTCAATCGGCGCGCCCCTGCCTCAGCCCGATGGCACCACCAAGGAGATTGTGCGCTCCTACACGCCCGTGTCCGGCGACCACCAGCCGGGCTTCTTCGACCTGCTCATCAAGTCGTACCCGCAAGGCAACATCTCCAAGATGATGGCCTCGCTCCTCGTCGGCCAGACCATCCGCGTCCGCGGGCCCAAGGGCGCCTTTGTCTACACCCCCAACATGGTCCGCCACTTTGGCATGATTGCCGGCGGCACCGGCATCACCCCCATGCTGCAAATCATCCGCGCCATCACCCGCGGCCGCGCCGCCGGCGACGTCACCGAGGTCGACCTCATCTTCGCCAACGTCTCCCCGCAGGACATTCTCCTCAAGGAGGACCTCGACGCCCTCGCCGCCGAGGACAAGGGCATCCGCATCCACTACGTCCTTGACAATCCCCCCGAGGGCTGGACCGGCGGTGTCGGCTACGTCACTGCCGACATGATCACCGTGAGGCGCTTCCCCACAACGTTGTTTCGATCTCGCTTTTTGTTGAATGTTATGCTAATATTTTGGTTTTTCTTGCGCCAGAAATACTTCCCCAAGCCCGCCGATGACGTCAAGATCCTGCTCTGCGGTCCTCCTCCCATGATTAGCGGTCTGAAGAAGGCCACCGAGAGCCTCGGCTACAAAAAGGCCCGTCCCGTCAGCAAGCTCGAGGACCAGGTCTTTGCCTTTTAAGCAAAGGAAAAAAAAAAAGGATAACACTGGCACATTGCTGTACAAAAGAGAAATTACGGTCTTTTTTTTTCCCTCCTTTTTGCCCGACAATAGACGACCTACAAATCTCTGCGTTATGAAATTGAATTGAAGGAGGGCAAATACGGCATGACTGACTGGAAAAGAGAGGTCGGGGAAATAGAAAGTGGGAAAAGCAAGACAAGAGAGGGGCAAGATTACTCGGGCAGGGAACACCAGCTTATTCTGTACTAATTTCTGAATTGGCTGGTATTTGATGCATCGACTTGCTGTAAGCGTTCATCTAGAGCACTTTCTTCTGCTACTTCCGTGGGCATCAATGACATGTTCTTAAATCAAGGAGCAATAAATAATTTGAGATGCGACCTTGCCCTGTATCTTCAAAATAAACGGCACAAACAAAAAAACCTAAAAATACACGCAGCAGTGAAGAGTATGGTTTTCATCTCTCTCGACCCAATATATCCTCCCTAAAGCTTCTGCCGTACAACCTTTCTTTGCTGATTTTCGCCATTTGCGCCGTATGTCCTTGCAATCTGTGTCTGCCTCCACTCTCTCTCTCTCTTCTCTTCTCTTCTCTTCTCCTCCGCCATTCTACTCGTCATCTTCTTCATCGCTCTCGACGACCCGGCCACGGCGTGCCCGCTTGGCAGGCTGCCGCGCCGCGGCCTCGCCGTCGTCCTCGTCGTCCTCGCGCGGCGCGTCATCAACATCCATCTTGTCTTCACCGTCGTCGTCGCCGCCGCCGCCAGCGTTGGACTCGTCATCGCCGGCGTCCGAGGCGGCGGGATTGGAGCGGCCGATGCGGTCGGCCCGGTCGAGAACGTCATCATCATCGTCGTCGTCCCCGCCCGCGCCGCCGTCATCGTCTTCGTCGCTGTCCACGACAATCTCAGCCGACTTGAACTTGGAGTTTTCGCGTGTCGTAAGACGGCGCCTCTTCTTGGCGTGCGTGCCTTCGTCTGAGGCGTCGTCGTCGTCGTCTTTGGCCGTCTTCTTCTTGGACGACCGCTTCGACCTGCCCTCACCGGGGGCGCGGGGTGCTGGCTTGCGCTTGCGCTTCACCTTGTTGCCCTCTTCGTCCTCGGTCATCTCGGCCTCCTTTCGCGCGCGCTCCGCTTCCAATTCTCGCTCTCGCTCCTCCGTCTCGAGCTTGACCTTGGCAGCCATCTCTTCACGCTCCTTGCGGATCTTGTCCTGGCGCTCCTTTTCCTTGGCCAAGACTTCGGCGCGATCCGCCTCACGACGCTTAATCTCGGCTTCTCGCTGGCTCTTTGCAGCAGCAATCTTCTCCTTATTAACTTCCTCCCACTCTTTTTGCTTTCCAATGGCTCGCTCAAGCTGCTTACGCAGCGTGTTTCGAGCCATGTTGGCGCGCTGTTCAACGTCATGCTTGGGGTATGGCGTCTGTGGGTGAGCTGCGATAGCATCCAGTGACTCGATAGCAGCTTCGAGACCCTCAGCTGCCTTTTCCAGTTGCTCTGCCGTGCGCTTGTTTTCCTCTATGCCCTGAATAGCAGTGACAAGCTGGATCTGGACGAAAGCAACGTTGAACTTGTAATGAATCTGCTCGGGGGCAACCTTCAACGCCTTTTCAGCGCATTCCAAGGCTTTACTGTATGCGTCAATATCACGCTCTGCACGACCTCTGTTAAGCCACGTGCGGCCAAGACAAGCCAGGATAACGGGCTCATTTTGCTTGCCCTCTTTTGACAGAGCAATCTCATAGCTCTCGATGGCTTTGGAGAATTGTTTCAACTCGGCATAAATGTGGCCAAGGTTAACGTAGAGGTTAGGCTCCTTGATAGTCTCGCGCACCTTGTTGAAGATGGCGAGTGCATTTTTGTAGTCCTTCTTGTCCTCTACCAGTGCAATAGCGACACCCTGTGCTGCGTACGCATTTTTGGGGTCCAATGACAGAGCCTTTTCGAAGAACTCGACAGCTTTGCCATAGGCCGCACTGCGCTTCTGTTTGTCCGCATCCGTCTCGCGTCTCATCTCGCGAGCTTGCATCATGTGAAGATTTCCCATGCCGACAAGGGCGTATCGATCGTGTTTGTCGTAATTTTGCAAGGTATGCTTATAGTGACGGAATTCTGGGTCCTCGGCGACGTTACCAGGTCGCTTTCTCGAAACCTTGCCCAAGTACCATCCGTACAGCGCACGCACCTCAACATCGCTCGTGTTTTCTTGGTACAGCTTGGCAACGGCGTCAGGGCCCTCCTTGTTCGGGCTTTGGCGCAGCTTGATGTATGCTAGACGAGCTCGAGCGTCGGTGTAGTCGTCGTGGCGGTTTAAGAGGCCCTCATACACTTCGACCGCCTTGTCTGAGAGACCCTGGGCTTCGTAACTGCGACCTAGGTTGAAGCTAATTGACGACACAAGAGCATCGGTATCAACAGTGCCATCTTTTTCGCTCATTTTCATGCACGCGCCAAGAGCTGCTTCAAACATTTCGCTTGCCAAAACATGCTTTTCCGCCTGGAAGTGGAAGCAGCCAATATTATTCAAGAGTTGGGGAGGGAGAAACTTGCGGATAGCAGCCTGAACTTCAGCTTCCTCTGTAACACCCTCGGGATACTCCGAAGTCGGGATCTGTTCCAGTTCCAGTTGCTCTACCTGCTGTAAGCACTGGAGCGCCTTTTCAGGATTCTCGGTTTCGTAGAGTCTAGCGAGGTTGAGCAGGACGGAAGCATCTGGAGAGGCATTCCTCTTTGGGTCCTTCCAAGCATTTCGGACCGCTTCCAAGAGATTGATGGCTTTTTTCATCTCCGCCGACTTGTCCTCTTTGACATCACTCGTCTGGCTGGCAAAGATTTCCTCGGCGTACAAAGTCCCAAGAAGAATCATGGCTTCATGGCTTTTTGACTGCTGAATCATCTTTTCAAGACGTAGCTTGGCCTCGCCCAGGTCATTCTTTAGCACAGACAGTTGCGCAGCACCGAATTTGGCAGGAAAGTAGCCAGTGTCTGTTCCTCCGCGCGCATCATCGGCACGTCGGTAGAAGTCGTTGGCGTTGTCTGTGTCGCCATTGTAGTGAGCTTTTCTGGCTAGTACGTACCAGCCATCACTGGCAATGGCATTGACGTCAGTATACTGGATGGCCTTGTGAGCAAGCTTGTCGGCGTTGTCCCACGATTTGCGTGATAGAAAGTAGTTGGAGAAGGTTGAGCAAGTTAAAGGGAGATTTTTGTCAAGTTTGAATGATTTTTGAGTATACTCGGTCATGGCCTTTTTGTAGAGCTTAACAAAGTCCTCGCTGTTGACAGGGACGTGACCACTAGCATCGAGGTAATATAAACCAAGCAGGATATTGGGAACCTTGGAGTCGGGGTTGATCTCCAAACTTCTCTCCCAGGCAGTTTTGGCATCTTTTTTGAATCCGAGCTGCCAGAAACAGCAGCCAATGCCGATGCGCGGATCAGGGTCGACTAGGTCCGGCTTCTTCTGCAATACATCTTGATAAATGGCCAAGGAGTCAGGGTACTTTTGCTGCGAGAAGAATGCGCGCGCTTTTCCCATCAAAGCAAGCATATTCTTGCCTTGAGAAACTCTGAGCGCGTCGTCGAATGACTTGACAGCCGTCTTCAAAAGCTCTTGCTTTTCGGTACCAATGCCACCAGCCGTCTTGGATGGAGCCTGAAGCGAGGCTCTCAGAAGAAGTAAGACGCCGCGGGCAAGAAAGATGGGTGGAAAAGAAGGGTTGAGACGAGCAGCGTCGTTCAGCGACGATGTCGCGAGCTGAAGATAGTGTTCCTTGGTCTTCGCCTCGGAGAGTCGGACGCCGTCGGGGGCGACACGCGGAGCCTCACGACTCTTCCAGAGATACATCCAGCAAAGGCAGCAGATCATGCTGACTTTGTCGCGTGGGTTACTGGCGTTACTCTGGATAGCGCCGCCGCCACGTAGAAGCATCTCGATAGCATGATCGATTTTATGCTGCTTCGCATAGGCCAACGCGACCGTCATCCAGTAGGTCTTTGCCGCATGTTCATTCTCGAATAGTGTGCAGAGCTCAGTAGGGTCGTCCACGAGGTCTTCGAGATCGATTTCGACTGCTTCGTCTTCTTGGTCGCCTTGCACGGGAATGTCGATCGCCGAGGGAATGTCGGAGAATCTGATGCTGACAGGGCCAGCAGTAGGATTGCCATTCGCGATCCCGTTGGTCGTTCCGTTTGCGATCGCTGCCATGTTGATGCGTAGGCTTGTGAAGAGGATTGAAGATGGGGTGGCCGGTCGCCTGAGTTATGGCGTCGGGGGTGCACAGCTTCGCGCCCAACCACCAGTGCGCAGATGGCGAGTCTATGCCGGTATCGCAGGCCTCCCAAGCTTTCAATGCTATCACGCAATGTCTGCAAGCGAAATTGGCGCTGTAATGCGGCCGTTGGGGAAAGTTGAGAGCACTGGCAGATACCACGAAAGCGAGTACGGAATTTCGCGACAGCGTCTTTGAACAAGCGAAGGAGGTGGTCCGTGCACGATCGCCTATGGTGCGCCAGTAACTCGTCTGCGATTCCACCTTGGTCTTATTCAGTGTGAATAGGTAAAGAAATGCGAAATTTTGAGAAATCTCAGCTAGGAATCCTGAAAATTGGAGAGGGGAAATTATATCCTTTCATGCACATATTAGCAGAAAAACTGCTTACTTTGCAGCGCTGTGGTGCTACGTTCTATTAGTATTGACTCGAATCCATCCTTGGCAGCACTTGCCATGGAACATCACTGCTCTGACCAAAGACATTTCTTTGGTTCTCATTACACCTGCTGAATTTTCACAAAGTTGTTGCTCCGAGTATGGAATACTGACTAAATTCTGAAAGGACGACAAACATCGTCTGAACTGACCAGCGAATATCAAGTCTCCGGTAGATAGGCGCAGGGGTCTTATGTGAACAGTCAAAATTGGTATCAATGAATGAAAACGATACGAATTCTTCCGATGGGACATACACCACAGGCGCTGTCAGCACAGCTGCAGCCACCGTCCACAGCGACGACTTTCAGATGCCTCGACCGAGTTCACTACGGTATTGCGACGACAATCGGGGAGAGGGCAGCCCTTTTCGACAAACAGCAAGAAAAGATCTACCTGATGAGGAGAGTGACAAACAATTTGTAATGACTGATCTTGAGAGCGACAGCCGAGTGCCATCAGTCTCCTCTCAGGCGTCTGTTCCCTCTACATCGAGCTGCAATAGTAGTAAGGGTGGTTCAACTGATCAGGAAAGGCCACTACAAATCATGAACAGCAGTGATGTCTGGAAAGAAGACGAAGGGCCATTGAAGGGCCAGAAAACACGAGAAGCTCTCTGGAAACGCCATCAGAGAGAAGCGAAGCGGATAGCATGGGAACGCAGGTACGCAGCGCAGCTGTGCCGGTATTGCACTCGTCTTATTCCGTGTTCATTAGGTCAACCAGTAATAGAGGCAGTACCTCAAGTTGCCCCAGTCCGCCACAAGCCATTCACCAAGGAGGTGGCCGGTATGGGAGAAGGCGGGAAAGGGTCAATGATGGGGCACCAGATGACATGGATGCAGAGCTGTGAGAGTCAGAGTGAAGACCGGATGGTCTTGGGCTCTTTTCGAGGCAAGTTTGGAATCCGCTTGTGTCGAGAGCCTTTGTATTGATATTGGTAGCCACCCTCTGGTCGTGGTTATTTTGGAGCCCGATGCCTGGACATGGCAGGAATGTAGTCGCACAAACACGGCCAGATTTTCGTCTTTCTAAAGTTCAGAATTTTGGCCGGTGCTGACAATCCTGGCAGAACAAGGGACTCGGTTCTGCGAGTATGTGGTTGAGACTGAGCACGAGTTCTTTCTTCATCCTCAAGGGGTGGGAGCCTTGTTGGGGGGGGGGGGGGGGTGACGCAACTGGCCCGTGCGCCACCAGATCGTCATGGCCAGTAACCTGCTCCGCGGCGCCGCAATTCTGGCGCTGCCGCTGAATCCTGAAGCTACGCAGCTGCGCCCTATTCCTTCATCGAACTTCACACCTCCCGCCCGCTACTGGGCATCATCACGAACCCGTTCACGCCTTCTGAATTCGCTGCGTCGGAGAATGGCGACACAGCTTGCTCAATTTTCTTGACTTCATCTTCCCCGCGTACCCTTCTACTCTTGTCACGCTCCCAGCTTTTCCCCGCCATTCTCAGCCGAGCTTTCCACCCATTGCTGTCGTCACTTCCATTCGCGTCCAATTCAAACAACGAGAGTTGCCAGCATCCAGCCGAGAATCTATACAGCGTATTCTCCCCAGACATCATGTGGAATGACGAAGAGGACAACAACCCTTACGGGACCAGCTTCGACCGCCGAGACTCGCAAACGTCATCCTCGGTGAACCCTACTTCTCCGACCAGGCGCGACTGTAAGTCTGTAGCCAACAGCTTTCTCGGATCAGGGGGGAAATGGAATCCACGACGATTTCATTCCATCGTTCGTCTACTGACCAGTCTCCCCTTACAGTCAATTCTTACGAATCTGCCGCAACACCAGAAGCTAGCGATGATGAGGCGCCTGCGTTTGGTCAAGGCGCTGCGAGCGCCGACCTCGATACTGCAGATACCACTCAGGACGACGCGCCTCCCAAGCGTAAGCCCGGAGGGTATACTAGTCGCATCGAGCAGATCCTCTATGAAAATCCCAACATGCAAATTATCATAACAGACGCTGGCAAGAGCCTGGAAAGTGGTGGTCGACACATTGTCTATACCATTCGTACCGGAGTACGTGCCGCAAATCGATATTGACACACCAAGCTGACCTCGGACCAGGACCTCGAAGTTCGCCGAAGATACTCGGAATTCGCCTCGCTCAGAGATGCTCTCACCCGTCTGCATCCGACCCTCGTAATTCCTCCGATCCCCGAAAAGCACACCATGGCGGATTATGCGGCGCACCCCACGAGCGCAAAGCAAGATCAGCAGATTATTGATCTGCGAAAGCGCATGCTTGCTGTCTTTCTAAACCGCTGCCGTCGCATGGAACTCGTCCGCAACGACGGTGTTTGGCAAAGATTTCTCGATCCAAATGCAAGCTGGGTACGTCTTCTGCTTCGTAGTTGCGCTATGTGATACTGATTCGTCTAACAGAGCGAGGTACTCAACTCTCATCCGATTTCATCCATTCCCAAGAATGTTCTCAAAGCACCTCCTTTGGATCCGGCCAACCCTACTGCTGGGCATCTGTATCTTCCCGTCCCCGCGTCTTCCGCCAAGATTCGAACCGCTTCTGGTGGGAATTCGTCTCTGAGCTCCTCTGTCATCCAAGGCGGCGCCAACACTATTGGCAGATTCCCCAGCGATGCCACAAACCTAAGTGAGCAGGAGCTTGACCCATACTTTACGACATACGAAGCATCCATCAAAGAACTCGAAACTTTGTTGACAGGTCCGATGGAAAAGGTCAATCGTCGAACTCTGAGCCACCTCTCATCTTTGGCCACGGATCTTTGTGAATTGGGCTCTAGATACAACGCTTTTGCTCTCTCTGAGCAGGCCCCCTCTCTTGGGCCTGCGATTGAGAAGATTGGCCAGGCTGCTGATTCGTCTTACATAGCTACAGAAGAGCTTGCTAGCTCACTCGGCGCTAGCTTCGCTGAGCCTATGAGGGAGAATGCCCAGTTCGCTGGTGTCGTCAGAAGTGTTGTGAGGTATCGGGTGCTGAAGCGCGTGCAGCAGGACCTGACTGAAGAGGAGCTTGAGAAGAAGAGAACACTGCTCGATCAATTGGAGCGCAGTGAATCAGAAGCTCGCCGCATTGAGCAGTATCTTTCGAGTAGCCAACAACTTTCCTCACCTCCGAGACGCTCTACCAGCCTCCGAGAACCTCCAACGTACCAGAGACGCGAGGGTCATCAGGAGGATACCGAATCTATCGACTCTGATTTCCCACCGACCCATGGTGAATTTCCATCGAGCACGCCAGAGGCTGGCCAAGGCGTCCCGGAGAGAAGCACCAGTGTCTCGCACAAAAAAGCGCCCAGCAGCAACTCTATTACCAATAGAATCTTTGGTCCTCTCCGCCATGCTGTGCAAGGTGTAGTTGACGTTGATCCTGAGCGCACGCGCCGTGACACGATTGGAAAGACTAGAGAGTCTATCGGCCAGCTTGAGCAAGCTCAGGTGGTCTCCGAGAAGGATGTCAAAGAAGCTAGTGCCAGCGTCTTCAAAGATCTGCGGAGATTTCAACATGACAAGGAGGAAGACGTACGCCGCTACATGGTAAGAAGAAGAATATGCGAAATTGCCTAAAACATGTACTAACAATGAGTAGCTTGCCTATGCCAAAAGTCAGGTGGAGTGGGCCAGAAAGAGCAAGCAACAGTGGGAGGAAGCTCGACTCGAGGTCGACAAGATTGATGAAAGTTAATTGAACTATTGTAATGCCCCGGCATGGGAGCGAGCACCTTGTCCTTTGGAGTTGGTATGTTGGTTTGCGCCACCAGTAGATAATTCGCCATTGGGATTATATTTTGACTCGATGGAGCCTTTTGTCGCTCCTAGTTGTGTAATTGGTAGACAATTGACAGTATTGCTAAACACAAGATGTTCTAATCAAATTGTGTGCTCAAGAAGACAGTGTGCTAAGTGATTCTCCGCGTACAGGTACGAAACCTTGGGTAGCGCGCCCAGGAGCGACTGTCGTTTCCAAGTTTCTTACCAATGGAAGTAGTAGACAGAAGAGGGAGAGGATAGTACATATGTCATAAAGAAAAAAAATGCAAGAAAAATGCACTTGTATATTGTTTTTCCTCTATGAAAGCGACATAACATGGTAACGATTGGTGAAGCAGAGCGCTTGGGTGCAGGAGGTATCCATGGAGGTGGGTAGCGCCTCTACTTAAAGTACCTTACGTATCACCGACAGCGAGGTTGTCGCCTGCACCAACATTTGTACCAAAACTCAACATCCGCCTCATTCTGCCACTCACATCATTAACAACACTCCGCCAGCAAAGGAATAGAGCGGCGACGACGAAGACGACGACAGGTAGCAGCCATGGAGGATGGCCCAATTACCTCCATTGCCGAGCCCGGCATTAAGGCTGAGGGGCAGCTTCTGTATACCATGCGCAACGAGGTCGCAAACCTTTTGGGCCGCAGCCAAACCGGCTTCCCCGGAGCGCAACCCGTCAGCTTTGCCCGCAAGCATATTGAGGCCCTTAAAACCCAAGAGTATGTGTGCATTGTGCAGTGTGCAGTGTGCAGCGTGCAGAGTCTGCGCTGCCCTCGTGCGGCGCCTCTGTGCGGCGCTACTGTGCGACGAACCATTTATCTTTGCAATTGTGCTAACGAGTGACGCGCGACAGCTACTATGTTTGCGAAAAATCGGACGGCATTCGCTACTTGCTGTATGCGACGAGAGACGAAAGCGGTGCCGAAGCACATTACCTGATCGATCGCAAAAACGACTACTGGTTCATCACAAATCGTAATCTGCACTTTCCCCTCGACAGCGATCAGACTGCCTTTCACATTGACACGGTCCTCGATGGCGAGCTCGTGTGGGATAGCAAGCCCAACGGCGGCAGGGAGCCACGTTTCCTCATCTTTGACTGCCTCGTCATGGATGGGCAGGTGCTCATGGACCGCACGTTGGACAAGCGGCTGGCATACATAAGAGAGAGATTTCATACGCCGTATAAGCGCCTATTTAAGGAGTTTCCCGAAGAGCTCAAGTTTCAGCCATTCTTTGTCGAGATGAAACCGTTTCAGCTTGCATACGGTATCGAGATGATGTTCAAGCAGGTCCTGCCACATCTCAGGCACGGCAACGACGGGCTCATCTTTACGTGCCGCCACACACCGTACCGTCACGGCACGGATCCCCATATTCTTAAGTGGAAGCCGCCGGAGGAGAATACTATTGATTTCCTTCTCAAGCTGCATTTCCCAACTGTGCAGCCCAATAGGGCGGAGCGCGCGCTGGGAAGGACGGAGCCGTTTGTCGACTACGACAGCGTGCCTCACGCGGAGCTCATGGTGTTCACAGGCGGCAATGGACCGGAGCGCTACGAGACCTTTCAGCCGCTATACATTACCAAACAAGAATGGGAGACACTCAAGGGCCTTGGCGATCCACTGAATGACCGCATCGTCGAGTGTAACCAGGATGATAAGAAGCGTTGGCGCTTGCTGCGCTTCCGCGACGACAAGTTGGAAGCCAATCATAAGTCCACCGTCAACAGCGTCCTCCAGAGCATCAAGGACCGTGTCACAAAGCAGGATTTGCATACAGCTGCTGCACGGATCCGTGACAACTGGAAGGCGCGCCAGGCGAGAGGGGAGCGAAAGTAGTGTATGAGGAGGAATTATCAGGGTATCTCAATTGATTTCTGTTGTCTCATGTTTTCTTTTCCCCTTTTGTTTTTCCAATTGGCGTTTGCTCGGGGGAGTTATGGCTGGATTTTGGGTCGAATCAAATGCAGCGATGAGAGCTAAATAGTCACTGGCATTAATGTATTGGTGTGGAATTCGACGTAGCACGGCGTCTTTCCATTTAGACAGCAATCTTTGAACTCAATTCTTCAATTCATCATATTAAGTCAAAAGTGCAACTATTCTAGGTCATCGAAATTGCGACTTGCAAGAAGTCCTTTTTTCCTCCCTGAATGCAAAATAATTCAAAGCAATACAAAATCGAACGCCGCCCACGCTTCGCTACATGAAGCACACAGCAGCGATGGCGGCCATGACGAGGTAAGCCACAGAGCGGCCACAGCCCTCCGTGCCCGCAGAGACGACGGGAGAAATGTAGGTCGGGCTGGTGGTGACATTGATGGGCAGGCCGGTTCCGTACGAGGTAGGATAGCCATCCCCATACGGCGCCGGGAGCTCAATGGTGGTGGTGCTGGTCACTGCCGGTCCATTGCTGACGGTGACGGTCTCGGTGTGCGTGGTGACGGGGCCGGAAGGGAAGCCAGAAGTTGTAGAGTGAGGCATACCCAGCACGGATGAATTGAAGTCGACGCTGCTGCTGCGGGTGCGGGTGCGGGTGACGGTCGTGACGGTGGTAATGACGGTGTGGATGCTGGTAAAGGTCAGGGTCGTCATGGGCTCGCCTGCCGTGTTGGTGATGACACTGGTGACGGTGGCGGGCTGGCCCGAGACGGTGATGTCGGGAGCACCGCTGGTGTAGGAGACGTCCGTCTGCACATTAGTCACGGTAGCAGGGTCACCAGTCACGGTGGCATCGGGAGTACCACTGGTGTAGGAAACGTCCGTTTGCACATCTGTGACGGTGGCAGGGTCGCCAGTCACGGTGGCATCGGGAGTGCCGCTGGTATAGGAAACGTCCGTTTTCACATCCGTGACGGTAGCAGGCTCACCGGTGACTGTGACGTCGCCGGATGGGGTGGTGTAGCCTGGAGCCTGCGACTGCTTGGGAATAACGGTGACGGTGACAAGAACAGTCTCGGTCTCGTCGGACTTGGAAGACTTGCAGCTGTGCGTTGCACTGGGGAAAATGGTGATCGTGGTGGTCAGGGTCGTGGTGGACGTGGTGATAGGCTCCATGGTGTGCATGCTGTAGACGGTGTTGACAGAGGTATTGGTCCTGCAAAGCCGTTGTATCAGCGCTGAAGAGAATATGAGATGCAGGTTTGAGCTTACATGACGGGAACGCTGACGCCAACAGGCAAGCCAGTCTTTGAGGAAACATCGTCGCCGGTAGCGTGGGCAGCAGCACCGCCAGAGACGACAGAGCCGCTGACGACGGTGTCGACAGGAACAGAGTAGTCGTACGGCTGGAGGCCGGGGATGGAGTTCTCGACGTTCTGGCGGCGCAGAATGGCGGGGAGCTGCTCGCGGAACCGGACTGCCTCGACGGGCTCCATGTTGACAGGCTTTTGAGTGTAAAGAGCATAGCCTAGGGAGTGTCAGAAATTCAACTTTGAGTTTTGTAAAGGGCCGTCGAGACTTACCACAGCCAGAGGCAACGGCGACGCCTGCAATGCCGACGAGAGCCAGGGCACCAAATGCAGCGGCCACTTTGACGGCGGTGGCCTTGCCAGAACGAGGCTGGGGACGAGGCTGATACATGCCCTCGATAGGGCCCTTGTAGTCGTACATGACTGAGTTTTGCCAGAAATCAGACACTAATGAGCTTTGTTAGTGAAAAGTGAAGCATTCCCCGAGCTCAAGATGCTCACTCGCGAGTGTTTTCTGGATGTTGAGGAGAATCAGAATGGTTCAAAAAAGCCTTTTCGAGTGTGAGTAGAGTATATGATAATTCTTCGTAGATGAATCTCACTTTGTAGGTGATTTGATGTTGGAAACCAAAGACGAGTAGATCGGAAGCAATCCAAAAGTGCTGGTAAAAAAGAGTGTGCCTGTTCAGACGAAACGAGTGTGGTGATGGTAAGGGGGGGAGGAGAAGCGTGAGAGAAGCACACGGAAGTCTCAAAGTTATTTATCAGTTTCTTGAGGGCACACAAGATCAGCTCTGGCAAGAAAACTTTTCTTCGTCAAGTGAGAGCAGAAAATTGTAAACAAATGCAAACGGAGAAGCTCTTGTTGCCGCCGGCAAAGCTCTCGTAGTGCGGATTTTGACGCTCACTTTTTTTTTGGTTACAGCCAGTGCGGTATGGAAGCAGGAAGCGGATGCCAAGGTGATTGAAGATGATGTGTGTTTTTCTGATTCCTTTCTGGCTACTGACCGTCAATTGATGAGAACTTGCGCGGAATTGTTGGTTGGCGAAATCGACGAGGCCGGCAGTTGAAGGCAGATAGATCCAGGGCTCTGCCGGTTTATATTCTGGTGCTCAGTTCTTGTGGAAAGATTTCACTTTCCCTGGTGCGTCAGGGCAGTCAATTGTTTGAATTGGTGCTATCTGTCTAGATTGCAGGATTGCTGTGTGACAAGTTTGGAGTTGTCTCTCGAGGTACGAGAAACGTTCTATTCTACGCAGGGGCGTCGTGTCATGTTCTGTGTGATGCAAGGCAAACATGGCTCGTTTTTTTCGTTCAGGATCGCTAGCCTTGGGATCCATGGCAAGTGTTTTAGGAATGAGTTATAGGAATCGAAGTTGTTTATCCAGACCTGTGTGGATGAGGTTGAGATTAGCAATGGGAAAAGAGTTAACGCCAGGAACCGCCAAAACTTGATGGTCTACTCTAGATGTTAATCTCAAATGCGTCTACCGGATCCTAGTCGATAAAATCTCTGTCAAGCAGACAATGGCCCTCGTGTAGTGGTACGACAGCCGGGTAACTACGGTGGTAGCAGGTTTGGAGGCTCACGACGTGTGACAGGGTCGATGGTCTTGGAGCGAGGCGGCCCATCTTCGGGATGTGAGTTTCGCGACTGATGGACTGATGATGGTATATCTGCGCTCTTGAAGTGGTTGTGGACGTGAATTGGGTTTTCTGCCATGATTGACAAATTGGCTTATGGTAGGAGGGGAAGAAACAACACGAAGAGTAAATGGTTGTTTTTGTGCAAATATGTGGGAATATCCTGGAAAATCGAGTTGCTTATAATGATTTTTCGAGATTTTGTTCTCATCTTGATTCGTTTTCCGATAGCTTAATGAGAATTGCCCACCATCTCTTACTTGCTGCGTCGACTCTGTGACGCGGGCCAATTTGGTGCGGCGCGTCGCGTACCCAAATTTGGCGCTCACACTAAATTGCTGCCCCCCCCCCCCCCCCCCGGCCGACCGCTTGCCCGCCAAAACGCCTCGTTCATCAGCACTTTCTCGCCTGAGCTCCCCGAACAAGTTGCCCGCCTCCTCCGCATAATCTCACCAACTGCCGCTACCATCGCAACGCCTGCCCACGCTGCCCACCCGCGCATTGGATCAGCTCAGAATTCGGCGACATTTGCTCCGTCCCTGTGCGATGCTGCCGTTACCCGGCCCCCTTTGATACAAGCATATGACTTGACTTGCCCGCGCAAACGACGAGCTACTAGCCACGCCCGCGAGCACACCCACACACACACGCACCAAGCAGCGCAACCAATTTCGAGACCGCAGCCCTCTGCTACCCTTGCACAGCCAGACACTCGAGAAGCACGCGCAACACTGTCTCGCGCCTCCGTCTTGACTTGCTGCTTTGGTCGATTCGAGCCTGCATTCTCGCAAAAAGACACAAGTCGCCATGGCGCGCCGACGCGGTCGGGCGCAAGAACCGGCCGAGGCCGACCCCGTCGAAGAGCCGCAGCAGCCTGCTGTCCAGGAGACGCCCGCCGACATTCACGACGAGGACATGGGCGATGGCGACGAAGAGGAGGAGCAGCAGGAACAGCAAAGCCTCGTATTCGACGAGGAGCTCTCGTGGCGCCCGGCCAAGCCCATACCTAGCGCTACACTGCTGGCCCGCCTCGAACGCCTCTCCAAGGAACTCGCGGAATTTGATCAGGGCGCCGTCAATCTGGACTCTCTCAAGACAGTCGCTTCTCAACTCGCCCACCGCAACCTCCTTCAACACAAGGATCGCGGCGTCAAAGCCTATACGGCCTGCTGTCTGGTCGACCTGCTCCGCCTCTATGTTCCAGACGCGCCCTTCACAGATGAGCAGCTCAAAGTACGTGCCAATCCTCCCACGGTTGCTGAATTACCGACTCTTGTCATTCTCAATGCATACTGACTGAATTTGCTCCTGCAGATGATGTTTGTACTATTTGTCAAGGAAATCTTGCCAGCTCTCCACGACCCCACAAATCCATACGATAGCCAGCACAAATACGTTCTCATGTCTTTGACCGATGTCAAGAGTATCCTGCTTATTTGCGATGTCCACGGCGCCGATGATCTGCTTCTGCGACTATTCAATTCCGCTTTCGACGGCGTTTCAACCAGCTCCAAGGCTTCGCCCGATCATCAGGTGGCCAAAGATGTCGAGATTCACCTGACCGATATGTTAATGCACCTTATCGAGGAGTCCCCCGGTAGCGTTCCAGCTAGTGTTATTGACGCCATCATCAGTCAGTTCCTCCGGGCTGCTCCCCCGGGCGGAAACAAGACTAAAGAAGCCAATGGCAAGCAATCGACGCTCCTGCACAAGACCGAGCCTCCCGCGTATATAATGGCGAAGAACATTTGCAATGGCTGCGCCGATAAAATGTCGCGCTATGTTAGTCAATACTTTAGCGACGTTATTCTCAATGCCTCGGGCTTTGCCACCAAGAACGGATACGGACATGGCGACGATAGCGACGAAGAAGACGCCAATTCCGGTCCCTCAGAGGCCGATCTCAAGAGCCTGCGCCAGGCACACGCCTTGATCCGAGAGCTATGGCGAGCCGCGCCCACAATTCTGCAAAATGTTGTTCCGCAGCTCGATGCAGAGTTGTCTGCTGATAATGTGCATCTTCGTCACATTGCCACTGAAGCGTTTGGAGACATGATTTCAGGCATTGGTGCTGCTGGTCCCCCTCCGCCACCTGCTCTCGACCCTGCCGCCTGGCCGCCTGTGCGATTGATGGACGAGCCCGGTACTCCCACCGAGGCCAACGTTCTCACTACGCCATTCTCACCTCAGTCCTTTGCTCAGACGCACCACGCCACGTATCGCAACTTTGTCAGCCGGAAAAATGACAAGTCTGGCACTATCCGCGCCGCTTGGGTCACCGCCGTTGGCTACATCCTTTCTTCTTCCGCCGGTGGCATTGGCCTCAGCAGAGAAGACGAGACTGAGCTCGTACGCGGTCTGGTTGACAAGCTAAGTGATGGCGAGGAAAAGGTACGATTGGCCGCTGTCAAGGCCATTGAACTGTTCCAATTCAGAGATGTGATTCTCAAGCTCGGCGCTACCGGAGGCGTTGATAAGGAGGGCTCCCTATTTGCCAGCTTGTCTGATCGATGCCGTGACCGAAAGGCGTCTGTCCGCGTGGACGCCATGGTTCTGCTTGGAAAGCTGTGGGCGGTTGGTGCTGCAGATATCCAAGATGGACAAGAGGCAGTGACTGCCTGTCTCGGTGGTGTACCGTCCAGGATTATCAACTCCTTCTACGCCAACGACTCAGACCTCAACGTTTTGCTCGATCGCGTCATGTTTGAGTGTCTTGTTCCCCTCAAATTTCCGCTGGTCAAGGGCAAGTCTGCCAAAGGCGGCTCCAATAAGAATGCTATGAGCCAGACTGAGCAGGACAGTATTCGCGCCGAGAGGATTCTTCTGATGCTCAAGGCTCTGGATCAGCCAGCACAGAAAGCCTTTTTCGCCATGCAGGCGCGCCAGCCGCAATTCGCCAAGGGTGTCTCTATTCTGATCCAGCAGTGCGAGGCTTACAATGGCGGTGTGATTGAATCTAACGAAGAAAAGGTCAAGGCCAGCCTCGCCAAGACAATCGACTGGATCGGACGTTTCTTCCCCGATGGGCTCAAGGTCCGTGGAGATTTACAAAAGTTTGCCAAACTCAATGAGCGCCGGAGCTACCAGCTTGTCAAATACGCGATTGAATCAGAAAGTGACTTCAAGACTGTACGGAGAGCCATCAGCGAGCTCATCACCAAATTGCAATCTAGCAATGCAGCTGTTGCACTTGATACTCTCATCCCCCTTCTCTACCGGTCCAGCTCTCTCATGTTCAACCGCAGTCACCTGGCAACAATTATGGACTTTTCCAAGAGCGATAAGAATGGTCTGGCCGCTGTTGCCCACCTGGTTCTCAACGACATTTCGCAACGCAATCCCGATCTGTTCAAGGCACACGCCGAGGAACTTCGAAAGGAGATCATTGAGCAGTCTCCTTCCGAGAACAAGACCAACGACCCTTCCTTGGTCGACATCCTGAAGGCGTACTCATCCTATGCGAAGAAGTACCCCAAGGACGTCAGCTTGGACAGAAGCTTCATCCAGACACTTACCAACTATGCCATGTATGGAACACCACCAAAGGCGGCCAAGTTTGCTATCAACATCATGCTCGCCAAGGATGATGACAAGAGTAAAGTCACTGCTACCAACCTGCTACGCAAGGCAATGCAAGATATCGCGTATGGAAAGCCGCACTTTCTGAATAAGCTTGCCACGCTGAGTCAGTTGGAGCTACTCACCCCCACTGTCACAATGGATGAGGGCGACGCGATTCAAGACCTGACAATCAAGTCCATACTCCGCCAAGTGCACACGGATGCCAAACCCGGAGCTGACCCGGCATGGGTAGACGATGCTGATATGGATGAGGAAATCCAGGCCAAATGTTTGGCCCTGCGCATTCTTGCCAACCAAGCCATTGCCAACCAGAACGAGGCCGATGCCGAAACAAAGGTCAAGACGGTCTTTAAACTGCTCAAGACGTTTGTGGTTAGTGAAGGCGAATTCTGCAAGGTCAAGGACACCCCCCAACATCACAAGAAGAGGCTACGACTTCTAGCTGGTCTTTTGATGCTCAAGCTATGCACAATCAAAAAGTACGATGAGCAACTCGACCCCGTCACCTTTAACAAGCTCGCGGAGCTGGTACAGGACAGCGAAGTACAAGTCCGTCGGCGTTTCATGGAGAAGCTGCAGAGCTACCTGACGCACGGCAAGCTGCGGGCGCGGTTTCTTACAATACTTTTCCTCGTTGCCTTTGAGCCAGTGCCAGAAGTCAAGAATCGCGTCGAGACTTGGCTCCGCTCCCGAGCTCTGTACTACGCCGAGAACAAGAAGGAGGTCATGGAGGCCATCTTTGGACGACTCATTCCGCTCTTGGCTCATCACCCGGATTACAGCGCTAGTGTGGATGACTTGGCAGACTTTGCCAACTATTTTCTCTTTTACCTCAACGCGGTAGCGACAGAGGCAAACCTAGGTCTCATCAGCAAATATGCCGAGAGAACAAAGCAGACGCGCGACGCGATCAATCCTGACGCTAGCGAAAATCTATATGTCCTCAGTGACTTGGCACAAGCCATCATTCGGAAATACCAGGAGAAGAGAAACTGGAGCTTCCGCGTATACCCCGGCAAGGTCGGACTGGCCACTGGTCTCTTTGCGCCGCTGCCTTCTAGTGAAGTAGCAGAGGAGATTGCAAAGAGGCAATACATTCCAGAGGCGCTGGATGAAAAGCTCGATAGTCTGCTCCGATCTTTTGAGCGCAAAAAGGTACGTCAACTGACTTGACTACAAACGAGGGAGACGCGAAGCTAACAGCCAGATTAGAAGCGCAAGTCAATGCACGACCCTAGTGAGCCGTCATCCAAGCGCTCAAGAACACAGATCAAGACGGTCATTCGTGAAAAGGCGGCTTCGAAACAACCAAAGGTCAAGAAGGCTAAAAAGGTCAAGGCGGCCCGTCCAAAGAAGGAGCGCGCGTCGATAGCCGACGAACCCGGCGAGCGTCGCCGCAGCAGCCGCGTGACCAAGACCTCCGACTACAAAGAGCGCGATGACAAGGACGACGAGGACGAGATGTTGGACGGTGTCGCCGAGTGGAAATATGGCGATGACTCGTCGGATGAGGAAAGCGAGGATGAGGAGTCGGGCGAGGAGTCGGGCGAGGCCGAGGAAGAAGAGGAAGAGGAGGCGGAGAAGGGGGATGAGGAGGGGGAAGAGCAAGAGCAGCCGGCTGCAAAGAATGGGCGGCGAGCGCAGGTGGCAAAGCCAGCCGTCAAAGCGAGTGTCCTGGCGGGAGTTCGCAGGGGGGGCCGATCTAAGCGATCATCTCGAGGCGACGACATGGACACGGATGATTAAAACGGGAAGCAGCACGTTGAACGGAGCGCGGGAGAAGATTTTCTGGAGTATTACCCTTGTCTATTATTTGGTTGGTTATTCTCCGTGGTTTTACGATGATGTCTTCCTTGTTAGGACAGCCCGACTCGTTTGTTGGACTCTGTATTTGGCTTCCGACGCGCTCTTGGGAGGTGGAGGCATCTCTGGATAAAGGGGTCGGCCTGAAGACGAAAAAGGAAACGATTTGTAGGCTACGCGCGCTTCAGCGGAGGAAACACTATTCTTATCGGATGGGGAGGAGGATATATGAATTCTATTATTTTTTACCACTCATGGGGAGGTATGGAGGAGTGTGCGTGCTACTTGGTTTGGACTTGCGTGTTGTGGCTTTTTTTTTTGTCCCTCTCTATTTCTTTGATAATTGTTCGTTTTCTCATCTCTGGAGTAGCCACTTGTTTTTTTCCATTGTCGTTGCTGATACAAAAAAAGATTGTTTGTTGCTACTTTTATATACTCCTCGCCATCATAGCAGGCTCCTCCATGTCCATGCCTTGACTCGGCTGTGAACATGGGAGCAAGGCAGTAAGTAATACAACCAATTACAAAGCAAGACACACTCTACTTCAACGCAAATCGGCGCACGAGAACCCGCAAACATGCAAGTCAAAAGTCGTTATTTACTTGACACTGTTCGTGTTTTGAAACCAAAAGAGTTGCCACGTCACATATTGCTAGATGAAACTTATGATGAATGTCATGTTTGTCTATTTCCTGCTGTACAGCGGGACCCTTTTTTATTCTCTGCTCTGCATACCTATAAATCAAAAACAAAGACTCCGAATCAACAAGAGAGTGAGAGAGAGAGAGAGAGGTAGAGAGTAGTGAAGAAAAGGACGAAATATTCGACACTTTAACAAGATGCAAACACACGCACGCACACCCGCAACCTAAAAGAACAACCCCTCCGTCGTTGCAACAAGAAAAAAATGAAAAGCCTTCCGCCGAAAGCCGGCGGCCTCTTATCACTTGCTCTCTTGGCATGAAGCCAACGCAGCTGCATATGAGCAGCGTCTTTTAAAAAAAAAACAAGAATGGACAAACGCCGAGTTTGCCTGGTTTTTCTTCCCCTTCCAAGAATCGACATCTTGCCTCCACCTTACTCTCTGCTTGTCAGATTAGAGCGACTGATTGCAAGAGACTTGAAAGAGGAACCCAAAAGAAGACACAAAATAATACAAATCCATAAATTTCTCTTTGGCCTCTTTGTTTCGAATCCAGCGTATACTAATGTCGTATCCTCTCTTTTTTTCCCTCCTTTTTATTCCCTCAGTGGCGTCCTCCTCACGAAGAAGCATTGGACCCGCTGCCGCCGCCGCCGCCGCCACCGCCCTCGGCCATCAAACGGAGGCGGACCGCCTCGCGGTGGCTGGAGAAGCGCAGGTGCGTCTCGAATTTTTGCGCCGTCATGTCCGGACCTGGTGTATACAGCTTAGACGTACAGTCGAGACAGCGAATGCGCGGCAGCCAGGCGTATTTAACGCCGTCGGGTAGCGGGTGGATCTGAACGGGCAGCTCCGTGACGGGGTCGAGGTACGAGTACTTCATGATGGCCTCGAAGCGGTCGCCCTCGGGATACTTTTTCTCGAGGCCCTTGAGGGCTTGGACTAACCAATTGGGAGGATTCGGCTGCAGACGAGGCTCGTTAGCAATGGACATCTCCCGGGGAAGAATGCAAAATGGCGCCGAGAAAGTCTTACCGGAGTATGCTGCTGCCCTGGTACAGGAGGGGGCGCCGGCAAGCGACCAATCTGTCCAGGCGGAAACTTGCCAACCACATGGGGAATAGGCACAGGGGTTGTACTAATACCGCGTGACGGTGTCGAGGTTGGAACTGCCTTGGCGAGAACCTTTGGAGTGGCCCCTTGCGAAGGAGTCGGAGGTTGTGAGGGTGTGTTGGTGAAGCGGTATTCGCCACGCAGCAGCCGCCGCAGCTTATCCTTGTTGATCTTGAGCGTGACAACCAGGCGCCCAGGATCCTCCGTCTCCTCGCGGAAGCGACGCGACGTCCTCGTCTCGTGATGCAGGGCGTCGGGTGTTTCGGAGCGTCCGAGGTTCGACATGCGGTGCTGGGCCACAGACGCGGCGCCGCGCATCCCGCGCGTTCTGGCCGTGCCAGCAAACTGTGACGGCGCGGGTGATTCTGGCACCGAGTCCTCACTATCCTCCGAGTCAGAAATTTCACCCTCGCGGTTCGGTCGCTTGCGGGTGCCGGCGGCGCGTTTGAACAGGCCCGTCTCCTCGAGGTTTCCTGCGGCGCCAGGCAGCACGGACGAGACGATGAGGGTACGGATAGTGCGTTGCCGCTCGCGCAGGTCGGGCAGCTGGGGTCCTCCACGGCGGTTGATCGATCGCTTCTGGCGTCGCTGCTCGCGGGAGAAGATGGTTTCGTTGCGGTCTAGATCGGCATCGCTCATCTCGTACATGTAAGGCGCGTACTCCTTGGCCTGCTGCTGCGGTCGGAAGACGGTGGGGATGGGCGTCTGCAGAAACGCCGACACGAGATCCGAGTCTTCGATCGGGCGGCCGTCAAAGGGATGGCCGACGCTGTACAGGCTCTTTGTGAATAGTTGCGACTGCTCGCGAATGCAGTGTGCAATGGCTGTGGTAAACTCGCCGGAAAGGGAGAGGTCGCGAGCCATATTGGCGGCAAACTCTTCGGGCGAGTTGGAAGGGTTATTGATTTCCCATTCAAATTGATCGACGAGCGTGTGCGGGCCAATTGTGATGTTGAGTTTGACAAGTATCCTCATCTCATCGTTCTTATATGCAGAGTAGGGCAGCTCAGGGTCAAGCGCGTCCTCCTCCGAGAAGACAAAGGGGTAAAAGTCGTTGAGCTGTTCGCGCATTTGAACGACAATCTGTTCGAAAACAGGCTGTGCGGCAGGAGGTTTCAAGCCGATATCTTCGACAAGTTGGGCTGCGAAAAGCTCGACATGAAGTATGCGGTCGTGAAGGTTCCACGTAAAGGTATCGCGCAGCTTGAACTTGTCCCATTCAACTTCGATGCGGACAGGGACCAGCTCCTCGTGCAGCTCTGCCTGTTTGAGCATATCCTTGCGCGAGTATTTAAGAGCAGGCGTCGTTCGGCGACCGGGGCGGACCTTTTGACTGGGGTAGACGATGCGGGCTGGGGCGTGATTCTCGGTAAAGCCATTGGCGTAGCCCCTGTAGCCTTCGCCGTATAATCTACCGGGGGTAAATACGGGCTGGTAATCTGTTCTAATGTGACGGTACTCATTAATCTTTTGTCGCTGGTAGCTTGTGGATATGCGCGTATGGTTGAGCTGGTCCGAGAGGGCGGCTGCGGCGACGGCGTCGCGGGACGTGAAGCGCTCCACCATGAGCTTGGTGAAGGAGTCTTTTGTTCGCTCAATGGGCTCGGGGGCCGCCGCAGGCGAACTTTCGGCAGAGGCCCGGGAGTTGCCATTGTTCTCGGATGCGCTTCCAGCGACGGCGGTAGGAGTCGCATGGCCAGAGCCCGCGGCCGAGGCCGACGACGTGGAGGGCTGGGTGGCAGCCATGGTCACGTAGCACCGGCGCGCGCGCAGGGCAGTGCGAGGGACGAGAGCGCCGCAGCAAATGCGACGGCGCGGGGAGGAAGACGATGACGAAGGCGCGCAGGGTCAAATAGGCGATTGATGAAAATGCGAATCAGGGGAGCGGGAGGGCCAGGCGCGGTTGGTGGGCGATGGGCGCGACGCCGGTGGTCGTAAATGGGCGTGGTTTGGAAAAGGCTCCGGGGCGACTTGAGTCTTTGCCGCGACGAACAGGAGGCTCCTGTTGCTGGTGTGGCTGGTGTGGCTGAAATACAGTGTGTGGCTGACGGTCGATTGAGGCTGAGTGAGCTTTGTACATGTACATGTGATGTCGGAGAGGCTGTATGCAGCTGGAAGTAGAGGTACCATGCGATGAATTGTGTTTCATGTGCTGCCGAAGATGTGCCGGTCCATGTAATATACCTGCCGGCTCGTAAGATGCGTATTGGCCGGCGGTTACAACTGTAGATAAGTGTGCTGTGTATTGATTGGGATGGCCTAATAACCGATTCATGCGGGGGAGTATCGGCGTATCGCTTGATTCGGGATATGGGGAGGTGATAGATGACAGTTAGGAAGGGTTGACTGTAACGAGCTTGAACATCAACTAGCCAGAGGAGACCTGATGATATATCAACAACAAACGCGAGAGCTAGGCACCGAAAAAAATAAACACTAAGAAATATGACTGACCAAGTGCCTCGAATGGACTTTCCGACCATATAAAGAGATCTGTCGCGTAAACAGGCTCATTGAAAGAGGCTCTGCAGGGTAGACAGTCACCGTCGGCTGGTCGCACTTGCAGACATATTGCTATCGATAAGGGAAGGTAGCCCGTCTTGCCCGTCAATGATCACACAGCACCACCTTCACCACCAACAATCCACAGTGACATCAGGAGCCAGCCACGCTAGGCAGGCAGGCATCATGGTTCAAAAACCGTGTTGCTTATATACCCGGGAACAAAGATTGCCATGGAAATACCTGTGCTACATAGATAGATAGCTCTGGCAGGTGGCAAGTGGGATGCAAGCCTGACAGTGCCCCTCTAACCCGCATTGGCTGCAGCGGCCAGATTGGTCCTGGTTGGCTTCTGTTTGGTCTGTTTTTAGGCCTCTGCGCCCCTCTTTCCTCCCACCACAGGTCAGTCATTTACACCAAATTTTCGGTGCAGAGCTCGCCCTCATCCACTCTCCATTTTTGTTGCAGCCAGTCATTGTTTTTCACCAAGCTTGCCCTCTTTCCACTGCTACACCAAACCAAGAATCTCCCATTCAAAAACCCGCCCATCATGTCTGAAGAGAAGGAGATCGGTAAGTCACCACTGCCATGCACGCTCACACCCATCTTGCCCTATATAAACCATGTAGCCGCTGAGAATGTCAGCTTGCGCTGCCCCTCCGTCTTCTCAGTGGTGGCCTGAGATTACCCCGCCAAAAGCGTGTCGCCGTTGAGAGCTTGTTGCGCTGCTGCCCACGACAGCATCAAAAGCGCGCACACGATCTGCTACGGTTGCAATCTACGTCTTATACAGACGCTGACATTGAAACAGATTACACTCTCAACAACCCCGATACTCTGACCAAGTATAAGACGGCTGGTCAAATCTCCGAAAAGGTCCTCGCCTTGGTCGCCGAGCTCTGCGTCCCCGGAGCAAAGATTGTCGAAATCTGCCAAAAGGGCGATAAGCTTATCGAGGAGGAGGTCGCCAAGGTCTACCGCGGAAAGAAGATCACCAAGGGTAGGTGGTCAACAGTTGCGCAAACAAACCTGCTCCATCACTGACAGCATGTGCACTCAGGCTTTTCCAACCCCACCACCATCTCTCCCGCTTCATATGTCACCCCCTACACTCCTCTAACCTCGGATGAGACGGAGGCTGCCACTGAGATCCAGCCCGGAGAGCCCATCAAGATCCAGCTGGGTGCCCAGATTGATGGATTCGGTACCATTGTCTGCGATACCGTACTCGCCGGCAAAAATGGCGAGACCATCACCGGTCGCTCTGCCGACCTGCTCCTCGCCAACTACTACGCCAATGAGCTTCTCCTGCGCTTGATGGTTCCTCCCGGTCTCCTGGCACAAGGTACCGACGAGGAAAAGGCCAAGGCTGCCTCCAAGAAGGCCCCTTCTCAGAGCCAGATCACCTCCCTGCTCGAGAAGGTCTGTGAAGCCTATGAATGCCACCTCGTCGAGAGCACCACTTCGTGGCTGTTTGACCGCAACGAAATCGAGGGCACCAAAAAAATTGTTCTTGCGCCCACCGAGGGTGCCAAGGGCGATGGCGTTCCCGAGGTTGGTGAAGTCTGGGGTGTCGAGATGGGTGTCAGTCTGGGCTCGGGCAAGTGCAAGACGCTCGACGGCCGTACCACCCTCCACCGCCGCACCGCCAACACGTACGGCCTGAAGCGCCCTACCTCGCGTAAGATCCTCTCCGAGGTTCAGAAGAAGTTTGGTACCTTCCCGTTCAGCTTGCGACAGCTCGATGACGAGCGCGATGCCAAGTCTGGTGTCGTCGAGTGCGTTCGTGGCAACGTCTTCCGCCAGTACGAGATTGTTGGTGACAAGGATGGCTCTCCCGTCGCCAGACTGCTGACTACAATTGGTACGTAGCCCTTGGTGAAGCAAGATGCGATGTAGATGCAAACTAACTCATCGATGCAGCCATCACCAAGAATGGTATCACCAAGCTTGGTGGCCCCAATGCTCTTGACCTCAGCAAGGTGCAGTCTGACAAGAAGATTACGGATACCGAGATTCTCAAGATTCTTGAGCAGCCCCTGGCCCGCAACACGGGCAAGAAGAAGAACAAGAGCAAGAAGAAGAAGACTACCAAGAAGAGCGATTCTGACGACGAGGAGTCTGACAGCGAGTAGACCCAACGGCCAACTCAAAGACTGCACAGCCTCATCCAACTCTTGGTATGAAGCTTTGTATGTGTTGTGCCGCCGAATACTTGCCTAGGCAAACGCCTATTCTGTCCGGTCCGCCTTTGTTGGGCACAGCTTGCAGTAGGAGCGGTGCAGAAGTGTACGCACGCCGTTGCTGCGCGCGAGGTGACGCATAGCAAAATAGCGGGCAGGGGAAGTTAAAAGGCTTGTTCCGTCGTCTTGAAAGACTGGACAGCGTCGATGACGCGGTTGGTTTGCGTACACATAGATACAAAAATACATGATTTGGACGGGCCAAGGCAGCACAAGACGGGCATTTCGTGATAAGGTCAAATGTTTGTTGGTGGTGTGCTTACCCCTGAAGGCTGTGACGTGTATGGTTGGCCAGCTGCCGTGGTCGAGTGAGACGGCGTGAGTGGCAAATGTGCTGCGCGATATTGCAGCCACTTGAAGCCAGAAATGCAGGTATTCATTCCGTCAAGGCAGCTGCCGGTGCCAGGCAACAGTAGGACTGATAGGCTGAAGAGGATCGCGCGTTCGACAAGGCAGATGCTGGACAGTAATTTTTGGTCTTTGTTGGGTGAGCTGTGACCTACTGTTTGTTGTTGCATGGGTGGCTGAATGGATACTGTGCACCTCAGTCAGTCACGGCCGTAGGCACCACCGGCTGAGGTGGTGCTGGGGTGTGACAGAGTAATGATAGGCATGCAAGAAGGATGGGGATGATGAAGAGCAGCGGGAGAATCTCGAGCACGGCAATGTGACGTGACGGGGAGAGGGTAAGTCGTGGGAGACACGGCACCACACCCCCCTTGCGTGGAGATGAATTTTGCATTGTCGTGGCTTTGACTGCAGATATACACCTATTGCCATGGGCGTGTACGAGTGTGTATCCGGCGGGGGCGTCTTGGGATTATGTGATGGCCTGAGCTTCTGCTTATTTTTTCCCCTTCGCAGACGAGAGAGGGCATGCCGACGGGCGTTGAGTCTTCATCTATTGAATATCCTTGGATATATCAAAGATAGAGAATGCCAAGTGCGGCGGTGCGGGCCTGGTCGGGATGGAACAGCCTACAGCCTACCTTTTTACCTTAGGTAGGTACCTAGGTGCTAGGTAGTAGGTAGTGGTGCCGAGTGGTTCGCGTCGGGCGCTATAAAGCCGTAATAGTGGATGCGATAGCCTGCTGAAATACGCAGGTTTAGGCGGTACTAGCGCTATAAAACGGAAAAGTTGGGCATTAGGTAGGTATTTTTGGCGGGTCGTGGTTGATGGCAGGGTCTGGAAGTGCCTATGTCGTAGAACTGTAGTGCCTGTTCCCCAGCGGTCCAGCCGGCTCCCAACTCGAAAGCTACCTGCCACGCCTGCCTACCAACGTCAAATGGAGCATCCGGCCCGGTCGCGCGTTGCCACCCCTTGCGACTTGACAACTTCAACCTTCTTTTTCTGGCTTCTCAAGGTTTCAAATAAACCGCGTCAAACAAGCTCCAAAGCGCGACCCAACCCTCGGGTGCTCTTGCTTTACTTTTGAAAAATCAGTATGTCACGCTTTCATTCCTGCGCTGAGCTCCTCGACTGACCTTTGCTGAGATAGCCCATCCTCCCAGCTGGTATAGCAAGTGAAGCTTGCCGCATTTTCGCTCCCATCACCTGAGCCACCGGGGGCCTAAAGGAGCAGAGTGCCATCAGGATCAAGCCCAACACTGTTGAGTGCGGAGTCACGGAGGGAAGCAAAAGGGGGAGCTGCACAGACGCTTCAAAATGTCGTCGAGCACGAGAGCCACGCGCTCGCGCTTCTCCAGTCCTGCGCACCAAGGCGTCGCGACCCTGGGGGCGAGCTCGCCACTCGAAGTTTCGAGGAGCTCCGGCAACGACACATCGCGGTCCTTTATGCAGCGATGGTTAGAGCCCTCTATTCAGAATAGGGCTAGCTACGAGGAGGCCGGACTGATGCGTTCGGGTGTGCTCGAGGGCATGGCGCCGCTCGGAGTGCCGCCCAAGCCCAAGCAGCTGGAGAGCAGCAATGGCAACGGCACCGGCAGCGCGCACGGCGTGCGAAGGGTCATACTTAGAACAGGAGGCGCGTCCAAGGATAGAAATGGCGCCAGCAGCAGCACCGAGAGCAATGGTGATAAAAGCACGGCGACTGCCTTGTCGGGCAGTGTCGTGGCGGGCACAAAACGCGCGGCATCGCCGGGAAGCCGTCCGACGGCTGTCTCGTCTCGCCGGTCGCTGCCGGCTAAGGGTGTCTCTAAGAAAAATGACGACGACGACGACGACGACTACAATCCCGGTGGAAATCGGCGCAAGAAGTCTGCTCGACGGTCTCAAGCGCCCTCATCCAAGACTCAGGAGATCCAAGACGCTGAGGCGGGCCAGGCGGCCCCAGCGCTCTCGCCAGGTAAGCAAAACATTAAAGCGGCCCGCCCCCAAGCTGTGAGATGATGTCTTACGGAGAGAATAAAAATTTCATGGCACTTTTTTTAATGAGCAAAATTCATTGACGCGGCAGACGAAACAGGCCTCAAGCTCTATCCTACGGCATGGGCTCTCAGGACCCTGTACGACGAAAAGTCTGAAGATCCCGAGTTTGACTCGATGGTGACGGACGTTTTACAGCAAACTGCAGATGATGACACGCTGGATGAATTCTCCAAGCACATTGGGGAGAAGAAGCGCGAAGGGAGGACAGACAACGGAGATTGCTACTATTTTGCACCGCCCTCTACCGCGACAAATCGCCGCATCGAAGCGCAAAAGACGAGGAAGCCCACGGATGCGCATCACGGTGAGCTGGTGGGAGACAGCGAGGACGAGGAGGAAATTGAGGAGCCGGAGGAGCTACAGTCGCCAGCCGCCGATGCTGAGGCGGGTGGCGTGGGAGAGGCGGATGAGGGCGAGAAACGAGCTGCCAAGAAGGCGAAAACGTCACACCCATCTTCCGCCAGCACCGCAGGCAGGAGGCTGGGGCTCGGTGACGAAGACGAGGGAGAGCGCAGTCACGGTCAGCAAAGCGCGGCAGCTGCCACAACCACAGCCACAACTACGACTACAACCACGGCAACGGCAACGGCAGACGGAGACGCAGATACGCCATTGCGCAAACGCCGACGACGCAACTCGGGATCCAGCGACTCGTCACTATCGTCGGCCATGACGCTGCCGTCACCTGAAATGCGCAACAAAGTTGGCGCAGCCACTATTGGTGCGATTGGTGGTGGTGGTGGTGGTGGTGGTGGTGGCAGTAGGGGGGCCACTTCTGGAACGGCAACTGGAACCGCGACTGGAGCCAGCACCAGCACCAGCACCAGCACCAGCAAGCCCCGGTCCCAAAAGCCCAGCAAACCGAAGCAAGCTCAAACCAAGCTCACCTCCAGCACAATTACAGCCACCAGCGCCCGCGATCAATTCTCGTTGCGACCGGTCAACACCGTGCGACCAAGGCCCTCCACCATCGCTGCGCTCCAACCGTACGAATCCATCACCGCCTCATCCGAGCTCAACTCTCCTCCAGCCTCACCTACCGCCCACATCCACTCATCCAGGACGCGGCAAGCGAGCATGCCCGGTCGGCTGACCGCTTACTCGAATTCGTCTCCTCATCCGCCCAAGGCCAAGAGCAAGTCACGGGCACCTGCGGCGGACTCTGATGCACCCATGCAGCAGAACCAAGCCGCCGTCCAGCGCGACGGGTCCAATGAGGACCTTGACGCCGTCTGGACGAGGCGCCGCGACGCTCAGCACGTCACAAACAACTACACAGCCGCCGAGAGCGCGGTGCGCGGCTCTAGCCAGCGGCGCGATACCACACCCGTCAGTAAGACGATACGGTCTCGCCGCTCCCTCGCCAACCCGCCACCCACGACCCGAACTACGCGCTCGGCCACGAAGCGCCCCAATGACCAGCCCGACGAGACAGTGTCGCCGATCCCCTTATCACTCACTGGTGACGAAACCTCGACGGTAGGAGGATCCCGCGCCGTCACACCGACGGCTCAGCGCCAGGCGAAGCGACCCAAGGGTCTGCGCGTCAAGTCTTCGTAAGTTTACCTCGGAAGCACATAATTACCGTATCAAATTCGGCGGCAGCTTTGAATCATGAAGCTAGGTCGAATCATCATCTTCCGACGCTGTGTCTTGTTTGACCGCGTCCTGCTATATTTCCTCGTGGCGAAAATTTCACCTTGCCCCGCATACTGGTCCTACAGGACAATGCGATCATTTCAATTTCAACCTCCTCTCAGGGATTGCACTGCTGACTTTTTCTAACAGGCCAGTCAAAAAGAGCGGCGGGCCTGCGGGAGGACTTCCGAGACTGGCGAGCGAAAGTCAGTCTTCATTTAGAGCTGGCACGCCCAAGGATCCGGTACGTATTACACAGTTTTCCCTTTTTTTTTTGTAACACGAGCAAATTGCAGAGCATCGTCGGTTGGAGGCGGAAATTCCAAGTACGATGACGTGCGCCGTTGCTCGGTTTTTGCGCAATGATTTTTTTCGCGGACTGGTGCAAGCAAGAATGCGGCGATTACGGCCCTCACGGATGCTAGCGGCGGCTTGTACGCGTCACTTTGGTAGCAGGTAACCGAGGAGGCTTGCGCCTCTCCGGGCACCTCGGCGCGCCCCAAGCAAAACCGGCGAGGGCTGCAAAATGCAAAAGGGCGATGAACTACAGCGAGAAAGATGTTTATGCTAACCCTTAACCAACGTAGGCGACGGACAACGATGAATTCTGCTCAGCCTGTGGCAACGCGGGCGATGTGCTTTGCTGCGACGGCTGCCCTAGGTCGTTCCACTTTGAGTGTGTCAATCTTGCCCAGTCAGAGGATCTGCCCGACGATTGGTACTGCAACGAATGCATTGTACGCCGATTTCCCTCGCGTGTCCCCATACACAAGGGCGCCTTTGCTTCGGCCCTGAACAATCTGGAAAAGAGCATACCTCGTGCCTTTAGCCTGCCCAAGCGCATCCAAAACCGCTTTGAGGGCGTCAAGGCTGGGCCCGATGGTGACTATGAAGAGGTGGCGAGCAAAACAGCCAAGTAAGTTTTTTTTGGATCGTCTATGCACGCCCAAGGCTACATACAGTTGGAGGCCTTGGGCTGCGAGCAAAAGCAAGTGGTACGCGGATCAATGACTAACGCAGGCCTCGCCGCCACTACAGGAGAAGGACAGGCTACGACGAGATGCCCGATCTGTTCAAGCAGCGAGACGAGAATCAGCCGGTGCTGTGTCACGCGTGCCAAAAGCCATCCAACGATGTGAGGGCCATTATTCCCTGCAGCGTGTGCCCGTTTTATTGGCATCTCGACTGCCTGGACCCCCCTTTGGCTGTGCCTCCCGTCCTCAAGACATGGCGGTGCCCGACTCACGTGGACGACGTTCTGGCCGATGCGCCTCGACTCGCGCCAGCCCACAAGTTTCGCAAGGTCAAGAACGCGCAGCCCATCACAACCATCTTTACCAGGGGCATCAAAAATAACGGCCACATTGAGATTGATTGGACCGACGAGCCGGAGCTGCTCAAGGATGCCGGCTGGCCTGATCCTCTCTCTTTCGGCCGCACCTACAAGGTGTCTGCTAAAGGCGTCATTCTCGACTTTATCGAGCAGTACGTGCCCCCCCCCACACGTACTCGTCCTCGAGATCCTAGCTAACTCACCAACTGCAGGCTCCGTAAACAAGGCGCAGGCTACGGCGCGCGTCAACATGAGCAGAAATGGGTGCCTTACCCGTCCCCCGCGCCGCAGCAGGGTGACAACCCCCCCGGTCCGCTGCTAGGATCGACGCTGGGCCGCACTGTTGATGAGATGCAGGCGTCCCTCAACCTTATCGGGCTCAGGCAGCGGCCGTCGGATGGCATCGACCAGCTGACGTCGGCGCTGCTGTCGAGTGCCGACGAAAACGTGCTTCACCTCATGGCGCGCGGCAACGCCGACAACTTTGCTCTCGGCCAGCTCACCGACAGCGACAAGCTCAGTCTGCGCGCCATGCTCGCTCAGATGGACGCTATGAGCAGCCGTATACGGCAAGTCCTCGGTGATACCAAACCGCCGCCACAACAGCATATATCCAGCATGCCGACGCCCGATCCCACTGCGGCGGCAACGCCGCCGGCACCGTCGGCAGATCATGACCACGCCATCGCCCCTTGCAGCAGCAGCCCCATTGCGCCCAAAGAGGAAGAGGACACGGCCATGGCCATGACGACCATGGCGATGTTGTCGGAGCCCACGCCGCCGCTTACAGTGGAGGGCAACATGGACCTCGATTAGATGGCGAGCTGCACCTCTGACTTGGTGTCTTGATCTTTGCAACAACTCGCTCAGTTCTTCAGTTGTACTCTGATTTTTATTATCGAGCCATGCTTTTTTTCTTCTTCATTTTCAATTCCTCATTATCAAGCGCCAAAGCGAAAAGGCAGGAAAGCGAGAGACGGCAACCACAAGTAGATTACTCCAACATACTCGCCTAGTCTCTTTTTTTCCTCTTGGCTTCTCAAATTCTGGTTATTTCCTTTTATTTGTCATGGCAGAAGAAGAAGAAGAAGAAGAAGAAGGAGAAGGAGAGAGGAACGTTGGGGGTCTTTTTTATGTGCAAACAAGAAAAAACACAAGATGGCGTTTTCTAGTAGGAAAGAATCAAGGAAAGGAAAGGGAATAGGAGCGAAGACGGCAAAGATGTACATTTTGTTTATTCTTTTCTGTGTTGTGTGTGTGTGTGTGCCGTTCATTCCGACGACGACCACTTTTTCTTATTTCCTTTATTACATATGTAATTTGCATAAGCCGCGCAGACAGACACCTGAAAAGGTGAAGAATTGATGTTTCCTTTCTTTACTAGAAGAGATCATTACTCAAAGTCGAAGGTTGTCGTAAGAATGAAGGTCAAGTAACTATACTACTGTTGTCTTGACGTTGACCTTGATGTGCAATGCCATTTCAGAATATAATTTTATTTTTGAATCGCTTTTTCGGTACCAGCTACCTCGTGATATACAACAAGTCATCTTCTCCTTTGCTTGTCCCCTGTCCACCAGCGACACACACACACACACACACACACACACACACACGCGCGCGCGCGCGCGCCTTCTTGCGCTTTTCCTTCGTTCTTGTAGAGTTGACTGCAACCACGCTTTCATCATTTTCAACACAGCAAGGAAAACAAAACAAAAGAGTCTGCAAGTAAGCTGGGAAGTGTTGTCCATTTTTTTCGATCTGTTTTAAACAATATCAATATAAGCAAAATAGTGAAGCAACCATACTAATGACACGTCGGGTAATGTAATGATAATGAGAAGAGGGAAAATAAAAGTCTTCTTCCTTTACAAGAAACCAAATCTTTTCAAGCTGGAAACCTGGTAAAGTACACCACAATACAAGCCGACACGACATGCCGACCTCGAATGAAATCGTAAAACAAGAAACGCAACCAACAACTTTTCTGTAGCCTGCACCTTCATCAACATGCTGCCGCATCGTTTATTGGTCTCTTCATCCGCTGGAATTGCGCAATGAAATGGCCCACTCTCTTGGGTTTGTCTGCATCTCCGCATCGAGGAAACGGATTCGGGTGTGTGTGTGGTGGGCGTTTAATCGTAGAAATGTAACATCGACCAGTGCAGAAAGAGCAAAAAAGGCCCAAATGTCGAGACAGCTAAACAGGTGAGCGTCGTTGCTTGTGAGAGCGTTACAGCACTGTACACTAACGCGCAGCTGAAAGTTGATGCCAAGAGCCTGCCCCTGCACATCAGGTAGCTGCTGCGCCTGCCAAGACATGCAAAAAGAGTTCTTGCCGAAGAGAAGAGAACAAGACAAAAAGTATACAAACTCCAAAAACTCCATCATGGCCGGCTCGCTCGGCTATGGCATGCGTTGATCATCAAGGACAAGAGGCAGATCGAGGGCTGGTAACCCTCTGTCAGACGATTCGATTTCGACCCTTTTCTACTAGCGCTGCGAACTGTTAACACTGCACTGCAATCATTGTGCCCACAAAACTTACTCTTCCACGTCGACCATTCCCCTGGTCTTGCTGTACATAGCCCATGCCCTGGACACCGGGCACGCCTCCATATCCGTAGCCGCCCATGCCCATACCAAAACCAGGAGGAGCATACTGGCCCTGGCCCTGCATTTGCATAGGGTTGGGTTGGACCATGTTCTGGCGGAAGTGGTCAGCACCTGGCTGGCTCGGGACGAATCCGCCATATGGAGCCTGCATCGGGGGATAGTTGTAGTTGCCCTGAGGAGCGCCTCTGTTCATCAAGGGCTGTTGATATTGCATAGGGGCCATGCCCATACTCGGAGGCATAGGCCCGTTAGGGGGGCTATACATCAAATTCTGATTGTACTGCTGCTGGTAAGCTCCCATGTTGGGATCACCGCCTTCAACTCTCTGACCATTGTAGCTCGTGTCAAATCCAGGGTTGTGCGCGGCAGAGTTGCCATTATAGAATGGTTTGCCAGCATGCTGCTGCTGCGGTTGCTGGTTGCCGCCTCCGTTGGTGTGTCTCGAAACGGGTCGGCGCGGTTCGGCAGGAGCAGATGTTTCGCGGCTGGGAGTGCCGCTGCTGGTGCGGGTCGAGAGACCAACTTCATCCATCAGCCTCTTGTATCCCTGGTTCGGCTGAGCGCCAATCTTGAGCAGGACACTCTTGACATTCTCAACAACTTGCGAGCGAATCGTCTCGTCAAAAAAGGGCGTCGTAAGCACTTTGAAGATGAGAGTAGCTCCACAAGACTGATCATTGAGGATAGCCTCGAGGATGCGGTCGTTGGGAGTGAAGAAGAGAGCCTGCAAGATGGTGTCGCGAGCTGCTGGTTCGGCCTTTTGATTGATAACCTTGAGGACGGTCAGGTAAGCGACTTTATGAGTGCACAGGTGAACGAGGTGAGGGACGAGACGCGGCGCGAGCACGGTGCGGCGCAGAGGAAATGTGCACGTGTCGAGGAACCAAGTGAGGAGAAGGGCACCGTTGGCATTGGTGGCAAGCTGTACGCTGTGCAGAGCAATGGCGGCGGCGAGCATCCTTTGCTGCTCCTTGGTAGAATGGTGGCTCTCCAAGCAGGCGCGCATGGCACGAGCGCCATAGCGACCCTGAGAAATCTCCCACATGCGGCTGAGCATGGTCTCAAAGATGAAGTTGTTGAAGGGAGCGCCGTACTTGAGACAGCCTTGAAGAACATAGTTGCCGTACTGATCGAGGAAGAGCTGGACAGTATAGGGGCGAAGATAGTCGACAACGATATTCATTTGAGCCGGAGTCTTGCAGACATCGATAATCTTTTGAGCTGCCCAAGTACCATTCTTGTGGACACCAATTTCAGCCATATGAGGGGCAATCTCGGCGAGCATGGCATCACGGAATTGATCTGAGCAGTTGTCGAAGAGCTTTTGAACCACAGTGTTGCCGAGATAGTCGGAAGAGAGCTCGGCAATCTCAGGGAGCATGTCGACGGCAATGTTCTCGATTTCAGCCTGAGACAGGAGTTGGTTGTCAATGCGCTTGCGAATGTCACGCAGCTTGGGCGCATCGTGGACGCGGGTGTGCGTGGGCTCGCGAACAGGAGGAATCTCATCGGCAAAGGCAGTAAACTGAATGGCGGACTGGATACAGCGAGAGACTTGAGGAGTGTCCGCATCAGAGGCACCGAATTGAGAGATAATATCGAGCATATCGGTCGTCATGTCGGGTAGAGGAGGGACCGTGGGGGTAGCCGATGATACAGGAGCGTCACCAATGGCACCGGTCTGAGCAACCTCACCCTTGGAAAACGGATCGGGACTGGGAGAAGGGAAAGCGCCGTCATGACCGGGGGTGTTGGACGCAGAAGGGGGCTTGGCAAAGTTGATGCGAATAGGGCCAGCGCCGGGGAAGATTTCCTTTCCATTCATGCTAGCCTTGGCAGAGATGGCGCTCTCGACACGCTCAAAGTTGACAAAGCCACAGTTCTTGTGAGTGAGAACACGAGCGGAAAGAATCGGACCATGGGACTTGAACATTTCATTGAGGGTCGAGGTGGTGGTCGATGTAGGCACGCCGCCGAGCCAGAGAGCACTGGTGGGACCGTCGAGGCCCTGCTCGTCAGGGCCAAGCATTCCGGCGTTGCGGCTGTTGGATCGGCCAAGGTTGAGGCCTGCGACAGCCTGGGGAAGCTCATCATAGGCGCTATCCTCCTGGAGGCGTCGTTCTGCAGCGTTAAGGTTGTTGGCGGGACCGACACCATTCATGTGGATCTGCATAAGGCGGCTCTGGGGAGCATCGAGTACGCTGGCCGTCTGAGCTCGGGGTCGGTTGGAGGCCTGGCTCGCAAAGGCCTGAACAGCGAGATTGTGGTTGTGGATAGCGGCATTGGTAGCGGCGAGCTGGTCCTTTAGAGCTGCAACGTAGCGGCTGTCGACGGGTTCACCCTCGAACTCGTATACTTCTTCCTCGCGGCCGTACTGCTCCTTGTTGTTGACGGAGTAAGAGCGGAAGCGGCTGTTTTGTCGGTTGCTATAGTCATAGAACGGAGTGGCAATTTGGGGTTGAGGAGTCTCGGCGAGCCCCAAATAGTCGAGGGTACGCATGTGGGCATCGGAGGCCTCGCCACCCTCGCGAGAGAACTGGGATTGCGCAGGGGAGCTGGGGACATTGGAGCCTACGCTGGCAATGCTGGCGAGTGTGGAAGCACGCTCACGGCCACCAGTGGAGGGATTCCAGCTGCTGAAAATGGAGGGCCCAAAGGGAGAGGGTGCGGTACCGGGAGCGGCGGAGAAGTTGGCTCGCTGGGGAAGCGAACCAGCTCGTAGGCGGGATAGCAGGGCAGAGGCGCCGGAACCGTTTTCGGGGTGATCGAGGCTGGGAGAGGGCGACTTGTTGAAAGGGCTCTGTGACGGAGTAGCACGAGCAGACTTGGCAGAAAGCAGGTTTGGAACACCGAGGAGGCCAGGAGCCCCAAGGCCACTTGGGGTGGTGAGTCTAGAGGGCAGAGTGCCAGCTCGGCCGCGGCGGGTTTGAGGCATGCTGTCGGGAGTTGGGAGCTGGCCAAAGTCTGGAAAACCATCGGTGGGCGATTCAGGGATATTTTCTCGCAGAGGCGTCGAGTTGCCGCTAGTGGGAGGACCGCCCCAAGGATATAGAGGGGGCATGCTGGAAATGCCTTCTTGTGCTTGAATTTCGCGAGCGCTGGAGTGTTGGGTGCCGGATTAGCAGGTGATTAGGGCATGGAGGAGCCGAGGTGGCAGACTCGAGTGCAGATGGCGCGAATAGGCTCTTTTAGTGTCTGGGAAGGACGGGGCGTGAATTTGTAGTCAAGAGGTGAAGCTTACCGTTTAGAATAGAGTCTGCTAGAGGCGCCTAGTTCGTGGGATGGGGAGCCGGCGCCAGAGCGCGAGTTGGCGGCCATGATGGCGGTAGAGTTCAAGCCAGAGGAGAGAGCAAAGTGCGAGCGGGCTGAGGAAGCGGAGGCGTCGATGGGGGAGTTGTTGTTGGAGGAGGGCGAGCCGGAGCGGCCCTGAGTAGCACCAGGATGCGACGAGTAGCCCAAGCCCAGGTGATCGGGTCTGGGGGCTGACATTATTGAATTACTTGATCAAAGGAACCTGATCATTCGACGACGGGGATTGGCGAGGTATCGTCACGGTCCGTGTGGGAGGTGAGAAGTGGCGAAGAGAAAAGATTATGTGTCCAGATTACTACTCTTTGCCCGCTCAAGGTGAAGAAAAAAAGACGGGACGAGCAAGGCTCAAGCTTCCACGGGCCAGACCCCAGGCGACAAGATGGCTCAGACGATGCTTCCGACGAGGGTAGAGGCGCTGGTAATCGGCACGTTTTCTCTGAGCTCAGGTTGACGATTGATTGAGCGCGTGGTGTTGCCCAAGAAGCGAGACAGCTGGGGGCGCACCAGGGGGCGTATGTGGTTGTGGAGGAGGGATGGGGGGGCCGTTAGGGGGAGAGAAGAATAAAAGAAGAATAAAATAAAACAAGTATAAAGCTTTAAGAAGAGGTGGCAGCAGCAAAGTAATTTACAGAAAAAAGTGATGCTGCGAGAAGAAGGACTTTTTGACGCCACGATGGCGGACGGTTTATTGGGGAGGAGGGAGAGGAGGAGGCAGAGGAGGAGGAGGAGGAGAAGGAGAGGTTATTACGAGAGAGAGATTTGGTGATGGAGGACAAGGAGGAGGCCAGGTGGCTTGGGGTTGATAGCAAGGTACACAGGTTGACACGTATCCAGGGTGTGGTGCAAGGTACATGAACAACCTAACCCTGGTTAATGGAGCTGAGAGAGCTCAGAGAGCTCAGAGAGGAGCCTCCTGTAAAACAGCAAATCGCCCAAACGGGTACGCTGAAGCCTGCAGCTCTGCCACTGAAGCCAGAAGCCACGACAACCCGCCCACCTGGCTTGTCCTAGCACCAAACTCTCTCTCTCTCTCTTTCGTGGTGAATACGAGCAGTCTTTACCTACGTATAAACGACTTGACGAGAAAGCAAGGAAAAAAAGAAAGAAAAAAGAAAATCAAGATCAAGCATGCACAAACGCACGATCAAAGGTATCATAGCTCGAGGCTGACGGACACGGCAGAGTCCGAGATGGGACGACTCATGTTTTTGGTACATACAGCGGTCATAGCCGCATTGGATTGGGGGATGCCCACGGGGGAAGAGCCCCCAAGTCTCCACGGCCAGTACTCCGTACGCATGGGAAAAAGAGGGTAAAAAAGAAGAAAAGAAAAAAAAAAAAGAGGAAACATCCCAGACAAACCAGGCAGAGGAGAGCTTTTGCTTATTCGCAGGGATCTTGTCAAGATGTGGCGCGCATTTCTTGCAGGCTGGCCCAAGTCGTCCAGGTACACGACAAACATGCGGCAGGGGCTCGCGCTCAAGGGTTTGGCTCTTTACCTAGGTACGTAGGTAGGTACGTATGTAAGGTACCTATCAGTATCAAATGTTTGATACACTCTGCCCAGGGACTTTTTATCTTTTTTTTTTTTTCACTTTCATCTCGGCGGGGCTATTTCCCTTTTAAGTTTCCTTCCCGCCCCAACATCCCATCGCGTTGTACTGAACCGGGGGGAGGGAGGGGGCAGGGGATTGATTGATTGTTGCTTTATTTATATACACGCAAACAAGAATGAAACCTTCCTTGGGAAGAACCTTTTTGTGTGCTGATTTGTCGACCTCGACGAGTTTCTATTTAAAACCTGAGAGACCATGTGATGATGGAATAAACAATAGATAGAAAACAATCTTATACTCGCCACGGAAAAGAATGTATCGCCAAAGTCGAACCCGCGTGGTCTCCTTGCACTAACGCTACCTAGTCTGCAAGCTACAGCTACTTACTTTTTAGTGTGCGGGGTTTGGTGTCGGGCTTCACCCATGATTCTTCGTATATACATACATACATACATACATACATACATCAACGGGGGTAGGAGACAGAAAGGACGAGGCTGTGCCATCTACGATTTCGGGTACCATCTCCGTTATAATACCCTACTTGGGTATTCAGTATTGCTGCTCCTCTTCCTCATCATCATCATCAGTATCACCAAGCTGAACTTGGATGCTTGGCTGGAGTCGCACAATTGTGCGACTGGTGCTCCCTCCCAAAATCAATCCATATGTACGGGGGGGGGGACAAGAGCTGGAAAAAGCAGGCGAGAGAGTTGATTCGTATTTTATTGCTATGTATTGATATCCCTTTCATCGCCCTGCCAGAATTAACCCCCCCCTCTCCAACTCTCCCTTTCTGCCACCGTGAATTTTGACAGCTTTCCACTGGAGTTCTTCCAGGCAGATGTAGTTGGCCGCGCCGCTTCTACGCCGTTTGTTTCCCCCTCTAATTTGATCTACATCATGCGCCCCTCCCACCGTCGAGAACCCATCACTGATCAGTCATCTCGCCGCTACTCCTGCACACACCCAGGTTTCTGGGTTGGATGGATGGGATGGTTGGTCGCTTCATGCTCACTCTCAAAGCAACCACATCAAGGGACGTAACCATTGATCAAACCCGCCATCTAGTCTCTTTCGATTTCATTCTTCATCCAAACCCATTCTCTCTGCCGCTCACCCTTTCTGTGGTTCATCCCTTTCATCTTCTCATATTCATGCTTTGCACTCTGACCAGTCAGCCAGTCTATATCCAGCCATTCAGCATTGACGCTGTTCCCGACGCTGCCCACCCACGTTTCAGCACCCGCCAATCCATTGCTTTTCCCACCAACAACGGCTCCCTCCCTCTCCTCTCAACCTCACTTGCTCACCACCATATCCACCCCCCTCACATAAAATAACACCTGGACCTCGTCTTTTTTTTCTGCCACCGCCCAACTCGTCACATTTCATCCTTCCTTTGCGCATACGTATGCATGCACATGCATCCCACCTACCCATGTCATGGTCATCATGCAGGCCATTATCCTCCTCACAACTTCTGAAACACCATCTCGCCAAACCCCTCGCCCCTACCGTTCTTCACCTTGCCCAAAACTTGCCCTTTGCCCTTTTTGACGGATATTTGCGCCTTCTTCAATCTTGACTCTTTTCAAGACAACATGAAACGCTAGCCCCTTTTTTCAGTGACAAGGGAAATGTATGCCGTAATCAGACAAGCCAAGAGAAAAGCGCAATCCTAACTATGCGGTTCACTACCCCATCGTGGTAAGCGGTAGTTCCTTGTATTATTGTCACGGATTCCCGTTCTGCATTATTCTCAGTACGGGCATTGGCCAGGATTGCATTAATGTTGAGGGATTATACAGCTAAAGATTGTTTTGGAAATGAATTCTCATCTATGCCCGGAAAGTTGCACCACTATTTCAATCTATATAGAAAAGAGACTTGAAACAAAAGAAGCGAGACGGATGACGCAACAACGCTCGATAAGCGAGCATAATTGTAAGTAAAGGGAAAACAATGGACAGCTCAGGGGGACACCGCAGCATGGTAAAGGGAAAAAAGAAAATCCATTTCATCCTCAAAATGCCACCTGCAGCATTGAAATAACAATATGCCATGATGCCCGTCTCGTCGTCTCTTCACGCATTCGGGCTTGACGATACATTGTGACGAAAATGACAAAATTCTAAAATAAATACATGTTCCCATGGCCCCCGATCCTGCAAACGCCAGACTTGTCTTATTAGATGTAGGTTTTCATGCTCCTCTTTTGCCCTTTTCGTCGTGTATCCGCCCTTGGTTGACAGCTTCATCTATCGGCTGCATCCTTGTGATCCGCCGCGCTTATTTGGCATGCTTCTTGAATGCTAACAAATCCGCCAACGTGCCAAGAGGGCAGCCATGCTTGAGAAAGTCGTGAGCCAGCAGCTCATCCGCCGAAGCACGACTCTTGACGTCCACACACAGACAGACGGACAGGAAAGCCTTGAGCTCTTTGCTCAGCTTCTCCGGCTTCTTGAGGCGGGGTGTGCCATTGGTGGCGATCAGGTACAGGGCCTTGAGAGGCTCCTCATTGAGATAAGGTGGCTCAGATTCAATCATCTCAATCGCCATAATACCGAGAGACCAAATATCCACCTTGGGGCCGTATTCTTTTTGCTTCACCACCTCGGGCGCCATCCAGTATGGTGTACCGACCATCGTGGCGCGCTTCGACTTGGCGTCCGTAAGTTTGGCACAGAAGCCAAAATCGGCTTTGAAGTGTTAGCACAAGTGAACCCAACTTCCACAAGAATTGTACATACTGATCTTGACATTACCGCGGGCATCCAAGAGGACATTGTCACTCTTGATATCACGGTGGATAATGTGCTGTCGGTGAAGATGCTGGAGACCGCGGCAAGTCTGTCAAAGTTAGCATATCATGCGCCGAAAACAAAAAAGATCCCATCTTACCTCGTGACAGATGGTGGCAATCTGCTCTTCAGAGATGGATGGGTTGTTGTCAATGACATCAGTCAGCGCACCACCCTCCATAAACTCCATGACAACCCAGAGTTCGGCATTATTGTTGCGCAAAAATGCGTCGAGAAAGTTTACAATGTTCTTGTGTCGGCTGTCCTTCATCACCATGATTTCATTGACTATCAGCTCCTTGCGGGGTTGATGGGCGAGATCCATTTGTTTAATGGCAACCTGGGCTCTGGGACCCTGCTGACGCAGGACATCGCGAGCGATACCCACAGCAGTCTCCTTGATCTTGGCAACATAAACGGAACCGGAAGCGCCTTGACCGATCTTCTTCTGCTTCGAGTATGACAGGTTGGGGTCATCTTTGGAGACGGCCTCTTTGAGCTTGGCCATGACTTCAGTCTCAGACATGGTCGACATGCGGACATCCTGCTTCTTCTCGGCGGGCTTGGACAGGGCAGCCTCGGCAGCCTTGACCGAGTCGCTTTGAGCAGCATTCTGTAAAGGCTTGGGAGCCACGTTCAAAGGCTTCACGGGCGCAGGCAGGCGGGATGTGCCTTGGCCTGGACCTTGAGGCGGTCGCTGCTGGCCTTGCTGGTTGGTGGGCTGATAACGCGGACCCTGGTTGGAGGGTCCATTTTCACGAGGACGCTGGCCATTGGGATCGCGACTGGCACTCGACTGCGGAGCAACAGGAGGTCGCGAAGGGCCGCCATTCGAGGGAGGAGCAGGTGCAGGGCGTTGCGCGCGCAGCTGCTGAGGGTTTTGAGAGCCCTTGGGGGCAGGCGGAGCAGCTCTGGTGGGGTTGAATCGATCAGGTTGGTCGCGGGAGGGATCGGCCGAATAGCCACCGCCGACTTCTTGTCGAGCCAGAGGAGTCTTGTGCTGAGGCAGGGAAGCGTTGTACTCTGCCAGCTCACGACGTTCCTGCTCGAGTTGCTTCTGGCGCAGCTCTTCCTTCCTGGCAGTCTCCAGTTGTTGACGCTGTTGCTGCTGTTGCTGGAGTTGCTGCTGCTGCAGCTCAGCTTGACGCGCGCCATTGGTGCTAGACTGTGTGGATGCGACGCTGTAGACAGACGCCTGGGGTGTGGGAGGGGCCGGGCGTGGAGGTGCGATGCCGGCGCCAGCATAAGCAAGCTGCTTCTGAGCTTGCGCGGCGGCTGGAGAGGTGGGGGTGAGAGATGGATATTGGTTAGGGTTTTCAGCGCGCTTAGCCAAGTCAGTGTAGAAATCAAGGACTTCGAATACCGCCTGCGGGTTGCGGTAATAATCTTCTTTGGTGATGGCGGAGGAGTTGAGTAGCTTGGACCACTCGGGAGGCAAGCCAGTGAACTGTCCTGTTTGGGAATCGAAGCCGACGTGAATGGCGTGAGAGAAGTTGGTGGGATTGCTGACACCACCCATGTTGGGGGACGCGCCGTAGATCAAATCGATCCATTCGTAGAGCTCATCGTCGGACTTAACTTTGATCTGGAGGGTCTTGGTCTGACCGTCGTCATCGCCGGGATTGTTGGAAGCGCAGTCTAGGCGGCGCTTAATCTCAAAGATGATACCGGTGGTCTCGACTCGGCCGACATTCAGGACGTCTTTGAGATAGATTGTGTAGGAAACCTTGCCACCCTCAGTCTTGTGGAAGTCGAGGGACTCTTTACGAAGAATGAGGTACTTTTGCTTCCAGGGTTGGATGAAGTTTTTGCTCTCCTTGACCGAGGCCCAGCCTTCCTTCTTGATGGCCACGCCACCCATGCCGTCAGCGGGGTTGGTCTGCTGGCGAGCAATGGGCAGGGAAATGGTGGAACCGGAGTAGGTCGAGGTGGCGGTACCGGGAATTGGCGAAATGGCCATGCTAGACATGCCGCTGAGGGTGGTGCCGGACATGCTGGACATGCTGGACATGCTACTGGACATGCTACCGGGCATACTGTTTGTGTTTGGCATGAGATTGAGCCTATGTCTGTCGGTGGGGGGCCGCGGCGCAGGGCCCGGGTTCATGAACTGGCCCGACGAGTATACGCTGTGAAGAGGGGCAAGAATCTGTCAGCCATGGTATTGTTGAAGAATATGACGCGCATATGCATCTCGAGACACAGGGTGCAAGCCGACAAGCGGAGGCTAGACTGGAGAGAAGGAGCAGGAAGGGGAAGAGAGGTTGGCGAGCACGAGGCGTACCTGTTCTGTGACATTTTGAATTAGATTTAGTATTATGGGAGCAGAGCCTGATCATGTGGAACGGTGTCCGATGGCACGACGAGCAACAAGGAGACTCGAGAGAATCGGAAAGGCTCGTCAGGAGAGAGTATCGTGCGCGCACGAGGCAAACGGGATTGGAGATGGCGCAACGATGGCAACTGGCGCCGGAGAGGGTCAGGTGGGATAAGGCGAGACAAGCGGCAACGGCGCAGAGCGGCGACGAGCAAATATGACCAACCCAGCGCGGGCGCCAGGATACAACAAGAAAAGGCAGTTAAATGAAAAGAACTGTCGCTATGTGCTGCAAATGAACAAATGGATAAGTAAAGGGGAGGGGGATAGTAAAAAGATCCAAGACCGAGTCTAGCAGCGTAGTTGGAGTGGACACATGTGTTTGACCTCTGAGAGGGAGGAGGCGGTCTGGTGCTGGTGGGTGGTGGTCTGTCTCTCTCTCTGCAGCAAACGGTGGCGGAAATGAGGAGGAGAGCGGGGGAGACGGGAGAGGACTGCAGCGGCGAGAAAGAATGGCGACTAGTTGGGTCGGACGGGTATATTGGTGAGAGGTGCGCGATGATCGTAAAGGGCGCAGGAAGAAAAAATGTACAAGAATCAGCAAGTACGAGTCTCACGAATATCAACAAGTCGTGGTTGGCGGTGGTGTTGAATGATGGCGGGACGAGGTTGGTTGGCCAGCTTTGAGGAGAGGAGGAGGGAGAGGAGGAAGTAGGTAATTAGGTGACTAGAGTAGGAGGAGGATGGGAGGGTCAGTCACGGAGGGTCATGTCATGGCATGGGCATATGCATGCTGGAAGGGGAAGAAGGGGAAGAGGGGGACCGTCCGCCGCCACACGTTCGTTGACTGCAGAAAGGCAGAGAGAGACAACCCAGCCCAGCACGGCCCAGCCCAACCAACCAGCGCTAGTCAGACTTTGGATTTTTCAAAACGACTGCCGACTGAATGGACGTGCCTTGCTTGCCGTGTGCTTTGCTTGGTGTTATCAGTAGCTTGCTTGCCTATTGCTTCTCCATGCCAAGGTCCTGTTTGGTGCTCAGGCGAACAGACATTGACACAGCGGGCTCGCTTGACTCTTTCTAGTGGAAGGGGAAGGGTGTGGGTTGGTGGGCTGCCACGCTGCTTCTACCATGTTTTAGTGCCCTTTTTTCAGTGGGAGCTGTCGAGGTGACGGGGGCCTGCAGCCAGCTGCGGGAGTAACATTACTTAAACTTTTGATATAGCCAGCTGTCAGGCAAGGCAGACATCGGATCTAGTTATTCAGTTTGAGGGAGACCAATACTAATTATTATTCTGATTGACAAAAACGGCTTCTGTTGGCTCATGTCTTTGTGCCCTCGCAAAATTGGCGCATCTATCTCTCTTGACAGGTGGCGCAAGGGCAAGGTACGTGCGCATCCCGACGAAAAGTACGGACGCTCCTCACACACAGTCTCCCTCCTTACATCCATCCCTTTACCTTTTGAAAGCCAACAGTGACATGCATGATCATACTTCATCTCCGTCATGGCAAACATGCCCTTTTCTTTAGTTACGAAAGATACGCAATCAAGAAGAGAAAACACTCCCCGTTGCTACCGCCGGGCTCGCCGACAAACGCGCACCTCACTAATCAGTACTTACCTTAGAGGCTTAGACTGGGTAGGTACCTGGGTACCTAGTCCTCGCCAAACCAGCCCAAACTCGTCCCACTGTTGGGCAATGCCAACGTCTAAACCTATCCGTGCATGCCACCACATCCAGGGCAAAGAAAATAAAAGACGAACCATCAATGCCCTTGATCAGCCTCTTCTCTTGTCAATTTTCCCATTTCCATTCCAAACCACCTCGCCAAGGAACGCGAACCCCTCGATTGCGCCACGGCCCCAGATCCCACTTTGTCGCTCCTCATTTCTCTCTCCACACCCCTGATATCACGGAAATATAATGCAGAGCTAAATAGAATCCTTACTCGAAAGGGGCAACATTCAATTAACAAATCAATTGACAAATTGTACGGATACGGAGTACATAGTTGGCATACTTCGTGATGACTGCACCTCTGCCCACAGAGTCGACCAACAAAGGGACTGGGTAAACCTACAAAAGATGGAATGCAAAAAGAATGAAAGAAGAATCAAAGAAGAACATGGGGCCAACCTGCATGACAATTCGCCCGCCTGCTGCAGATTGAAAAAAAAAAAAAAAAAAAAAAAAAAAAAAAAGAAAGGTCGCCGTCCATTCTGCAGCATCTGAAACGCCGCCGGCCTCACTCCCTCTTTCGCCACAAGCCTCACCATCGCCGCAACCGCTTTATGCGTCATTCACCGGGGTCTTTCTTCAGTCTACTGCAGCAATCAAGTTTCCAGAACTAATATAACATCCAAACCCCCCTTCATCCTTGCTCTCAATAAACATGTGAATGGTTCGAGCCATTATTTACCAATCAACTAGAAACAAAAATGCCCTCTTTGCTATATTATGCCCTCTAATATATGCATCCGTTGGGCTGGGAAACGACGACCCCATTTCACACACGCGACCGTTTCAACTATTTATATGCGCCCTCCACCCTTCTTAACACGGCTGAATTGCTGCTCGCGAAACAAACGGCGACACTCGCTTCGTTTTGGACCGACTCTTGCGCCGGCATAATCATTCTTCCCGATGAGGAAATCGCGGGCCTCAGGTGAGGCAGAGCTTAATCGACATGCACTATGCCCAAGCAAATCCATGTTTCAAAATTACTCAACCGCCCATCGCATACACAGAAACTCGTATAGTAGCCACCCACGATCACGTTCATTCTTTCCGAAATGCATCATTTATATATGCAATCTACACTTTTTTTCCTCCAAAATTCTCCACCCTCCACACTCTTATCGCTGCGCAACCTCCACCTCTTGGCCCTCAAACTTGGGCAGCTCCTCTTGAATCTTGGCCCAATTCTTGCTACCATCCACCAGACTCTTGATAGCCTCGAGGATCCTGGCCTCATCCGCCCGCACCTGCGTCGTCGAGTCACGGTCGCGCAGCGTAATCGTCTGGTCCTGCAGCGTCTGGAAATCTACCGTGATTCCCAGCGGCGTGCCCAGTTCGTCGTTGCGGCTGTACCGCTTGCCGATACTCGCCGACGAGTCATCCACCCGGCTCGAGATACCCATGGCGCGCAGCCGCTGCGACAGCTTGCGTACCTCGGGCTTGAACTGCGCGTTGGATGACAATGGCACCAGCAGCACCTTGGTTGGCGCCACGGGGGGAGGGAAGGAAAGAACCTAGACAAAACCAGTTAGCAAATCTCGTTTCCTCATCCAGTGAATAGAAGTGAGCATAATCGGGGTCACTTACACCACGGGCCTCGTCGCTGCCGTCGCTGCCACGAGTCCAGAAGTTGTGCTCAATCAGAGAGTACAGGATACGGCCGATACCAAACGAGGGCTCAATGACATTGGGCGTAAATTCGCGCGTGTTCTCGACACGCTTGCGGAACTCAATCTTGATTGAGTCACTCGTCACCTCGGCCTTGCCATCGCCGACGCCGGGAACGTCGAGCGAAATCTTGCCGCCCTCCGCCAGCTGCTTGGAAAAGGCCTCGCGCTGCTCCTGCGTCGTGGCCTCGAGCGCCGTCTCGACCGCCTTGGCGTCCTTCTTGAACAAGGGACCAAACTTCTTCTTGTCAATGTCCAACTGCCATTCCTCGATCACGCGAGGCTGCTCCAGGCGCTCGCGGACGAGCAAAGGCGCGCCAGTCTTCTTGGCGTGCACCGTCAGGTCGTAGGCGCTGCGGTCAGCACAGCCAACACATTCGACCCAACCGGTAGTCGTGAGCAGCTCGGCGTCCCAGCAGTCGCAGGCGTAGTGGGCCATTTCGTTGGCCATGTGCTGGCGGAAGCGCAACTTGCTCATATCAACACCAATCTTTTGCAGGAACAGGTGGATGCGCGCGAGGAAGTAGCCGAGCGTCTCGTTATCGACGACACCGTCCTTGACAGCCTGGCCAATGGTCATGGTCTTGGTGGTCGTCTTGCCAGATAGCTGCGTGCCCTTGTCGAGCAGGACAAGCTCAAGGTCCTCAACCTCGTGGAAGCGTCCGTGCTTCTTGCCACCCTCGGGGTCGACATAGTGTTCAATTTCGGCCATGAGAAACTCGCGGACGCGCAGCAGACCGGCGCGGGGCGAGATTTCGTTGCGGTAAGACTTGCCAATCGACGCAGAGGCAAAGGGCATCTGGGATTGGTTGAACTCGAGCAGCTTGGCAAAGTTGAGAAACTGGCCCTGGGCGGTTTCGGGGCGCAGGAAGCCGGGCAGGTTGCTGCTGGGGCCGATCGAGGTCTGGAACATGAGGTTGAAGGCGACGGGCTCCGAAGGCAGCAAGCCGGTGGCGGGGTTTTTGAGGTCGTACTTTTTGATGAGCTCGCCGAGCTCGGCACCGCCGTAGTTGTCAATCTTGGCCAGGACCTCTTCGTACTCTTGCACGACGGCGTCGTCTAGCTTGACGGCCTCGGTCTTGGTCTTCTTCTTCTTCTTTTTAGGGTCGTCCTTTTCCTCGACCTTTTCGCCACGAGCCTCCTTGTCGCCCTTGAGGCGGGCTTCAAGGACGGCCTCGACAAAGTGATCGGCGCGCATAATCTCGCCATTCTTGGGATCCTTGCACATAAAGTCGGAGAACTTGTCGACGTGGCCGCTCGTTTTGAGAATATCGTGCGGAGTGAGGGCGGTGCAGTCGACCTCGAGCATGTCCTCTTCAAGCACAAAGTGCTTGCGCCAGATGTCGACAATATTGGCCTGCAGGGCGCAGCCAGGCGGGCCGTAGTCGTAGAGACCGCCGACACCGCCGTAAATCTCAAAGGATGGCGTGTAGAACATGCGGCGGCGCAGCATGGCGTCGAGAACGGGTTTGTCGAGGGGCTGGCCCTTGAGGGTCGTGGCTTGCGACGTCATTGCGGCGTTCGATCTCTGCTGGTCCTTCTTGGCTTTGTTAACTTGAAATGCGTATCGTGCTGGCGCAGTGGAAAAGCACCGCAGTGTTTGTCGATGGTTGTGGCAGGTCAAGGCGGGGTGGTTTCTGAGGTGGGATATCGATTTGTGGCTGCAAGTGCTGGATCTGAGTGGAGCTGTTGGGCAAGAAAACAAGCGACGGATTGAAGTCATTCACAAGTCTTTCCCAGTGATTGTTTTGAAGACGAAGAATGGGAAGGCAGGCAAATTGGAACGTCCTACGTGAGTCACGAGAGAATAGCTCAAATTGCGGCGCGTTGGAGCTGTCCCAGGATCGGAGGAGGGGTCGTGTCGCGGTTGATGGTGACTCAGGCAGGGCAGGGTGTCTCTGCACTGCGGCTTGTAATAGTGGCCAACAGCGTAGAGGGCGCGCTGTAAATTATGAATATTCTTCGTTTTCCAGTGGGCAACTTAAAACGTTGTTTCAATGGAAGCTAGAATCTTCTCCACTCGGGGCAAGGCAGGACGGCAAGCAGAAGGTACCTAAGCTTCGACTGCAAAATTTGCCAGACGGGTCGCAGAACGGTTTAGAAGGAGCGGGAACAACAATCGGGATGCGCTGGAACATGCGGAGAGAGGGTGCGGTCGACAGTGGCGGCGGTATTACAAAGATGTCGTGGTGATGTGAGCGTGCCGTGCAACTGTTGGAAAGGGGCTGTAGCCAGAATCGATGCCGCATCTCCAGGTCAAATCGTCCATCTTATTAGCGGACACAGGCCAAAAAGCTCTCCGTTGTCAGGCACCTCTCTGCGCTGAGGCTTTGGCTTCTTTGGCCAACCCCCACTGACTTTTTGGTTGTGCTACGCTGTCGCAGAGTCCCCACCTTAATTTTTCTGCCGGTTCGTCGAAACGACTTTTTTTTTTGTGCTGGCATATTGATTGCCAGACTGCGTCCATCACCAAACCTGCCAATCCCCTCTACCACGCGCGTTGCCAAGATGCGTCCTCTTACCGAGCAAGAAACCAAAACGCTGTTTGAGAAGCTGGCCAACTACACCGGCAGCTCTCTCAAGAACCTCATCGCGCCGCTCGACGACTCCCCCAACGCCGACCGCTACGTCTTTCGCCTACAGGGCAACCGCGTCTACTACGTCCTCCTCTCCGTCGCCAACCTGGCCACGTCTATACAGCGCGATAATCTTTTATCTCTCGGCATCTGTCTCGGTACGTTTTTCTCCCCTTTTGCGGCTTTTGCCGGCAAAAAAAAAAAAAAAAGGAAGCTCTACAGTTCAACATGCTAACAGCTTTTGCCCTCCCCTCCTCACAGGCAAGTTTACCAAGACGGGCAAATTCCGCCTGCACATCACTGCCCTCCCTATCCTTGGCGAGCACGCGCGCTGGAAGGTCTGGGTCAAGAGCAACGGCGAGATGCCCTTTCTCTACGGCGGCAACGTCGTCAAGGCCCACATTGGCCGTTGGTCCGAGGACTGCCCCGAGCACCAGGGCGTCGTCGTCTACAACATGAACGACACCCCTCTTGGCTTCGGCGTCACCGCCCGCAGCACCGCCGAGGCGCGCCGCCTCGACCCGACTGGCATTGTCGTCTTCCGCCAGGCCGACTGCGGCGAGTTCTTGCGCGACGAGGACAATCTGTTTGCCAGTGGTTGAGGTGGGACGAAAGAAGGAGGATGACATGGACGACGCGGTGCGATACAAAAGGTGCGCGCAGCGTGAAATTCATCTTGGTCGAAACAAGAAAAGGAAGAGCGCACAGCGAGGGTTTTCTTGCAAAAGTCTATACCAGTATAAACGGGGGTTCGGCGTTGAGGTTTACCAAAATTCAGCTACATGAATGGGCATGATCTGTGGACATTTACATTACACCATTTTCATACACGGGCGTTTTACTAGGTTCAAATTCGAAGCAATGATTCACTTAGCCTAAATATGCCATTGGTTGATACGTAGTACGTGACCGTTTGGCCACGCTATTGCAGTTGGAGAACCAAAGTCAAGAGAGAACAGCCAGTCAAAGTATTCATTCTTAGATGATAAACTGAAAAGACAGTTTTATATGTCGTGATATATAGAAAATCCTCCAAACTCCAAAGCATGTCTTCCATGCTTATATGCAATTTATAGTAGAATAGATCTGTTGAGCAAGGCAACTAAACCATGCTCATCATGGTGGGAGACACAGGCCGGCTGTTATTACGCACAAAGGCAATATGCGATCTGTGAGCGACATACTCGCTGTCGGCGTAGCCGAGTAGCTCGCCAATCTCAACACTCTGGTGTCCCATGATGCGGGAAATCTCAGACGACGCGTAGTTAACCAGAGCGCGACCAATCTCTTCCGGGACGCCATCCCACATCTTGCCATCAGGGCCAGGCGTCTTTCGACGGTTCACGGCCACGATGCGAACAGGCTCGTGCGAAGCAAAGTTGCCCTCGACGTCGACGACACCGACGGGTAGGAGACCGGCCTTGCCGAGCAGCGCCTTGTGGGCACCAGCGTCAATGTAGACGGTGCCGTGGGGGCTCGGTGTGTGAAGTAGCCAGAAGTGGCGATCGCGGATAGGATCGCTGGAAGGCAGGAAGCGGGTGTGGAGAGGGGGGCCGTTGAAACCGACGCCCGAGGGAGCCATGAGGTTGAGGGAGGCGGTGCGGGAAAGAGAATTTCCGTTCTCTGGGTCGTCTATCACCGAGGACCTAGGAGAACTGTAGAGGTAGTTGACAATGCCAAGAATATTGCCAGGGTTCGACGACCGGGTGATGATGGTCGTCACGCCAGCCGAGGTACCCAGCTTGGCAGCAATAATCTTGGTCATCATGCCACCGGTGCCGAGAGATGAACCAGCGCTCGAGACTGTGATGACTTGTTAGCACGGCTTGCACTCTAAATGGCGCTACTCGTCCGAGTCGCACAGGGATAACTTACCATCTGCCTCAAGGGCGCCGATATCATCAACAACCTCGATGGCTCGGGCATCGGGGTTGGTGCGAGGGTTCTTGTCATAGAGACAGTCGACATCGGTCATGAGGAAGAGCATGTCGGCGTGAATCATGGCCGCGGTGATGGCGGATAAAGTATCATTGTCACCGAATTTGATTTCAGACACAGCGAGGGTATCGTTCTCGTTGACAATGGGGATGACGCCAATGTCAAGCAACTCATTGAATGTATTTTGGGCGTTGAGGTAACGGGTACGCTGCAAGACAGATCGATGCCGATTAGCGCGGATCTAAAGTGACGATGGAGGGGTGCAGGCGATCGGACGATGGTGGGTGGGTGTGCTTACGTCGGCAATATCATTCCTGGTAAGAAGGATCTGAGCAACAGGCTGGTCCAAGTGGCTAAATAGGCTATCCCAAAGGGAAATGAGACGGCACTGTCCAATAGCGGCCAAGGCCTGTCAAGGAAAAGAGAGGAAAAGTTAGTTTTCGTTGGCAACGAGTTTTTTCTTTTCTGCTGGAAAGGTCGTACCTGAAGTTGGGCCAGATGCTTAGGACGGCGATCAACATCCATGCGTCTCAGGCCAACGCCGATGGCGCCAGAAGAGACAATGACGACTCGATGGCCCTCCTTGCGCAGCTTGACGGCGGTATCGACAATCAAGGTCAGGATAGGCAGAAGAGGCTCATGAGTCTTTTCATCGACAATGGAACTAGTGCCTGTGATTGGTGTGTGAGCAAGGAAATCGACGACGATAGGCAGAGAGATAGGAGAGAATCCAAGATAAGGAAGCCCATGCATACCTAGTTTGATAACGACAGTGAGAGGCTGAGCCCTGCGGATGCAAGAAGCTTTGGCAGTCATGATGATTAGCCGGTTGTTTAATATCAAATGATGATGAAGCGTGTAATTTGAAAAGAAGAGGACCAAAAGACACAAATGGCCATTACACTCGTAGAAGACGATTTTAACAGGACAGATTTAAATGACTCTTTCTCCGGGACAACAGCTTTGCACAAAAGCCCGGCGGCCCCCTTTGTATTTAAAGGGACAGGCTGCGGACCAGGCGAAGCCATGCAAAACTCTGCCAACAACAAGAGAGAGGGAGAACCTGAGAAAAGGTACATGAGTACATACCTTGATCCGTTGTAACTGGCTGCATTGTCACAAGCCCGTTGGCAGATCGATGACACAATCCCTGCGCTGCTACGTACGAGGCTATTATGTCGTTGGAAGAGAACGGGGCGGCTCTGCCACAAGGTCGCAGCGTTTCGAGTAGCGTTGCGGCGATGCAAGCCAGTCAGACAAGGGCCGGCTGGGAGGTACGTCTGCCCAGACCCCAAGTCGGGTTCCACCGGAAGCGGCTCCGTCAATCAGGGCGCGCCTTGGGATGGACGGGCTCAAAGGTTGTGTGATTTTCGGTGGGATTAGCGTTTTGGTTGTCCAAAAGTAGGAAGGGTGCGACGCCGTGGAATGCACGCGTGCTTTGCGATCCATGCACTCGAAAGCAATTTGTGAGGATGAAGCGTGCAGCTAGCGAGGCTTTGGGTGGGCAGAAAGCGGGCGGTGAGGGGGGCCCTTTTTGTTTGTACGCCTTTTGTGTGGTGGAAGGCGAGGGATAAAGTGGTACGGTGCGAGTGGGGGGAGGGGCGGAAGGACTCATGTCAGCAAACCAAGCAGTACATAACTAGGTACCTCGTGTTGTTGTGGCGAGCATTCGGGGTCCTTTTCTGCGACTATGAATATGTTTAATAGCTTATGAGCCAATGAAAGCCGGTAATGTCGTTGAATACATTGGATTTCTCCATAGTTCACACCCAAAGACCAAGTACTGTATACTTTGCACATGGCGGCCCCCCTTGTGTGCCTAAAATAGTGGCTTCGGATGCCCCAAAAGGGATCAATAAAGAGCCGCACTTCAGCCAGCCGGATCCGCCTCACCGCCCTGGATGTCCCTTGGTGCCTTGAACTGCCCCAAGCTGCACCTGTAGCGATGCATGCCCAGCCGCCTGTCGCGTACTAAAAAGCGCCCTAATCCTGCAGCTGGCATGCGCCTGCGCCGCCTACCTAGGTACATTCAAATGATAATTAGCTGCTTGCAGCTGTACCAACGGAAACAGCAGCGTGGAGGGCTGCGCATGTGGCAGAATCTTTCTAGTCTGAAATAAATGAATCAAAGCACATTGACAAAAAGGTACATGTCGACCTTGTACATTTTGTACTTAACCACCCAAACCCGCATATTCCCCAGAATCGACGAGTTACGGTTGCCGCCTTGGCCGCAGTGACGTGCAACTGCATGGATTAAAATTTTCATTTTTTGTTTGATTCATTGCTTTAGTGTTTTGATTTTTATTTTTATTTTTAAATTTTTTTCACTAGTGCTGCGCCTCGGACAGGAGGTCGAAATCCCCGCATACAACCAAATCGGTTTGGGAGAAGGAAAACAACATACTTCCTCGACAAATGCCTCCCAGCCAAGATGCCGCCGGGATAGGGGCAGCAGCAGCCGCCGCCGCCGCCGCCGCTGCTGCTCCTCCGGCCAGCCCACCGCCGCCCACGATGCCCAAGGGGGTCGTCAACGATCCCGCCCGCACAGGCTTCGACCCCCAGATGAAATGGTGGACAAACTACTTCCGCATCCTGTCCGGGCAGATGACGGACGAGGGTAAGTTCCACTACCGTGAGTGGCGCTACAAGGTCCACGAGGAGCGCGACTGCAAGCGCTGCGAGGACTACCGCAGCTGGCTCTTTGCCTACTCGCCCGTCGTCCGCTTCCTGCAGGGCAAAATCACCGACCTCAACGGCCGCCTCGACGCCTCCAACGTTGTCTGCCGTCGCTGCCCCGGCTTCCTCGACGAAGAGGGCAATGAGCGTCGCCAGTCGGGCGGCTTCAGCCCGGACCATGGCATCCTCGTCTGCGCAAACGAGATTCGGGACCGCAAGCACCTCGAGGACACCCTCGCTCACGAAATGGTCCACGTTTGGGATCACCTGCGCTACAAGGTCGACTGGATGGGTGACAAGGACCTCAAACACGCTGCCTGTACCGAGGTAAGAACCAAGATGAAAAAGAAAAAAAGACATGAGATGCTCATCTCACTCACAAGCCTCACTTTCATACTCACCAACCCTTCCTTCACCAACATGCACGCTCACTACCGAGCCTTGTTTCCTCCCCGTCACACCATGCCTGCAAATCCTTACCTCTTCCAATCTTGCATATTCCCGCACACACACACACACACACACATAGACACACTCCCCTAAAGTGCCCTTCCCCCTCCCCCGTGCATCTAGTTCACGCTACTACACTCTCCCCAGACGTCCAAGCTAACCACTATTGTCCCCCCTTCTCGAATAGATTCGCGCATCAATGCTCAGCGGTGAGTGTCGCTGGACTCGCGAGGCTCTCACCCGCGGTAATTGGTCTTTGACCCAGCAATTCCAAGCCTGCGTCCGCAGGCGTGCCATCAAGTCCGTCATGGGCCGTCCCCGGTGCAAGGACGACGTCCACGCCGCGCAAGTCGTTAACCAGGTCTGGGACTCGTGCTACTCCGACACCAGACCATTTGACGAAGTATACCGATAACTTGTGGGGAGCTACATATACCATGCAACATAACAACGCCATAGCCTTCCCTACTCCGCACGCCAATATCTCTCACTGTCTGCTCTCACTGGAGACTGTTGATGCAAGTTTGTGTTTAGCTTACTTGTACATTGTACCATTATATTACATGTCGGTTCGAGGCTTAGCTGACTGGCCGACAGCAGGCTTGCATATTCTGTCTGACTCAAGCCGTTGGCCCGACTCAGCCAGCCAGCATGCTAGCCTCATTAGTTACCTCTTGTACATTAAACGCTCAATACGACGTAAACGATACCCCTACCGCTCGCACAAAATCACCGGCCATGTATCAGAAGTCAAGTTCTCTCTAGAATAAATTAATTCTTTTCAATAAAATGAGAATTCTCCCATATGCAAGGCTGTGTTGTATGTAGCATGCAATATAAATCAATGTAACCAAAAGCATTCGAAAATGTGACTCGGAAAAGACCCGAGTGACTCCCTTCACATGCTGCCTAAATGGCCACTCCAGTATTTCCCGATACCGTGGACCTATGAAAAACTCCAGAGGCATGTTTCGTTTGACCCTGACCTCCTTTCAAAGATTGTCTGGACCAGTATGAACAAAAAGCCGCATCACGCTACTGCTTGGTGGCCTCACCAGTGTAGGCTCCCACGCAACTCCGTCACAAGATTCGGCGCCTCTCAGCTTACTTATACGACTTTTCTCTTTTCGCAACCCGCTCGCCTTTGACGCAGTGTTTCACTATCCAAGGGTGCAGCGGAATCTGGTCGAGCGGAATACGCTTCTCTGGGTCTAGAACGAGGAGCTGCAGAAGATCGCCATTAGTTTCTGGGCTGTAAAGACTGGAGATTTTGTGGTCTGGGTCTGGTTGTGCTGCGCCCAGGTTGATCTGCGCCCTGCACGTCGCAGCAGCATCGGTACTTTGAAGTTGAAGGGTCATGGCAGAAAGAGGAGACGAAACAATGGGCCAAGGCCGACGAAGAAGCAAAATGACGTGTAAAGTAGAAAAAACAAACAAAACAGCACATACCTTTTTGATCAAGTCTGCAGCCTCTGGGCTCACAAACGACGGCACCGACATGTCTGCCCTGGCAATTCTCCTTTGTGTCATGACTTGTGTATCTTCGAATGGCGCCTCGCCGACGAGAAACTCGTATGTCAAGACGCCGAGGCTCCAGAGATCAACCTTTTCATTGTAAAAGTTGTCCGACCCGCCGGGGCGCAGCATCTCGGGCGGCAGGTAGTCAAGGGTGCCGCACATGGTCTTGCGGCGGTTGTTGGGCGCATGCACGCTCCAGCCAAAATCCGAAATCTTGAGCTCGCCGTGGATGCCCACGAGGATGTTCTCGGGCTTGATGTCCCTGTGGATGACGTGCTTGCGATGCAGGTAGCGCAGCGCCGAGGTCATCTGCGCAATATACTGTGCCGCCTTCCACTCGGCGAAGCGGTTCTCCTTGCGCAGGTGCTTGTACAGCTCACCCTTGCCGGCAAACTCGAGGATCAGGAACACGCGCTTGCTGTCGTGGAAGTGGCCGTACATTTGCAGCACGTTGGGGTGCCGCAGGTTGCTCTGAATCTCAATCTCGCGACGCACCTGCCGCTCTACCCCGCCATTGCGCAGCTCGTTCTTGTGCAGCACCTTGAGGGCGCAGATGAAGCCGCTCGTCCGCTCGCGGCCCAGGTATACGCGCCCAAACTTGCCCTTACCCAGCGGCCTGCCAATCTCAAACATGCCGAGGTGGAACTGTTTCGGCTGCATGGGCTGGTGAGCGATGAGCATCGCGGCCGCCTTGTCTTCGGCTGTGCCCGCCGCTGACTCTTCCGAGCTGCGGACGGATGACGACGACGGAAGCGCTTTTCGGGTCGGAGCGGGAGGCGATTGAGGACTGGCATGGTGCTGCTGCTGATGCACGAGCTTGCGGTTGACGGCCTGTGATGGCAGAGTCACAGATGCAGAGACGGGATTACTGGCCGCGTGCGATTGCAAGGCGACCTTGAACAGGTTTGTCCGACTATTCCCGTGGGGCACCTGTGTCGTAGTCGGCGTAACCTATACGTGCATCACCTTGTGCATTAGCATTCTGGCACATGTGAGCTGCAATCGTCACTCAGTTGTAAATGGAAAGTATAACAGAGAGGGGCAGAGTTCCCATTCACTTGAAAGAATAGATGCCCTTGGTCGCTCCTTTCTCTTGCCCCTGACTTCTCCAACAAGCTTTCTCGGCGTACCTTTGTCTTGGAGTATCCAGATTCATTCTCATCCATCACTGACATGCGCTCAAAGCGAGCCTCCAAAGTGCGAGTCGCTGCCATCTTGTTCTTAGATATGCTGCGTCTCGCCGAGATGAAGATGAGAGAGTAGAACCGTGCAGGTTAAGTAGGACGCTAGGTACTGGCGAAAGAGATGAGAAAAAAAAATGACAGTCACGGGTCTCTCTTCTTTGGTCGCTTGTAATGTAAAGGAAAATACTGTCGACTTAAAGCAAGATTGGCCGTTTCTTGGAGAGATGCGCTTGTGTGGTGGAGGATCGAGTTGCGGAGTCCCTCCCTAGCTAGGGTCGAACCAAACATTGGTTGCGATGCCGTTGGCGCAGCAACCGCACCTCATCCAGGTCAAACCCAAAACCCATGCAAATGCTTTTACATCCTATCACGATACTTACGACAACACATCTGTGAAAAATTGCTCTGATAGGTCTTATTTTTTAGCTATCAGAACGAAATCTGCGATAGGTACAAAAAATGGTCATCTTCTGTGTTGGACGAGAGCGATCATCATCATGCTGTAAGCGGTGCAACATTTGACAAAAAAACCACCAACCAGAAGACGAACCAAACTCTGGAGTTATCCCACCCAAATAAAAACCCGGCTTCCATAATCATCTTTTCCAATAATTTTTGTGGCAAGTGACAGACTGCAACAAACTTACAAACAATCTCGGATGTTAGATCCCAAAACAAGAACCAATTCCACTCGCACAACGACCTTGGTTCGATAGCCAGTCCACAACTGTCGAGCGTCTTCTTTCCGCGATGCTGTTCAAGGTTTTTTTTTTCTCGCGGCCAAGTTTGCACTGAATCTCCCTTAAAGCATCTCAGGCGTTGTAACATAGGCTACCTCCACACGTTTGCCCCCAACAATCTGTGTTCGGGACTTCCACCAGCTTTGGTCGAGTGGCTTTTCGACGGCACGCAGCGCCTGCATGTCCGCACACAAAGAGCTAAAGAGCTCTTGGAAGCGCATGCCGCTCAATGCGTACAGCTTTTGGCAGCCTGGTTTGATGACGCATCCGGCGGCGCAGGCGTCCAAGACCCTATCCATTGCGGTAGCCGCGCGCTGACAGGCAGTTCGCATCAGAAAGTAGTGGTCGCCATTGACGTAGTGGCGCACTCCCGCGTATGCATTCAGATAATCAATCTCGTCGTCCCAGCCGTGGTTTTGAAGAAACTCGAGGGCCTCCCGTTTCATACCGTACACGGAAATGAGATCGCATTCTCTAATCCATCTGTCGTTGAGTAGATGGAGATCATATTTCACGTCCCCCCACATTTGGAGCTCGCCATGTGTCATATGCGTCCAGACTGCATGGAGGTCAACTTCCTTGTTACCATGCTCCATCACCTTCGGCTTGTCACAAAATCGGGCCTGCATTTCAGCCGCGTAGGGTACGTGGGGGATCAGCGAGGCTGCAGGCCTTGGCTGGCCGGGTGCCAGGTTTTGGGGATGTTCCTGCTCATAAGCTGAGAACGATCGGATCCAGGGGATGCGCAAAGCTCTGTAAGCCGTATTAAGTTGGACTTCAAAGGGCATCTCATGCCATGGACCAAAGCCAAAGAGATGTCGAATCAGTTTCTGTATGCCAATGGTTCTCAGAGCATCCATTGTCGCTAGAGCCGAGTCGTCGTAGCAATCTTTGATTACTTCTCGACGAAAGACCCATTCAGGTGAACGGTCTTTATAGCAGCTCCCATTGATGTTCGCAGGACAGAAAGCAAAGGATAGTTGAAACACTGGCAGCTCAGGGCTGCGTTCGTTAGGATCAACTTCCGACATGTCTTGGCGATACAACCGTTTACATCGGTCGCAAACTACCAAAAGATGTTTTGGCCCCATGAGAAACTTCGTTCTCTTGTCGTCATAGGTTTCGATCCAGCCCCGACAATCTGTGTTCAGAAGGGTCGCGCGGCCCCTGTCTCGAGGCCAGCGCAAATAGTCGTGAATGATCTTCGCGATATTATTGTCATCTGGACTGTTGAGCCAAGTATTCCATGCCTCCTGAGGTGTCTTCTGAAGAGCGATTTGACCATGTGAAGCAGATCTGAACGGTTCTATGCTGGGGGTGTATTGCACAGAACTCCGGCTCTGGCTACCCCCTGACTCCCGACTTCCAGGTCTGTCGGCCATGCCTTGTGTATTTTAAATTGTTCTACGCAATTGTCAGCCTGGCATCGACACGGTGATGTGTGGCCAGCGAATGTTTAGTACTTACCTTTTCACTGATGTAAGCCAAGACTTGAGCAGGAGAGATTATTGCAGTTGTAGATGATTGGAGTAATGTGAGAAACATGGTAAGACTTGAAGAGGTTTAAATAGTCAAGAGATACTACACATAGCTTTCATACAAGAGAATAAACTCGGTTGGCTTGCGGGGGGCGTTTCTCCCAACCTTCATGTGGCTTGAAGAGACAAGCTAAGAGGTGACGCAGTTCTGAGTGAGTATGCTATCAGAATATATATCAAATGCTATCTTTCCAAAATGATACTTTTGGGGCTTCCGGACAGAAGGCTTCTTTTCGTTGAGGAGAATCTTTCTCATTGGGAAGCTGCTCGTTTGTGAGAAAGCTTTTTCTGGTGTGGCCCAAGCTACATTGTATTGCAGAGATTGTGTGGGCCTTGAAAGGCTTCAGAAAGTATATTTCAGCGTAAACCAGCGGAAAGATGGCAAGGGTTCCAATGTCAGAATGTAAGATATCTATACTCTGGTGGCTTGCGAGCAGGCGTGTTGCTGGGCCTTGTGGAACTGGTCTGCTGCCATCGCTTATAGACCCGGAATGGAAAAGCCCTGGACATGATCCTTCTGAGTGTGCCAAACTGGCCATTTGTTCCAGATTTTGAAAATTTGCTGCAAAAATTGTCTTCAACTTTATCTGTCGGCCGAGTTGATCATCTTTGATGTTGAAAGTGGGGTGTCTGTTGGCCACCAGTGGAGCGAAGCCGCCAACAAGACTTCAGAGTTTCTGCCCCTCCAGCCACAACAACAGCCTCATGCGCTTCATTCACCATACACATGGCCATACCTCTGGCTTGAGTGCCTCGCATAAACCATATCCAAACTTGTTTACCGAAAACGATTGAACTCGATTCTTTTCCCCTGCGCCTCGATCGACCGATTCCCGCACAGGAAAAAAACAAAGCTCGAGCGCCATTCGCCGAAACCTCCCTCCCTCCCTCTCTCCCCCTACCATGCATCACATCACCTCGGCAAACGAGCCTTTTTTAAGCTCGGAGTCGCTGTCGGCCGCAACAACGACGCATGTACAAAGAAATTTCCGCATAGCCACGCGCAAGCTGCCCATTTCTAAAGCCGGCGCCATTGACGCCATGACGGAACGCATCGGAATCCCGATGCCCGAGATGATTTTCGGCGATAACCTCGTGAGCGTGACGCACGCGCCGTCCGGCTGGTCTATTCGCTTTGCGACTCCAGAGGCGCTCGACGCCGTGGATAAGACGGACAAGCACATGCTCAAGGTGGCGTACGCGCGCGACTGGGAGAGCACCCGCGAAGGCACCACGCAAAAGATTAAAGAAGTCGTCAAGCCGTACGATTGGAGCTACTCGACGACATATGCGGGCACGGAAATCGCAGCAGAGGGGGCGCGGCTCACGGAGAGCAGCGATGCGATTCCTATTGAACTGCTGAAGCGTCGTGATCCAATCTTGTTCTTTGACGAGGTCGTGCTGTACGAAAGCGAGCTAGACGATAACGGCATATCCGTCTACAGCGCCAAGTTGAGGGTTCATGAGCACCGCATGTTACTTCTGTGTCGTTTGTTTATGCGCTTGGATAACGTAATTGTGCGCATTCGCGACACCCGCATTTACGTCGATTTTACTACCGAGCAAGTCATTCGCGAATATACCGCCAAAGAAGCCAGTTTTGACGAAGTCAAAAATGTAAGAATATGCTACAATGAGGCAATTTCGCGTCACTGAAGGGCTTGATACTAACCAGAGCAGGCGCTTTACCGTTCTGGTCGTTTACCCGACGATATTACCGTTGGTCTACGGGACCCCAACATTCTCGATCCTTTTTTAAAAACTGTCGAGCATAGCAATGAGTCTGTATCACTTCAAAAGTGCTAAGACTAGGGAAGGTCTATCTGGATCCCTTCTTAAATGATATAATGACTAGATATCAGAACAGCTATTTCACCAGGATCCGTGGCTGCACACATTGGCGTTTGGCGCAATTTGATACATGGATATGCGCACTACGCACAGTCTAACCAAGTTTTGGACGCCACCTACGAAGTACTTGTACTGTGATGAATGACTTTCCGTCTATGTTTATTGAGCGAGATGTTCTACTCTGCCCCTCATGGAAACATAATCTATGTACAGACGTCGCAAGGTATCGGACAATGCATTCGCTAATGACAAAAAAAATACAATATGCACATGAATCGAGACAGTACCACTATATCTCAAAGAAGCCGCCCTCGTCGTCTTCCTTGTCAGTGGACGCCATCGTCTCCCGCATAATACGGCGACGCTCTCTGCGATTCAGTCCGCCCGTCTTGGCGCCACTCTGCTGCTCACCAGCCGACGCAGGAGCTGCCTTTCTGTCACCAGTAGGCTTGCTTGCGTTCTTGGACTGGTTCTGCTTGGCAATGACGTTCGCCATTCTCTCCTTTCGGGGCGCCGGTCTGCTGTCGCGCGATCGGGGTTGAGGTGCGCTCGCCTCGTCATCACCGGTCGCTGACCGCCGCTCTCGAAGTTGTCTCAGCGCATCGGGGCCCTCTTCCATGGTGCTTTCGACCACCTTCCACATGGGCGGACGCTCCGCGGCTAGAGCAGCCTTTGCAGCGGCAGTCTTCTTCTCCTCCTCAGTCGCGTCTTCGTCGTCGTCCTTTTTGATCGTGCCGTACAAGCTAATGTACGTTTCGGCGTGAGGATGGTGCATGGTGTATGCCTCATCGACTTCAGCAATGTGCAGGTCAGCCTGTAGTTTGCTGCGCTCGTGGTCGTCGGTCGTCGCTTCGAGTTGGCGCTTTAGCTGTTTGACCAAACGAGTAGCCTTTTTACGCTCTAGCAGGTGCTGTTAGTACAGATATGAGAGAATTCTTTTCTTCGGCGCAACATACCAAAGAACCTGACCATGTGATATTTCGAAATCATGGCGCTTCTCCGCCGTTGAAAGGTCTTTTCGTTTATTGTGCTCTTGTGGGCTGCTAATTCGCGCTCCATGTCATTGCGCAAATTGGCGGGTATATCACCGTTGCGGCTCATCATGCGCTGAATGCTTCTCGTCCTCTTCTTGGCCCATTCCGCTGATCCAAGTTTCGCCTTGTGTTTGCCCGCGGCGTACTTTTGGCGGCTGTTGCCGCCTTGGCCCCGATTCCGACGGTTCTCCTCCATGATGTGGGAGAAAGTCCTTCTGTAGGTTTTCTTTGAAGATTTTTATCGAATGTGTGGCGCCCTCAAAAAGATCGATGAGAATTCGAATTCGGATTTCGCGTTATCATATACCTGCAAAAAGGCCTGGAAGTAGTTTGGGACTTTTTTGCAGGCTGGAAATATTTCTTGGGCGATAAGCCGATAAAGGTTAAGGTGGGGTCCATCACGTGGAGCGCTGAGCCCGGGCAGGCTGTGTGGGGGCGTTTGCCTGACAGCTGTACGGAAGCTTGTGCATCATTACCCTGGTCGCATCTCGACTTGCACTTCACATCTGCGATCGGACAATGCAGCACGCGCCACGGTGGATCAATGGCACTGGATTCTGGCCAGTGACGTAGATATTATATGCTTTGTGATAGAGCTGACATTCGACAAGATCTTCAATCTCACTCACATCCGATATCGAGCACTCTTTATCCAATGCAAACAGCATTGCCTGCGACTGCGCGGGCATAAATCGATTCGATATGGACCGTCCAGAGCCAGGTCTCATCAAGTGGAGTGCCAATCCACAGTTGGACAGCTTTGTCCAGGTCAACCTCCAACACCGACATGTCCAGATTTACGAGGCAAATGGCTTTGCGCGCAATGGTCGGTTCGACTACGTGAGGCGCGTCCGGCATGACGACTTTCCCCCGCTGACTACCTATGACTGGTCGCCTTGCGACCCTGGACTAATTGCAATTGGTACCGGTGGAGGTGTGGTCAATCTTTTGCGAGTAGACGATGGCTCCAACGCCTTTGTGGAGCTGGGCTCCAAGATGGCCAGAAATTGTCACGCCGTGGCGTTCAACACAACGGGCTTGTTAGCTGTAGGCCTGGATCGTGTGCGCATGGACCAGAGCTTACATGTCTGGGATATTTCGCGTCTGTCGTCAATAGAACCGCCCATGCGAGGTTTCCCTACTGATGCGCTCGATTACGTTGACACCATTGCGCATCTCGAGCCCAGCGTTTCCGTCTCCAGCCTCAAGTTCTTCGAAGACAGCCCACACACACTTGTCGCCGGCATCAAGTCACATGGTGTCCGAATACACGACTTGCGCGACCCAAATCCGGCTGTCACGTTCCACACGAGATGCAACAACAATATTGCCATCGACTATGCCGACCAAAACTACTTTGCCTCATCAAGCTTAGATCATCCTGGCGTGATGATTTGGGATCGACGAGCAAGCAGCCGCCCCCTGGCATCGGCAGCGTACGTACAGACTGTGGAAGAAGAAGACATGCCATGGGGGGCTACTTTGCGTCTCGACCAAGCAATTGAGACTGATCACGATCCGTCAATTGTTGACGAGCGACATTCCATGATTCGATCACTCCGCTACTGTCGCAATCAGCGAGGTCTTCTGGCTATTCTCTCACGTACAGGTGAACTTCGCGTCCTAAATACGAAGAAGGATTCGCCATCTCCGAACATAACGACAGAGCAGGGACCAGAGTTGCTGCATGTGGAAAAGTCACACGAGCTTGACCTATCATATCGCTACAACTCGAGAAAGAATGATCGCATCGTGTCTTTTGACTGGGTCACACTAGGCTCGCCAGATTTGAATCCTAGACTACTTGTATTGCGGACCAGCGGCAAATTTGATATTTTGGAAATGCCATCGGCGTCGACAAACCATGCGTACAAGCTGATCCCATGGAAGTCACCGCATCGCGGTCTAGAGTCAGGCCACAAGTACCAGGATATAATGCAGTTCGACCCCAAACAAGGCATGGAAGTTCTTGCTGCTACACTTGTAGACCAGGCACTGCATGATGTTCCCATCTTTGGCCCCGACAAAGTTGCCGTCAAAGAGGGCATCAATGCAGCGCTCAAAAAGCAGGAGACAAGCTCTGCGGTGGTTGAGCGAGTACACGATATTGATATGCCTCTTCCAGTATCATTCTATACTTCCAAGACGATTGCTGGCAAGCTGCGTTCAGTGCGCAGTTTTATCAAAGACCTGGGAGCCAAGAACCCCGCGACAGCAGGTCGATCGCGCGTCCCAAATGAGCTGTCCCTCGCAACCAATAGCGTGGAATCATGCAGGGAGTTTCATGAGGCGCTTCTTGCTGCGACTGTTAAGACGACTGGCTTGCCTAGCGAGGCGCAGAGTGCAGTTGACCATGCCATGCTGTTTCGTGCCAAGGAAAAGTATCTTTTCGATCCTACGGTCAATAGGCAGATTGTTTCTGACGATCCTTGGAAGCGATATGTTTGGGATTGGATAGCTGGTGAGCATTGCATATGCTTATTCAGAGAAGTCTCGCTAACAGCTGACAGATGCTGAATTGGCCGCCTACGACAGCAGTCTAGTGCTGTCCGGTACCGATCTCAGCTATCTCGGAGTTCATGCCATATGGACGAATGACCTAGGTATGTCTCTCACAAGCAATAATCGCCAACACTCCAAACTCACATACTAGGACGCAATCCAACAACAAGAGTCAGCCCAGGCACGACGAACCTTCCTGACGCACTGCAATGGGAGCGCTTCATCGGCCCGTACTGCAAGAAGCGTCGCTTCCCGCGGTTCGACACTGTCTTCACCAAGCGGCCTCATACGCGGCAGCTGTGCCTCGAGATCTGCGGCTGGGGGGACCCCGAATCGAACGACCCTGCGGGCATTGATCGCGACCCGTCGCCAGACTACCCGGCGGCAATACACACCATGACAGCGGCCCGGTCTCTGTTTCACGGCGACACGCGGCAAGCCGTCGACATTCTCAAGCGGGCGAGCACTGCGCACCCGGAGCTGCTGTTTGTGTCGCTGGCGCTGCAGCTCATCGATCGAGGCGCCGGCGGCAAGCACCTCGCCAAGGAGCATCTCGACTTTGACGACTCCGTCGCCTCCAAGACAGACCCGTACCTGCGCGCCATCTCGACCCTCATCGCCACCGGCGACTGGTCCCTCGTCGCCAACCAGCGCTCCCTGCCCCTGGCCGACCGTGCCTACGTCGCCGTCCGCAACTTCCACGACGACGAGCTCACCCGCTGGCTCGACGACCACGTCGCCCGCGCGATTGAAGAAGGCGACGTCGAGGGCATCGTCCTCACCGGCATCTCGGACCACCTCGTCGACATCTTTGCCACCTACGTCGAAAAGTTTCACGACTACCAGACGGCCATCCTCGTGCTCTCGCTCTGCTACCCCAAGTACATTGACGACTTTCGCTGCCGCGCCTGGCGCAACGCCTATCGCGCGCTGCTCCAGCGCCACCGCTTCTTTTTCCAGCGCACCAAGTTCGAGGTCGAGTCCACTAAACGCTCCAAGCGTGACGGCTCCAACCCGCTACTCAAGCCGCCCTCACGACAGATTGCACTGCGCTGCATATACTGCGACGCGGAAACGTCCCTCGCCGCCCACCATCAGCAGCAGCACAATCACCATCACCGCGCCAACAGCGGAACGAGCACCGCACCGCCCCCGCCCCCGCCGCCATCGTCGAGCATGGAGTCCCGCAACCCGCTCCTCGCGACGAGCATCAACGCGGGCGTCAGCTGCCCCAACTGTGGACGGCACCTGCCGCGGTGTGTCGTCTGCCTCGAGGTCGTGGGCGTGCCGCGCGCCGACCGCCCCGAGGAACGCGACGAGACGCGCATGGCGGGGCGGTTCCCGACGTTTTGCATGCGCTGCGAGCATGTTCTGCACCTGGACCACGCGCGCATGTGGTTTGCTAGGCACGTCGAGTGTCCGGTGCCCGAGTGCCGCTGCAAGTGCAACTTTCGCGCGAATCCAGAGCTCAACTATCATTGACGTGGAGGGGCGGTCGGTGTATGTTGGAAAGGATGCGGGAAATTAATACACGATGGACATGTGTGTGTATATATATCTACCCTGTACGGTGTCTTTTTGACATTTCATAAAGTATTGCTATAGCGACTGATCTATGCCGTTGTCATTACGCAGCGCCAGTGTCATCACATGTCTGAATAGAGAGTGCAAAGAGGAGGGAATGAATGATATGCATCTGGGTCTGGCAGAATCGCGAACGCAGGCCGCTCAGTTATGTTTTCAAAAATCAAGACAGTCAACAAAACTATCGGTACCATTATCGTCGGCTCTAGGAAATCAAGTCTTTTCAAAGCGTCATGCATGCAAACGAGGTGAATTCGAATGATGGCTAATGTGATATAATAATGTATGTAGATGGAGGGTATCGTGTAGTAGGTTAATGGTCATTATGCATCTTTAAAGTTTCCTTTGCTCGCCCTAGTAAAATGATTACTGTATGCAAATCTGCTTTTAATTCTTCAGCGAGGCGCCCTTGCACCAGGGATGCTCCAGTACTTGCGCAATGTCGGCGCGCTGGGGCAGGTCGCGGTTGAGCATGCACCGGATGAGGTCAATGCTCTCGGGGCTCATGGTAAACGGCACGCGCAGGTCGTGGTCCATAATCTCATCAATGCTGTAGAAGGGATTCTCCTTGTAAATAATGGTGTACAAGAGAATGCCCAGCGCCCACACGTCTTGCGGTTTGCCGCCATAGGGCTTTCCAGCCAAGACTTCGGGGGCAGCGTAATCTGACATATGTTAGCAGGTGAGCAAAGGTCAAGGTAGGAAAGCGCCCGAAACCTACCGATGGTGCCAACAAAAACATCAAACGGTCCGCTCTTAATGTAGGCGGCACTGCCAAAATCGATGAGTTTAATGTTGCCCTCGCCGTCGAGGATGATATTCTCATCCTTGATGTCGCGGTGCACAACCAGAGCTTTGGTATGCAAAAAGTGAATAGCTTGCGCTACCTGCGAAAAGATGCTGCGGCACTCAGCTTCCTCCATGTTGGAGCGCAGCTCGATATAGTCAAACAGATCCATGCCTGGCAGTCCGTGGGGCACCATGGCAATGTAGTAGTTGATGTCGTCCTCAAAGAAACCCTCCATTTCGACAATGTTGGGGTGTCGAAACTCGGGTTTGCGAAGATAGTCCAAGACGTGAATTTCTAGCGGTACAGTGCCGAGTTTTCGGTCGCGCGTCCAGGTGTCAACCAGGATACGTCGCTTTGTGACGTACTTTAGTACCATCTTTTTGCCATTTCGTTTGTTCCTAGCAAGCTTCACTTGACCGTAGGCACCTTGGCCCATTTCTTCCAAAATGGTGTAGTCGTCTATGGTCGCCTTGCGAGGCTCTTCCTCTGCAGCTGTCAAGACTGGATTAGCGACGGCTGCCTTGGGCGATAATCTATTCTGGCCCGTGAGTCTTGCCGCGGCATTCAGCGCTGCATCCTTAATTTTCGACATGCTGGAGGGCGAGGCGGAAGGTACTTGCGGCTCGTCGGCCTCGGCTTCATTGTCCGATAGAAGCATGGGTGTGTGAATAGGTGTCTGGCCGGGTGAAGGTTGATGCAGCGGCGTTGGCGGGCCCGAAGGTATACGCTTGGCTGGGTCTAAGACGTTGGTAACTGCATGAATGTGTCTAGAGTATGTGATCCAGAGAGCAAAAACCATTTCAGTGTGTGGTTGCGTCGAGGAAATGTCTGTGTGGTCGTCGTCGACGGCCTCTTCAATAATCTCGTGCGAAACTTCGGTCTGTTTTTCACTCTCAACAATGCGCATTTGAACGTCAATATTGAGGTCAGAGCCGTCGCGGTGCTTCGCAGTCAGTCCGTTGGGTTGCAAAAATGACGCCGCGGCGTTGGGCCTGTGTTCTTTGATTGCGGTAAAGGCAGCAGCCCTTCTGAAGCGATGCTCTGGAATGACCATACCGTCGAGAAGTTGCAAGCCGTCTTCCTCGGTAAGGGTATTTATAATCTTATTAAAGCCAGGAATCAAGGTATTGATGGACGTGCCTGCAGGTTTCTCAAAGCCAAAGAGTGCGCCACTAAAGGCTGAATTGGAACTGCGAATGTTAAAGTTGGTGGGGTCGACGACGATGATGCCAGCCATGTGGGGGAAGGTGGAAACTCTGAGCTCGAGTTTGCCTTGAGTTTGTTCGACAGTGCAGGGAATGTTGACTTTTCGATAGTTGGGACAGGTGAAGAAGCGTCGCTTCCGTGTTTGGGCAAAATCAATCTCACCCTGAGTTGGATCGAAACCTTGCCGGGGAATTCGTGGGATCAGGTTCGCAATATCAATACCCGGCTTGACAGATTTGAAGCCCCAAATGGTTTCGGTAGCGCCAGTCACGTATTTGACGACGCCCTCTTCGTCGAGTTCGATAGTGGCGACGTCTTCGTGTATCTCTTCAAGGACCCAAATCAAGCCGCTACGTTTTTCCTTGACCCATAGACTGGCAGAACCGGTGAGTCCATTACGCTTCTGGATGGGAACAACATCACCACAGAGCAAAACGCCTCGGGAACCTGAGCTACGATGCGCATCGGTACCGCATGGCTTTGGCGGCTCCATATCGCCACTATGAACAGTTTGAGCTCTCCGCGGAGGCTGAGGTGTTTGTGATCTCGAATTTGGCTTGCCCAATAGTTGTGCAGTGATTCCAGAGCGTCCACCAAGAAGTACACTTGCGGCTGAGCTTGCAGGCGACAGGTCGGCGGTAGTTTCCGGCATCCCCTCGCTAACATCCTTGTCTAGCAGCTTTCGTTCAAGCCAGGCTCGTCTCTCCTCTTGGACAACCTCCAAAATACCCATCTTTCGAACTTCGGCTCTGGTGACTCCAAATACTAGGCAAGCAAGATCGTTGGCGGCGAGGATGGTCCAAGGAGGTTTGGCTTCGGTGGTGAAGATGGCTTGGGCGGCGGGAACCCATCTGTTGGTGTGTCCATGCACGGCAGGGTTCATGGCACCTGGAAAATTTTGGGACGGCAAGTGTTGATGGGTAGGGATTGGTGAAAGACTCGACTCTTGATGCAATGTCGAGCCAGCCATGAATGGCTGGGCCATGGTATCGATCAGCTTGTCCTTGAGAGCTACGGAAAGGGTATCCGTCATTGTGCGTTTGAGGCTCGTTGGCCGCGAAGTGGGCGGTGACGTGGTGCTTGTCGTCTTGCTCTCGTCTAAAGGTATTTGACTCGACTTTTGTGTGTTGCTTTCGTCTGTAGCTATTTTGCTCGACTTTTGTACGTTGCTTTCATTTGAACGTGTTTGATTCGACTGTTGTGAGTTATGCTGATCTTCCTTATTCAATACTGGGCGGAGGGACTTGGGCGACGTGGAAAGCTCCTCAGGCTCCTCGTGTATGATAGTAGGGTCTGCGCTGAGCGTATTGGGAGTAAATTGCTTCTCAAAGATGTTCTCTCCAGACATGTCCGGGGGCCCGGTAAGCGGGGGGATGGCGGAGGAAGCATCTGGGTTGGGTAGGTTGCTGGCGCCGATGATTTGGGCCTTGGCGAGCATTTCGAGCATATTTTGGGCCTCCAAGTCGCCAGTGACTCTGGCCTGAGCGCTAGCCAACCCAACCTGGTTGGCGGTTAAAGGCATGCCCAAGCGGTCCTTTATGAATTCGAGTGAGCGTTTGAGGACATTTTGACGGTTGTGAAGAAAGTCTTCAGACTGGTGGGCAAAGGAGAAGGAATGCAGCGACTCGGTCGGGAAGCGGGAGAGGTCTTCGGAAAAGCTGGGAGAGGCCGGGGAGGCGGAGAAGGAGGAGAGCGGCGCGGGGGTGGCAAGGGTGGCACTCATCGAGGTCGAGCGGGAGAGAGTTACGACGGACGGGCTACGAGAGGAAGCGTTGGAGTTTGGCATGGTTGGGTTGCGTGAGGGTGGATGCTGCCGTATGCGGCGCAGACCGGATAGTCCCAGGCCATGTTCGTGGTCGGCAACGGGCGAAGGCCTGCACCAGTTTAGAAAAAATGTTAGCAGCGGCATGATAGTGAGCGGTGACACGACATGATGGCGTTTCACACGGAGGATTGGGCGTGGGTCGGCGGTTGGCCGCTGCGGGTAGCCGGGCTGGGGGCTTTTAATCAAAAGCAAACAAGACGTAAAGCATGAGGAAGAAGGGCGAGAGAAGGTGGAGGTTAGAGCGTTCTCGGAGCAAAATGACTGACCTGGTCATCAAGTCATGGTCGGGGGCGGCAGATGACGAGCCCTCAAAGGACATGCGATAGCGGCTGCGATCGGGGTCAGCTGAGAGGGCGAGGTTGCTGGTGCTGCGGTTCTTGGGCAGGGAGAGGGGCGCGAGGAGCTTGTCACGGCCTCTCTCGCCATCGTCGTTGTTTGTGCTGTTGGCGCCTAGGAGGGGAGAGTCAGCAATCATGATTGAGCCCTAGGCGGCAAGTAGCCAAGGTATGACGATGACGGAGGGGGGGAGGGGAGGAGCGAGATGCAGTGAGGGTGGGTTTGCTGGTGCGCGTGTGTGCGTGTGGATGCGGGCTAATATTTTTGTGCCTTTGGGAAGCGCGTACGGTTACCATGCATGGTGGCTTGTCCCGGGAAATTGGGGAAAGCAAAGATGGCGAGTGCGACAAGGACGACGAGAAGATTTTCACAATGGCGAGCCGGCAGTCATGGGCAGGGCGGGAGATGCGGTTGACGGTTGACGAGAGAAGTTGGCAAAGTCGAGGCTGCGGTGGGCGCGATAGCTTGGGCAAGGGATCGAGAGCGAGAGGGCCAGCCGCCCTTTGCCACTGGCTGGAAGCGGGGAAGAGAGATGCTGGACAGAAGATTGGAGGAGCTTGAAATGATGTCGATAATGAAGCTCAAGGCGGGATACAAATGTGTGGCGAGGACGTGGGTGGTGGCGATGCAAGTCGGGCGAGAGACTAAGTAGGTAGTTTTCCTTGGGGCTTGGGAGACAAAGGGAGCATCAGAGGCTGGCCTCATTAGTTAAGGTAATTAATGTATGGGGATGGGAAGCATGGGAGGGGCAGATGTCTGGCCTAGGTAAGGTACATGCTGTACTGAGATTCCTAGTAGGCGGCGGGGGAGTTTCTGACTGCACTTTAGCGGCCTTTTCAATACTGTCGACTTGTCTAAAGGCTACAGCACATGCCCGGGATTTCAAGATGATTTTCCAGTGATATCCCAAATGGAGACATTTTACAATTGGAGAGGGAAAGAAGATGGAAATATTTGATTCCATACCTTGGTCGCCTGTTGTGCACCAACTCACGACCAGTGCAAAGCCCACAACACATGTAATCATGCCACAGGCTGATTGAATCTCAAAGAGTCGACACTGTCAAGAGCTGCATATTCCTATGCCCCATTATGCCCATATATCTTGCTGGTACTGTAGGTAGGCGCAGGGCTCCGGTTATTAGGACACGCACATATCATTTTTCTCGCATTTGATTTGCCAGCCTTGGCGTTTGACCCTTGTTTCAATATACAAGTAGATACACTGCTTGGCACCACGCACCACATTTTCATTCTAGCCACGATACAAAGTCCAGCCCTGGCAAGATACGTTGGGACATCCCTTGTTCCACAGTAGATGAGCCGCTGGGAGACTGAACAAGATTCTGTTCGACGAGCCCAGCAGGACAAGAATGAACAGGAAAGAAATAAATAGCACGCTGGCCAAGGAGGATTCAGAAGCCCCACAAACGAACAATCAGTCTTTTCTTTTTTTTAAAAAGACACCAACGTAGGGTGAAGGTGTCTGCCCGCCATGCGAGAACCAACAAGGCATTACACAAGTCACCTTCATGCCGCAATATTCCGTTCCTTTTGGTCTTGCGTCTTGCGCAGGAGTGGGGACGAGACTGGTTCAACATCCTGGGCCCTAAAAAGACATCACGATTCAATAGAGGATAATAAAGATAGTACAGGGAAACGACGGCGAATTTGCAACAAACCAATCTGCTTTTCTCGGTATCCAGAGGACATACGCGTCGCGGGACTAGCTTCTTTACTAGGGTATAAATATGCTCCGCGTCGCGTGTGGTGTGTAATCAAAGTGGCGTACTTTTGAGTCAAACTAGAAGGATACGACAAGTGAGAGGTTCATGTTTGATTTGACTGGTTGTCAAGCTGGGAGTGGAAAAACGACGCAGTACGGAGTCTTTCACGGCCTACCTACCCTACGGCGCCTTTTTAGTTTCAACTCTTCGTGGTCAAGGTCGGCGCGGATCGATCCGCAACGAGGTAGTATCGATCTTGAGAGTAAAGCGAGATGGTGTAGATGTGTGCAACACGTGCAAGGGCTCAGCAGACTTGCAGCTAAGCCTGGGACATGTGCGTGCTGCGGGCTCACGATCAGCTGGTGTTGAGCGGGGTACACATCCGGAGACAAATGTCAAGCCACAAGGTGACCACAAGCACAAAAACAAAAACGAGCCGGACGATGATACAGGGTAATAACTGTGCCATTCTGCTTTGTAGAGAAACTTGTCACTAGTCGCCCCAAAATGTGTCTGAGTTTGTTGAGTCTCCAATGCAGCCAGCGGCATCCTTCAAGTCACAGTTCGGAGCTAAGTATGCAAGCCATGCCAAAAGTCCCTTTTTTTTTTGGCGTACCAGTAAATAGTAAGCGCAGGTAGAGACATTGTACCTGGCCGGAAGGCTGGGCCAGAAGACGAGTCAGTTGGGCGGTGCGGCCGGACCGAACAGTCTTACAAAGAGGAGGTGCGCCACTGGACGCGGTCGGGTGGGCTTTGGGAGCACGTGTTGGCCGCATGATGAGCGACTTTTTTTTTTTGCTTTTTCCAAACTCTTCTTCAGATGTGTGTCTGAAAGTTTCACAAACGTGCATCACGGTGTTGATGGTCTTGTGAACGCAGAGGGTGTTATCGAATGCCAGGGGTGCCCCTCTGTCACCGCTCGGAGAAAAGAAGCGTTACTCTTGGTGTAGGAATGAACAATCAGGCTCGTGGGGCATTGAATGGCGCTAGTTACTACCTACCTATTTTCCAGAATGGTCAACTGAACTCTGGAGGCGGACCTGATGATAAACTGGGCAAGGCATACACCAGATAAAAAAACCTACACAGAAGACGAGGAGGTATTTACGTGCAGGTATTCAGATGCTAGCTTGGCTAGTTCGTGTTAGTCGTCGGCTCTGTGAAGCGAGGTTGTGGAACGAGCCTGTTGAGGCTTGGCGGCGGAAGAATAGGATAGGTGCCACGCGGCACATGCATGGTAAAAAGGTACCTACATAGCAAACAAGGCGTAACTACTAACTACCTTAGGTTATTACTGAGTCCCAAGATGATGGTTGCGCCGAGGCTAGTGGGGGTGTTTGGGAAGGTGCAGTGCGACGAGTAATCGTGGTGCAGCTAAAAAAACCGAATTGTCAGTTCTGTTAGCTTCGAATAGGCGAGAAGAAAGAAGAAAAGCAGAGAAATCGCAGAAACAAAAAAGAGTGGAAAATCAATAAATGACTTGTGACAAGATGGTGACAAGATCAACGCCAGAATATCACCCGCTCGATGTGTGCATGGTCACATTCTAGAAGCCCATGTGCCCCATGGAATACGGATAGCGCGATAAGAGATAATATGGTAGGTACCTAGGTAGTGCGGCGAATCCGCTGACCAGCAGGGGGATGCGCCACATTATTGTACAAGTAGGTTTGCGGTTAGGGCGCTGGAGATGGGGCGAGCGCAGCCAAAGAGCCAAAGAGGCACGAGAGGCTTGGTTGTTTTGTTGAGCCAAAGCGTATCAGTACGGGGTAATCACTAAATTTACTTGGGTGCTCTGTGAGGTATAAGACACCTTTTGATAACGTGAGGGTAGTGATTTACTGTCCTGTTCTCGGTTGTTTTTCTGTTTTGCCCCGCACTTTTGGTGGGCTGTAGCTCCACAGTTGTCGGCACCCCAAACATTGACGTTTTGGCAGCAGACCAGTCCAGTCGAGCCAGTCAACGGGGTGACAAAACAGATCGCCGGTATAGCTAAGAATACTCACTTTTCCAAACATTAGAATTGAACCACAACTCGTTATTAGTACTTAGAATACTATTTTAATATAGAAGTTAGAGTACATAAATTTACTAGATTTATTATATATTTTTACTGCGTGTTAAAGCTTAAAAATTTCGCCTGACACTTTGCCGTGCGTAGTAGGCTACCGGTGGTCTGTTTTGTCACCCTGATGCCAGTGACCACTGACACCAGCCCGGCTGCCCGGCCCAGCCAGGCCAACCAGCCAATTCAGGGTCCTTCTCACTTGGGCCCGCCTTTTCTCCACCTGGCTGGCTTACTGCTTGCAGGCCGCTCTGTTGCCTGCTTTTGCTACTGTAATTCGTAGGTAGTAGGTACTGTATTTACTGTACCAGCCAGCCTTGTCAACCTACCCAACTCGCCTGCCACTGTTTGCTTTGCACCTAACGGTTGAGCCCCCATGTGCCCATTTTCCCCTCATGCTCTCTCCATCCCTCCCTCAACTTCTTATCTTCTCAATCCCTCTTATTCAATCAAGTTTCTACCTATTTTTTCCCCACGAATCTGTCCTTCTCCAAGAAATGGTCTGAACAAGTCTCGTCCTTGCCACAAACCTGTCCGGGCATTCCGGCACCCGCCCAGCATCTCACCCGCCGCCGTCCGACCAACCGCACTACTTACAACGCCGCCATTATCCCCCACCACCGGCCTCGAACTCGAGAGCTCTGCGAGACTTCTGCGAGATTGTGCATATCCCGAACCCTTCGAATCTAACAAGAAGAATCAGTGCATTCGATTTGGAAGTATAAAATCAAATACAACTTCTCCGGCGCCGTAACCCCCCCTCGCCATCGAGCCATGGCCGAGATGCAAGAGACTCTTGGCGGTGAGCCGTTTCCTCCTCTTGCCGACGTCGCCGGCGTCGCCGCCGAAGCTCCCTCTCCCAAGATAAAGGGCCGTAAGAGACTGCTGCGAGGGATTCAGCGCATCTCCTCGTCGCCTTCACTCACCAACCTCCGCCGCGGCCGGTCCGCCAGCAGCCCGTATCATGGTGGGAGCCGCACCTCGCTCTCCTGCGTCAGTCTCGCCGGTGTTCCTCCTCAGACACCTCTCCGTTACGGAACTCCCCAACCCTCGCCCCTCGTCCGATCCGACACCCCAGACTCCGAGTTTCCTTTCCACGACTGCGTCGAGCAGCAGCCTGGCGTCAGGACCGTCCGCGTCATTCCCACATCGAGGCCCTCGACCGCTCTGCTGCCCGCCGACCTGCGCGCCCAAACCAAGATTGTCTCGAAGCCGCCATTCCCATTTTGGGACAACATGCCCCAAGAAATACGCATTGCCATTTTCGCTCATCTCGAGCCCAGGGAGCTAGTCCGCGTCTCCCGCGTCAGCAAGACTTTTTACAAGTTTTGCTTTGACGGCCAGCTTTGGACCTCGTTCAATGCCTCGGAATTCTATCAAAATATTCCTGCCGATTCACTGGCCAGGATTATTGTTGCTGCCGGGCCGTTCATTAAGGACCTCAATCTGCGCGGCTGTGTCCAAGTCGAGCACTACCGACGCACCGAAGCCATTGTCAAGGCCTGTAAGAACCTCATCAACGCTACTCTGGAAGGCTGCCGCAACTTTCAAAAGGCAACCCTGCACAACCTTCTCGAGAGCAACGAAAATCTGGTGCATCTCAACCTTACCGGCCTCTATGCCGTATCCAATCGTGCGTGCCAAATCGTGGCTGACTCCTGCCCCCAGTTGGAGAGCTTCAACGTGTCTTGGTGCCAAAAGGTCGATGCAAAGGGCATCAAACTGGTAGTTGACTCGTGCAAGCGTCTCAAAGACTTGCGCGCAGGTGAGGTCAAAGGCTTTGACAATCTGGAAACGGCCGAAAGCATCTTTAGGACCAACAATCTTGAGCGTCTAGTACTGAGCGGCTGTGCGGACCTCAGCGACGAGGCCCTCCGAATAATGATGCACGGTGTAGATCCCGAGATTGACATCCTCACCAATCGCCCCATTGTTCCGCCGCGAAATCTCCGCCATCTAGATGTCAGTCGCTGCGCGCACCTCACCTCGGCAGGAGTCAGGGCTATTGGCTATGCCACACCTCAGCTCCAAGGCTTGCAGCTGTCGGGTTGCAAGACTTTGACAGACGCGGCTCTGGAGCCCATCCTCGCCTCCACGCCTCGTCTTACCCATCTTGAGCTTGAGGATCTCGGCCAACTCACCAATTCCCTCCTTTCAGAACACCTCGTCAAGGCACCATGCGCTGCCTCGCTCGAGCACCTCTCCCTGAGCAACTGCGAAGATATTGGCGACACGGGTGTCTTGCCCGTCATGCAGACGTGCACCAAGCTCCGCAGTTGCGACCTCGACAACACTCGCATCAGCGATCTCGTCCTCGCCGAAGCCGCCGCCACCGTCGCCAAGCGCTCCACGCGCTCCACGCATCCCAACCCTCCGAATGTTACGCTGTCCCTCGTCGTCTACGATTGCCACCATGTAACATGGGCCGGCGTGCGCGAGGTGCTTTTCCGCAACGCCCAAATGAAGGCCAAGTCGGTTGGCGTCACCTACCCGAGCGAGACGATATCCCTCAAGTGCTTCTACGGCTTCCAGATGACCGTCGACGAGCACCAGAAGCGCGTTTTGCGCGGCGACTTTCTCGCCGCCAGCCGCCTCGAGCGCAAGTGGGCAGACCACATGCAAGCCAGCGAGGAGGCCGGCGCCGTCGGTGCGGGACACCGGAGGCGCAGACGGCGCGCGCGCGAGACGCACGCGCTGCATCTTGACGAAGAAGATGGCGTGATCGGCCGACGACGAGCCCGAACCATGGGATCCTGCAGCGTCATGTAAAGCTCCTCTTTTGGCCCTCTTGCCTCTTTTCCCTTCTGTTTCACACATACATGGCATTAGTTTACACCAGCGTATTTTCTTTCCTTTTGGGATAGTTTGAGCAATGCGACATGGCTATCATTGGACATTTTTCTTTTGGGTTTCTTTTCCTCCCTGTTTTTCTCTTATCAATGACATATCGGTACACGACGACGGTAGGACACAGAACGCTCCTTTACATGCCATTTTTTCTTTCTCTTTCTGAGTCATTTTCTCACTCTCTCTCTCTC